CCTTTTTTTCTTGCTGTTGTGAAGAGCTCTTTAGAGCTCGACATTTTGACACAACACCCGTCAGTAGCCAACACAGACCCTCGATGTCAGAGGTTTTCATGAGAATTACCACCTTGCAGTTGTTTCTGCCAACTGAACAAGTTGCAGTTTACACTCATATCTGTTCAGACTCATATTTTATTTGCTTTTTTAAATTTAACCTTTATTTAACCAGGAAAATGCTCATGGAGATTAAAAATCTCTTTGAGTGTCCTGGCCAAGACAGGCAGCAGCACAATTGACAGACAGACGAGGTCACAACAGCATCCACACAAGCATCATACTCATAATACTTGGTGAAATTAAATTTAGAAGATGAGAAATCAACACATCAGCAGAGATCAGAAATGTAACTAGCAACAATAATCATCTGTCAAAACATCTACAGACTGATGTTTAAAGTGTTTAAAGAGACCAGCTCTTGAAGTTTCAGGTCTTTTTGCAAAGTGTTCCAGGCAGAAGGAGCTGACAAATTTAAAAGCTTCCTTTCCTTTATATCTCAGGAACACTTTATTTTTATTTAGACAACCTTTATTTTACCAGGTAAGTTAGTTGAGAACTGGTTCTTATTTTCAATAACGACCTGGCCCATTAAGGGAATTTTCTTCAAATTTGACACAAATGTTTACTTGAACTCAAAGATGAACTGATTAGAATTTAGTGGTCAAAGGTCAAAATCACTGTGACGCCACAAAACACATTTTTGGCTATAGGTCAAGAATCCGAATGACAAAATGTTAATTATTATGCTAATTGCGACTCAAATGTGTAATAGGATCTTGTAATGAAGTCAAGACATCCAATGTCCAAAAGGTCAAAGGTCAAACCCACAGTGATGTTCAGTAAAAACACTTTTTGGCCATTTTTAACACCATAACTCAGGAGTAGAAGGGGAGTTTGTGACCTTATTCCAGATTTGCTCAGGTGCTGAATTGGTGACACTAATCTTGGGTGCAACCATGAACTGTGTCGATCTTCTGTGCTGCCTGGTTGAACGTACTGAACATGTGTGTGAAACATCCATGTTTTAGAATTTGTAGTTTCTTTGCAGCATGATCTGTATTTGAAGCCAACTGTCATGGCAACTCTGTGTTTTGTTAGACACAACTTTACTGACCCAATTTTATGTGAACACATAAAAAGGAATTTGACTCAGTAAATTAACAGACTCCAAAGTCTTCACCACGACATGAATATAAACTTGACTGGTTGGCAGAGACATACAATCACAAGGTGTTAACTATAGTTTAAAATAAAAAGGGGCTGAGTATTGTTTTATAAAAGTTTTGAACCTGTTGCAGGTCCTTTCTTTTGTATTTATTGGTTTATTGATTGTATTGATTGATTAACTGACCTGAGCTAGTAGGTGGTTGGAACAGCAGTCTGGCTCCTCTGAAGTGTTTTTTTTTTTTTTTTACACACAAAGGAGTAGGTTCATAACCTGTGAAAGCTATTTGAGGTGTACATGGCTGAAAGTGAGTGCGATGATTTATTTCCTGTTCATGGTTGAGAGCACAATGTGAGTCTGCTCTCTTATTTGATTATATTTGTTGCACTTGTGTAACTTCCTCCGGCTGTGATGGGCTCTACTCCAATGCTTGGCAGTCAGTAAGTGTGCTGAAGTGTCGCTGTGTGGAGGTTTAATCTTCGTGTATGGCTATAGTTTCTTTTGTATCGACGTTACTTTTTATTGAGGTGCAAGATATTCTGGTTTATAAAACTGAGAATGACGGAACAAAAGTAGAACACATGAGAACCACAGGAGGATTGAGATACACAAAATCAAATCCAGTTCAGTTGCACTCTTCAGTTACACATCTTTTGATAAGAGCTTGTAACTCTCCCAGTGAGACAAAATTATGAAGCAGTCGTGTGTTCTGAAGGTTATTTCAGGACCAGGAAGCAAAATAGAAATGGCGGTTAAAATACTGGACCATTCGGACTGTTTTAAATGGACATCAGCCAACTAATCAGAAGCGAGTGTTTCTCAGGTACTGACACAGAATCCTTCAGTGTGAGCTTGGCATTAATTGTGCAATGGTGTCACGCAGTTTGTCACTCAGGCTGACTAAGCCCTGACCTTAAAAGCACCTGGGGCTTTAAGAAGACTTTTAATCCTAATTCTCTTTGAACTTATATAGGCTAATGGCAGGCTCACACCTACAACCCACAGTAGCACAGTTCACTCATATCTACCAAACATCTATGTCCTGCTCACATTAACAGCAGCTAAGTGTGTTCTTCACTCATTTCAGCTGCTACATATACCTGAATGGCCTTCGTATTTTCACTGCAGAACTATTGTAGACTACAAGAATTTTTATGGAATATTTACACAAAGCTATGAAGTGAATAAGCTCAGATTGCATGGGCTATTTGCTAGTTAATGTACAGAATGTATGTGAGCAAGTTAAGGCTCTGACAGTAATTTAGCATAACACTGTAAGAGAATAAGTATCAAATTTTCTATTTTTATTTTTTACAGAGCTGCTTGGAGTGCTCTCTGGTCTTCATGATGTAGTGATAGCCACGATTCACCAGTGACTGGACCTTTCAGACACAGATGTCTTTAAACTACTGTCACTTAAGACACACTTACCTGCTCTCAGATAATCTCCATTTCATTAATTGTGTGACCTCTAGCACCGACTGGCTGCTCCTGGATTACGTGAGTCATTTTAAAGGGGGCGAATTCTTGCGCAATCTTTTCTTTTACATTTATATATGTAATTATTTGACAGTACTGTGTAGAAATCTGTTTTTCCTTTTACATGAAAGAGACTTTTTGAAAATGATTGTCCAAAAAGCCAAATCAAATTGACCATGATTTAATGTTGAACAGGAAAAAAAGTGGAAAACTTCTAAGAGGATGGATACTTTTTATAGGCACTTTACATACCTCTTATGTAACATTCAGAGACAGCACCTTGTTTGACACTGATTGCACCTGAAACATTGTAAGAGAGAAAATCATCCTGAATAGAAATCTATGGATGAATTCCATATCATCAAAGATGGTGATTGTATGTCAAGTGTCCCACCTGCCCCCCAAAAGGCCAATTCTCTCCTTTTGTAACGGTTGAACCAGGAAACATCCAGCTGATCCTATTCTTTCACTGACTTATTATGGTGTTGTGAAATTTTTTGCATGCATAGCGGGAGTATCACCTATGTAAAAACAACAACAACAACAACAACAAACAAACAAAAAAGCTTTTTAACCCTGTTCAGGACTTTCATGTTGCCATACGTAGAAGGTCTTTCGGGGTCCATTGGACCCCAAGAAAGATTATGTTCAAAATATTTGTTGGTATTCATTGTAGACTTTTATACTATATTCAATAAGTTTTCTGAGAAGTTGATGTATTTTTGGTTCCAAATGCATGACAAATGTCCCTCTTTTTATATTAAAAAAAACAATCATAAAAAATAAAAGAACAATACCTGTCACCTAAACCAAAGGCTTGGGGTCCAAAAGACCCCAGAAGTCCAGAATAAGGTTAAACCTAATTTTAAGGCAAAGTCACCAAACTATTTAGGTTTTTTTTGTTTTTGTTTTTTTCAATCAGAATTGACTGGTGCAGTTTTTATGTCCTGGTGACTATTGAAATTAAAGTTGTCTCTCTCTCCCCATTCATTTGGATGCAACACTGGTTTTTGTTATTCTGAAAAAACAACCCAGTGGTGTCACTGTGGCTATCACTGGCTGCCAAGTGGGGAGACTTGCAGACCTGCAACAGTTGAGCAACAGATTCTGATGGGATTCTACAACCCATCTGGACAGACCGCATGACAAACCTGCAGTAACAATAGTTACACTTGTTTTACTGTAGTTATGCTTATGATTAAACTTGCTGCTGATTATTTTGGACAGCAGTATGTGGTTGCTTGCAGTGGCCTGGCTTTTTTAAAAAATATATATTTATTTATCAGTATATTAAATGTAGACCATTCCATTTACCCATTGATCTACATTCCAACCCTCACCTATAGTCATAAGCTCTGACGGCTGAATTAAATTTCCTCCATAACATGGCTGGAATGGGGAGCTCAGACTTTATGATGCTGCATTATAAACTTCCCTGGTCTACCTCTGTTACTGCTGCACTTTTTCCTCCTACATTCCACTTATGTGCAACAACTGTTACTACCTCATCCTTGTGTATATAGTCTTCTTAAAAAAATCATTTTCTATATAGAATGTTTTCTCTTGCAATTTTGGCACTGTGTGTTTCTAAATTATTCTTGTGCTGACTTTACACTTTTCTTTTTGGAGCTGTTGTGACAGAGAACTTTCCAGACTGTAGGATTAATAAAGTTGATCTTATCTTATCATTATGGATGTCTGAGCTGTATAGTTCTAGCTTGAAAGGATCCAGCTGAGGTGGTTCAGGCATCTGATTAGGATGCCTCCTGAGGGTTGGTCTTTGGAGGTTTTCCGGGATGCCCAACTGGGAGGAGAGCCCGGGGTAGACCCTGAAGAACAGTGCTAGGGAGAGTCATGCTGCCAAGATAAGTGGAAGATAATGGATGGATGGACATTAATATATTGTGGGGAAGGGGTGGATTCCAGTATTTGTTCCCCCAGTATAGCAGTACTATATTTTTTAATAATGGCCCTGGAACATGGGTCAATACTCCTTCAAATCACAAGTAATTCTAGTTGGTAAACGTCTCAGAAAAGAACCTGCTTGAGAAAATTAATAGCATCCATATTGTCCATTGTCTCCACAAAATTGATTTCTGCTCCACTTTGTGATTGGTTCGCCGTTTGATGTTGCCGGCTCTGTCTCTGCGCTCCCTCCAAGATCTCGCGGGATTTGGGAGCGAACGGGCGGTTGAAGAAAGGTGGTTCCCTCGCTGCACCGGGCTGACGGCAGAGCTGCACAGGTATCCAGCAGTGAGCGCTGTGGGCTCCCCCCCGCTAGTCTACCTAGCGACACTTCTCCGCCTCTCTCTCTCTCTCTCTCTCTCTCCGTGACTCGACCGGAGCGTCTGGAAGGTGCCAATCCGCCCCGCAGCACCACCGTAACCCGCTCAGGTCACCTTAGCCGTCGCCCACCGGCATTTTCCCGTCCGAAGATGATACCTGGCGAACGAAGAGCTGCAGTCATGTCCTTCTCGGTGGTGATACTCGGGGCGCTGATGCTGCAGTCGGTGTCTTCCCAGTACGGTAAGAAAATAGCGGCTCTCCTTATAGAAAATACAACCTCACATCATGGCGAAACTGCGGTTTTAAATTGAGGCTTTTTTTTTTAATTTTTATTTTTTTTAAATGAAGCGTTTGAGGACTCCCATGTTGTGAGGAGCGCTGTGTCTGTCCGGCAGTCAAACCTCATGAGATAATCCCTTTATGTTGCTATTAAAGACGCCTGCTCGTCGAATGAAGCTGCGTTTATTTCCACACCGTTTTGAAATGAAGCTTCAGCAAAATATTACCCAGCTACAGTCGGGTTTTGCTTGAATTGGGCCACACGGAGGCCTGTCCCTAAAACGTCCTTTGAAGTGTGGAGCTGAATACTGAGTCGAAACATGAGAGTCACAGTCAAGCAAGCTCAGGACACGCAGAAATGTGTATGAATTTAAGTCTGAAATGTGCTGTGTTTCCCCCCCTCACACACTCACTCATTCATGCACACAGTCACCGTGCTGTCACGCTCGGATCTGCTCAGATATGTGAGGATCTGCTTCAGGAATCCAGCAGTGCATCTCCCAGCTCCTCTCCTACAGGATGAGATCACTCTCTGCAGGAGAGCAGCCTCCTTGTAACGCAGCACAACATGTAGGCCTGAGTAATTAGATGTAGGACCTCAGGAGTGCGGCTCTGTAAATAGCATCAGTCCATTTTGCTGCATGCTTCTATTTTTAGAGCAGGGATGCTGCACTGGGAACCATGGCTTTGCTGTCCTCCTCCTGCAACAGTGGATCTGTTAACTCCTCGCTGGAGGTGTGCTGCACTGCACCGCAGAGTGGCATTGATTTCTCAGCGCAGTTCCTACTTGTCCAGATGACCCTCGGCTCATAAATCTCGGCTCCCACCGAAACAGATCAGGGCAGCGTGGCCCCCCTCCTGTCAGCTGATTGTCTGCTGGTGGATACTGTAACTGTGCATCGCTGCCAGCGTTGTGTGAGAATGTATTTGGCTCTGGCCTTCCCCGGAGTGGACCATGTGTAGGACTGCATTACACATCTCCTCCTATACTGCACACCCACTCACAGCAGCTCTACCTCAATCAGAGCTATAGCGGATAAAGCTCAGACTTTTGGTTAGAAGTAATGGCTTTTTATCTGACAGGGAGGCACGATGTGTGATGTTATCTTCTTTGCTGGTTTTCAGAGACTGGACGCTATAGTGTGCTGTTGGATTAGTGTATATTATATCTTATTTTTCTGATTTCTTTGCTGAATCTGGTGAGGCAGGATACTAATGCAGATTGCAGGCAACCACATATCAGAAGCCATTTGTATAATGGCTGTTCATATGTGCAGCTATTCCCAGCGTGATTCCCCACGGATGTGTGTTTCATCTAAAGTAGAATGGCTCTTAGCAAGAAGGCTGTTTAATAATGACGTTCAAGCCAATTCATTTTTAGTTTTGGTAGTACAATTCAGATTATATATTTTGATGCTTCAGTAATAAAAAGATTGCAGTCATCCTCGTAAATTTCCTGACATGAATTATTTACCTCCATTCGTAGACAGAGGGTTTGGAGTTGAGGTTAGTTTGACAGACTGACAGTGACAGGACTGTAGATCTGTCAGAAAAGAGGTTTCAGGATTTAATAAGTGGAGCATATAAAAGTGAAAGGTAAAAAAAAGATATGTATTGGGAGTTTTAACACGGGCTATAAACTCAGTGTTCATCCAGCGAGGCATATAAAACAGAAAGCTTGAAATGAGCTTTAAATATGACTGTGTAATTTGCAGTAGGACTATAAATATGAATGATTTTAATTGCCATATTCATCATTGAAAATCCAATGATCATTTTCCCAGTTTGTTAATTAGTGGTTTCATCAGAAAAAAGGTACAAAGAAAAAGATGAAGCTCTTCACAGTTCCCTGCAGCCCAAAATGACATCCTCATGTTGCTTATTTTGTCTGAAAAACAGCTCAAAAACCCCAAAGATATTCAGCAGAGTGGCACATAAAGTAAAGAGAAGCATGAAATCCTTGGTTTGGAAAATGAAAACCGGTTATTGATCAGATTGATCGTCCACATTGATGCTGATTGTTTTCTGTCAGTCATTTATTGGATAAATCACATTAGCTCTAATTTGCATTTCGGTTATATTTAACATCAAAGGCGATCTCTGCTGGGAATTTTTGATTAAAGTAGTGACATTCTTTGTTGCTCAGCTCCTCTTGCAGCTCCCTCATGGCCTGCATATAAAACATCAAAACCCTGAAACAATGCAGACTTTTAAATCAATTCATAAAATCCTTTTTTATGGACCTGACTGCAGGAAATGAATTAATTGGCACATTTCAGTACATTCATTTGTTAACATAAAGCGAAACTTTCTGAGTGTTAAAATATTAAAGGCTTTTTTGATATCCAGTTAATACTGGCCAGCTTGTAAATGTGTCCAATGTGGACCTTCTGTACTTGTTCTCCTGTTTTCTGTTCTGATAGAATATTCATTTAGCATCCAGTTAGCTGCTTTATATGTGTTGGTACATTAACTGGGACTGTGGCCAGAATTACTTCAGTTTAAACAGATTCACCAGAAGATCCAGAGAAAATATCTGCAAGGAAACACTCATGACTGTTCCGAGGCCATCTGTTGTCAGGTTGTGCTGTTAGATGTGTGCGGTTTGACTAATCAGCCAGAAATTAGCATACATTTAAACTCTGAATCAGTCCTCCAGTAGTGTTATAAAGTGGACTGAGGAGATTTAGAACTGACAGTTTCATTTGTGCTTTAAGCAAAGTGTTAACCTCCTGCTCTGGCAGGATGAGGGTGAAAGACAGATGTTGACTGGTCCTCACTGAAACTTTGACGTGTGATTGTAGATAAAATGCAGAATTATAAATTATGCAATCACAAAATCATTCTTCTTCTAGATGACGTTTTCTGACGTATTGGACTTAAAAAAAAAAAGGTCATGTTTAGAGCAAAGATGATCGATCACCAGCTGTTCTGATGGTCAATTGAAGTTGCAGGCAGTGATTCTGGAGCAATAGTGCTGATGTTTAGATATTTACCATATTTGTGTAGTTAGAATGTTCTAGATTTAGTCTTTTAACCACTGCTGCCTCTCACATCTGTTTGTCCTGTGCACAAGCTCAAACATGCATGAGCGCTGTGTACACAGCACATAGTAAAACCATGGTTTGTGTTATTTTATAATATTCTGATATTTTAGAGGGGCTGCAAGGTGGCGCAGTTGGTAGCACTGTTGCCTCGCCTTTGTGTTCCGGTGGGGGCACCGGGATCTTTCTGTGCGGAGTTTGCATGTTCTCCCCGTGCAGCGTGGGTTCTCTCCGGGTTCTCCGGCTTCTTCCCACACAGTCCAAAAACATGTAGAGGTTAATCGGTGATTCTAAATTGTCTGTAGGTGTGAATGGGAGTGTGCTTGATTGTCTGTCTCTAAGTGTAGCCCCGTGATAGACTGGTGACCTGTCCAGGGTGTCCCCTGCCTTCACCCTAAGTCAGCTGGGATAGACTCCAGCCCCCCACGACCCAAATGAGGATTAAGCGGTGTATAGATAATGGATGGATGATATTTTAGAGACCAAATAAATATTTGATTAAAAACGAGGACTAATTTATTTACACAGACATTTCAAATACAAGGCAGTTTTGTTGTGGTTTGGTTCAATTCTGTCATAAAACAGCCTGCATATGGCACCGTTTCCCTCATATTTACCAGGAAAACAAACTAAAACCCACAAATCAAATCCAGGGTAAAACATTCAACACAAAACAAACGAGATAAAACAAACTGGGCTTTAGAGATGTGTAGACTCAAAACAAAAAGACTACATAATATGAAAGTGTGTCCATGTGTTCAAATTCTAAGGAAATACAATCACAAGACACTAAACAACAAAAATTGGCAAGAAGACAGTTGGAAACAGTAGGTTTTTATTTCTTTAATGCTTTTAAAGGTGGTCATTTGGCACATTAATAATAAATCAGTCAACAGATTGGTTAATAATGAATATGACTGTTAGTTTACCTAAAATTAACCATCTTTTGGTTTGGACAAAGCAAATAATTTTATGGTGTCACATTGTGCTTCTAGAAATATAGTCATCTTTTGGAGCAAACTAACAAAGATAGACGAATTGATAATGAAAATAGCTGTTAATTGTTGCTCAGATTAAGAATATGATGATAATACTGATTAATGATCTGCAATGATCATGAAATAGAAATGAAAAAGTATAGTGTTTCCTTATTGTTGAACTAGTCAATTAGCTGAATAGTTCATGGAAAGAAAATGGTAAGGAAAGAAATATTAATAATTATTATCTTTCAAGTATGATTGCAAACATTTGATAGTTCCAGCTTCTTCAATGTGGGTATTTGCTGATGTTCATAGCCTTGTGTCTCAGTAAACTGAATATCTTTGGGTTTTTGGGCCAAACCAGTAATTTAACGACATCACCTTGTGCTTTATATCAACCACAACAGGCACTGCTCGCTGTTTTATAGACCAAATGATTAATTGAATGCTCTAAGATCCCACTTCTCCATGAGACACACGTCCCCACATGCCAAAACTAAACCCAGCATCAGCTTGACGTGTGAGACGTCATTCAGACACGTTCGCTTCAGCGGCTTGTGGAAACGGGGCGACTGTCTCAGCACTTTTGACGCATCCAGACTACCGGAGGTGGCAGGGTCTGGCTCTCAGCAGTTCTGTATTAAAAGCTGAGGTGTTGGTTTTCACTCATGTTGTTTACTGGAATCTTTATGTGCTCCCAGTATATGAGCTGGTCTTGAGGAATGACTTGTGGGCTGTGCAGCAGCAGCAGCAGCAGCAGCAGCAGCAGCAGCAGGGTTTTATGATGTCAGCTTTAAAACAAAAAAAGAAAAGAGAGAGAGAGGGAAACATGTGATTGTCTGTGTTGTGATGGTCTGCCTGATCTGGTTGGCTGACTCTTCCTCTTCCTACTTTGTTGCCGTAGAGTGCTTCTATGGAAACGGAGGGGGTCTATCACCATGCGCCCACACGCTCCCCGGAGACCAGAGCTGCAGCTTCTATAAATCTCCTCTCGATCTCATGCTCTCCACGGTGCCTATAGACCACGCTTATGACTACAGCCCTCCGTCCTCCTCCTCCTCCGCCTCTCTCGGTGCCGCCATGATCAATTGTTTCATATTCACTTACTTCTGAGGAGGAGCCATTTCAATCCAGGAAAATTAACAGCAGACTCCGCCGCCGTCCCATCATTGAATCGTTATGTAAACATTTCCGAGCAATGATCATGTTTTTGTTATACAGACAAGACTTACTGAGAACGACAAGGTCACGTGGAGGACTTTCGGATGTGAGCGCTGTACGAGCCAGACATAAATTTATATGATGTCATTAATTGGACAAAACCAAAGGAGAGCAGCCTTGCAGGGACGTCCCAGAAGAATTGAATTAAAGCTTCCCAGGAATAGCAGCAATAATGGCTCAGGCAGATCTGAGGTCGTCTCTCTTTCTCCCACTAAAAATATCAGTCTGGTTGCTCCTTACACTCCGGTGTTGATGTCAGTATTTTTTGTTTAACATCCTGCAACACGAGATGATTTTATATTGTGTATTAGAGCAGAAATGATTAGACAATTAACTGAAATGCTAATCCAAAAAAACCCAAATTCACCTGCAGCTACTTACAATTGGGATTTGCAAGTTCCTGCCTCTCACCTGAGGGCATCTGTTGCTTTTTGTTGAATATAAAGATAAATATCTGTGGCCAAGTTAGGCGGACAAAACAATTTCAAGACAACACTTCTTGCTCTGGAACATTAATGTCATCTGTTTCTTATTAATTGAGAAAATGATTGGCGCATTGATTAATAGGTCTGCAACAATTATTTTCATTTTTCTCAATTGAAAGATGAGTTGTTTTGGCTATACCATATCATGAAATGGTAAAAAATGTTGATCAGTGTTTCCCAAAGGCTGAAATGATGCATCAGATGTCTTGTTTTGTCCACAACTCAAAGATATTTAGTGTACTGTCGTAGTAAAGAAAAAAGAAAATGTTAAAACTAAAGAAGCTGTAGTCAGAGAATTGATGCTTTTTATCCCTTAAAACACTACCCAAACCGATTAATTCATTATAAAAATAGTTGGTGATTAATTCAGTAGTTTTTAACTAACTGATTAATTACTGCAGCTGTAATTTCTAATGTAAAATAATATTTTATGTTCAATATTCCCATCCCTAATTTGAATATGTCAACTTAGGCAGACATTTTTACAAGCAAAAAAAAATCATTGATTAATTGAGGAAATAAGCAACTGATTAATCGATGATCAATCTTTGTTTCCATTTTATTAATTTCAGTATAATTTGTCTTGATTGTTTTTCATTGTGATTTTTATTTCTTTTCCTTTTCTTGTTCTTTTTTAATTTAATCTGTTATTTTCTCGCCTTTCCATCCCGCACCTGTTTCCCTTCTTTGTCTCGCCTCTGGACACGCTGCCGCTCTTAAACCAACACCAGCGGGTTTTGTGAAATCTCCTCTTTCTGAGACTAAGCTCACGGGCGACACCTTTGAGCTGTACTGTGACGTGGTAGGTACCCCCACCCCAGAGATCCAGTGGTGGTACTCTGAGATCAACCGGGCCGACTCCTTCAGGCAGCTGTGGGACGGCGCCCGTAAACGGCGGGTGGCCATCAGCACGGCCTACGGCGTCAACGCAGTGAGCGTGCTGGGGGTGTCGCGTCTCACGCTGGACGATGCTGGCACCTACGAGTGCAGAGCCAGCAATGACCCGCGGCGCAATGACCTCCACCAAAATCCAGCCACCACCTGGATCCGTGCTCAGGCCACTATAACAGTGCTGCAGAGTGAGTGGTCAGTGTAGAACGTCCCTCCCCCAGCTCCTGTGTGATTCAGCCTCCCTCAGACCTCTCCAGAGGACAGCCAGCTTCCTCCGTAGGTGCCATCCTCCCCTGCAGACCTGGAAAATGAAGAAAAACACCATCTCGCCCTCATGTTATCTTTTGCAAGCAGAGTAGTATTTGGCATCCTTTACTTGAGTAAATCCTTCAAGCTGTAGCGCCTGTAGAGCCCAGTTGTCCTTCAGTTCCTCTGTGCTTCATTTCTCTTTTCCTTTAGCTCTTTTCTGATCATTTCCCTGAATTTATCATCAAAATGTTGAATTTGAATATTTCTGTTGTTATTGTCATAACCTTCTTTCCTGTGTTTCAAGATGTTACAATGATAAGCATTCAGTATCACCTCAATCACAACCATACGTTTTATTTCAGCAGTCGTAGCACATCTTATTTCTGACTCCCATCAACAATTCTTAGGATACAGGAGTATCATTGCTGACAAAGAAGAACCTGAAATGTAAAGAACCTAAATGGAAATACAAACCTGTGGCTAATGAGCCTGGGTGTTGAATCTCAATACTTTTTTTTTGGTTGGCTCGAAGTGCCAAAAGCTGCCATCATATAATAGTTTTTTAATTATCTTGCTATATATATTTTGACATGTGCTGCTACCTTCTTGGCCAGGTCACCCTTGTAAAAGAGATCCTGGATCTCGATAGGTCTTAACCTGGTTAAATAAAGGTTAAATAAAAAATAGGTCACATGTTTAGTGATATTACTAATCTCATTAGGAACAAATCCAAATTTATGATAAAAACAATTTGGTTGATATTTGGGTCACATACTCCTATTGCCAACTTTATAGTTGGACTTTTTATTAACAAAAAGAAGAAACAACGTTATCGTGCTCCCCTGTGTAAGGTATCAAACTATTATTTTAGTATCAGTGCTGACTCATACGAGCCAATACAACCTGTAGCACTGCAAAAATAGGATACTTGGCTGCATATGTATGTTAAGCAAATTAGCGTTTTAGGCTGTGACCACGGATTAAGAGGTTCACTCTGGTGTCTACAAGTGCAAACAAGATGTAGATAATCAGGATTAAACGCATACCTGCTCTCCAGTTAAAGTGTGCATTGTTTAAAAGCTGATTCAAGTGTAGCATATGGTTAACATATGGTTATATGTCAAGCACATACAAATCCTGGCGTATTTTTTCAGGGGGTTCCTTCAGTTATAAGAGAGCCAAAGGATGGACCTTGACCTGAATCAGTTATGTTAGGCTTTGCTGTAAAAATACACTTTGAAGATTCTGAGTTTGTTTCAGCATATATTAAAGTAATGTGCTTTGTGAAAATGTTTTGGAAAAAATAGTTGTACAGTGACTGTATTCCAGTACTGTGATCGCAATAATAACAGTTTAGTTGTATCCTATACAGAAGCTCTTTTTCTAGAGGGAGAATCCTCAATGTTCCTCAACAAAACTATATAGAGGCCACAAGCTAAAGTAACAAAACCATGACTTTGTGTCATGGACATTTTTCAACTTTAGTTTTAACAAATCCTGTTTTTATTCAGTCATTGTGGCTCTAAATAGTACAGTACACATGAAAACACCAAACTGTTGCTGCTGAGACAAAACACAACACCCTAGCTTCAGAAATCATCCAACAAGGATTTAATTTAAGCTGCATATTGAATTATAAAACCGTTTTACTTTCTAATGCGTTTAGCCAGGTTTTTTTTTTGTATTAATAACTAAATTGAGAGAGTTTCTGCTCCATCTGAGCCAGATAATGAATGGAGTTCTTCTTTAGGATGCCCAAAATAGTTCCTCCCACTTTGCGACTCTATTCCTGTGCTATATTGTATAAAGAGTGGTTGGCTGTGATGTCTGGCTGAACCTTTTGCAAATTGTTGTTTACATCTTCCAACACACCCTCACCCACGACACCCAGCGAGCATCACTTGTGTCGTAGCTGAGGTATGTTTCTGTTACAGAGCCGTCAATCACTGCCTCTGAGCATGCCACGCTTCCTGTGGAAGGCGATAGTCTCATGCTGCAGTGCAACCTGACCAGCGCCCACAGCGCCCACGTGGACAGCTACTGGATGAAAAATGGGGAAGAGATCTCGGAAACACGCAGTACCAACAAGAACACCGAGTACAAGTAGGTAGTCGCAGCGGCAAAACTGGGCAACTTGTGTGTGAGTGACAGTTTAGCAGCCTGGCATGGGTTCACTTGAGGTGTGCTTCTGATCTGCAGGCTGCACAGACCAAGAGGAGACGACGCAGGCTTGTACATGTGTGTCTACACCTTCGAAACGGCTCCCGCGGCCAACGCCACCATCGAGGTTAAATGTAGGTGTTGATTCGTGAGCTGCAGGCGTGTTTGCTGTTTCAAGGCCACATCAGAGATGCCACCAATAAAAATGGCCTTGAGCTGTAGCAGGCCTGTCATGTGAGGACCTGTGATTTCAAACGGCTCTGCTGGCTGCTCAGGGGCAGCCGGCGCCCTTGACACCTCCGTGCAGCCAGTGCCTGGCTCAGTGGCAGCAGATGGTGTCTTGTTTGTCTGATGGCAAGGGATTATGTCTCAACGGTAAAATCTGGTCAGCCTTTTCTGCTGTCACACATGCATCGCTATGGAGGCAAATTGGATTTTTACTTTGTGGAGCATTTCAATTTATTCTTGTAACGGGCAGTTTTTGCCACATACAAAATACACAGAATAATGCATACAGCTTAATGTTATTTTAAATCACATCCTCCTGATAGATTAGAGGAAATATATGATGAGGAAATATATATGTGGAATTTTCACTTCTGCTCACACACACAGGTTAGTCAGGATTCCTAACACATTCTCTGGATACAAAAAACAAACTAATGGAAAATTACCCATATTAAGTGGATTAGTAGAAATGCACAGAATATGTTTGATTTTTTTAAAATATGAGTTTACTTCTTTTATATCTCTACTATGTTTCTGAACATAGAAGCCTGTAGGGGATTATACTAAAATGATATGATGATGTAAATTCAAAAAGGGAAAAAGTACTTCCATAAATTTTCCACAAATGCAAACACTATAATCCATTTTGCATCCTCTTGTTCGCATACGCGTATGGGCGTTCTGTGACTATATTAAAATGAAAATGGAAAAGCTGTTTGACATTTAGCTTGCAAAGTCAGAACCTGCTGTACAGAGGACAGCATTCAAATGTTGATTCAAATTTGAGTTAGCATTTGAAATGCAATTATAAACAATATAACCTTTTATTTTCCATTTATGAAAGCAATATTTAAGTCACGAAATAAATTAAAATTTTTCTAGCATTTGAAAGTGAAAATGACATTTGATGTTTAATTTTCGAAAACTTAGCGTGCCAGACAGTGAACAATATTTGAATACAATAAGAGAAACGGTACCTTTAGTCTATTGCATTTATCTTTTATTATCCAAACTCCTTGAAAAAGAAAAGGTCATAATCACAAATGAGTACAGACACTTTTATTCGCATGTCAACACTGGATTTTTGATATGTTCTATCTTTTAGCTGCTCCTGAGATTACAGGCCACAAACGCAGTGAGAATAAGAACGAGGGCCAGCGTGCTTTACTCTACTGCAAGTCTGTCGGCTATCCTCACCCAGTCTGGACTTGGCGCAAGTTTGACAACGGCGTTTTTAGGGTATGTCATATGAATATATATCATATTAACAGATTTCTATCACATTAATACTTACAGGTGCTCCATGTTTTGCCGGGATGCAGTAACCGAGAGGCCACCTGTTTTGTGATGTACAAAACTGTGCATTTACTTTCATTCAGGCTGTTTGAATATCCTGACTTCTTTTGATGAATAGAAAACAAAAATCTTGGAGTCTGATTCTACTATAATGGTATGATATGTACAGTAGCTGGAAAAACACATGTCGTCCCAGTCCATCTACTGGTTCAACCACTAGCTATTAAAGGCAGCTAGGAGATACTGAGAGCACCGAAGGTTAAGAGGTTAAAATCCACTTTGGCTGACTTTCAACGGCAGTAATGTAATGTACAGTGTATTCTTGGGGATTCTTTGCAATACCTTACTTCTACCGACTTACTGGAGATATTCAAGCTCAAACAGAAAATTTCTTTATGCCTACATGATTGAACCAAATTGACAATCTTGCGTGTACTTTCAAAGTGCTTTAAGTGGTCAAAATGAGCTTTAAAACAAATCAGCATTAGAAACATTGAAGGTAGAGGGAGTGAAATGGAACAGAGCACCAAAATAAAGAATTTTAAAAAATCAAGAAAAACAGTAAAAGTTGCAGAGAAAACAAAAAATATGCTGTTGAAGTGATTTATTGTTTGTTTATCACCTAAATATTACGTTAGTGCTTTAAAACATCATGAGTTAAATTAGAACCATCACTGCTGCTGTCAAGTCCTCAACATCATTTTGTTAATTTCATCTCCTGATAGGAAATTGACAACTCAACCGGACGCTTCTTCGTCAGCAGCAGAGACAACTACACTGAGCTCCACATCGCCAACCTGGACATTAGTTTAGATCCGGGCGAGTACCACTGCAACGCCACCAACATGATCGGCAGCCGTGACGAGAAGTCTGTGTTGAGGGTTCGCAGCCACTTGGCCCCCTTGTGGCCTCTGCTGGGGGTTTTGGCTGAGATCATCATCCTGGTCATCATCATCGTTGTTTATGAGAAGCGTAAGAAGCCAGAAGATTTACAAGACGGTGAGTCACCAGCGATGGTTCTTAGGACTGTCTCATTAGTCCACTGCTTTTGATTTATTTGGAGAGAAATTAGTTTAATTGTTCATTTTTTTGGACGTGAATCTCTCTGGGGTTTTTTTTTTTTTGTGTGCAAATTCTTGCATTTTGCATCCAACAGCCCCGTCAGTGTGGATTTGGGCACTGAATGTAAAAGGAGGCACACTTTCCTTTTGTTGTGTGCCTCCAGTCATTCCTTCAGCAGAGTCACCTGACACTCTGCTGTGCCTGCATTCAATAATTCAGTCTGGGGAGGTCGACCAAATTGGAAGACACTATTGCAAGAGGTCGCACCTTGTCAGGACAATCTCATGCATTTAATATTAATGAGAAATATGATACTGCAGTGTTGCGGAGGTGGATAATTTCAATTATTAATAGCTTTCTAGGGACCTTGTGGTGTCCCCAAGCTCCTACAAGCTTAACCATGAGACCCATTAGTTTGCTATACAACCTGGGTATGCCATCCTGCCATTCCTAATACTACTGAGTGCTTCATTTTCCAGAATCAAGCTTGTATCATAAATTATGCATTAATGGTATTTGGACAACCTTTTCCTCTCAAACAGAATTTTGATGTTGTCACACGCTGATTAGATGCAACATGCAGTGAATGACTGACAGCTCGGAGCCGTCAGTGACTCTCACTGACACTTAGTCACTGTTCAGGAATATAATGTCATTACGGTTCATTACTTTGTCAGAAATGCACTGTTGCAGAATCTGGGGGTGTCACAGTCACCTTGAGAATCCTCTCAGCCTTTCAGTAGCAATTTAAATTATTGTAGATTGCGTGAATCATACAGCAAATGCTTGCGTGCATTGTTAATAATTCATATTTTACTTGCATTTCTTTAGATTGGGTTAGCTTTGGCTATTGAATATTTTAACAGCCTGTTGTAATATCTCCCATCCTCCCCTTTTTTTCAAATTGCATAACCTAAACCATGTTTGTGGTAAGTGGTAAGACTTTGCATGTCTCATGAATTTCAATAAGCATTCAGCTTCATCTCCTTCCAGTTCACAGCTCAGTAAACAGTTCTGTTTAAGCTTCCTCTGTGTTCAACATGTGCAAGTGCAATCCAGAATTTATTTTTTATTTTTTTAAAGATTTTCTTTTACAAAACAATAACCTCATATATTTGCATCACACTCATGACTACTGCGGCAGTGATTGGCATGCAAGTCACTGTAAAGTCCTGAAAATATTTTGTGTTTATCAGTCTTTGCTCCTGTCGCTGTAACACCGCTTCACTGAATTGTTAGGCACAGTTGAGAGCCGATTATGATGCTTCTCACTAATTTCTTTAAGTGGACAGATGTTCTTTGTGAGCGCTGCTTGTCTGTGCATGACAACAGTATTTTTTTTAAATTTCAATTTTGCCTGAATGTAAGTGTTCTCACTTGCTCATGCGTTTTTAATGTGATGTTAAACTGCATTCTGTGTGTTTGTGAGTTATCTCATGAGGTGGTTTTCCTTCGGCATGACAGCCTGTTGTTCACTATTACCTCATCCAGGCTGCGTTTTCATCCCATAATACAATCTGCACATACAGTACAGATGAACCATAGAACTTCAGGGCCAAGTGCACCATGTGTTAGTCAATCACAGCTACAAGCTAAACACTTCATCAACGTGTGCAACTTCCTTGCGATTGTTATATTTTTTTGGTCTTCATTTCTCCATATTTTCCCTTGCTGCCTCAGATGACGACCTAGCTGGACCAGTGTAAGTAAAAACACTTCAGCTTCACTACCCTTCTCTCTGTTTAGCTCGGTAAAGTGTTTCCTTGTAGATTATCATGATGTGTCTACTCCTGACAGTCTGTAGAGCTCACTATAAACTAGTTCCCAAGTCTGAATACCAGCGAGCATCATGTTGCAGCGCTTCAGATGTCAAATAAATCACAGGAAAACATCCTAAAGTCAGGTTAGGACACTTGTATGACTGACAAGCTGCAGCATTGTCCTGATTAAGAAAGCCCTGCTCATGATGCTCTAAGATGCTACTTCAAACCCTTTTATTCAGCATTTATAAGCACTCTTTAGTCGCTTAATAAATGGTTTATAACTCTATAATGTAGTTGTAAGCAGATGTAAGTCTTTATTTGTGTATTTATAGATAATAATGTAATAGTAAGATAATACAAAAAATAAAATGTCTTCCCAAGAGAAGTAATAGTACGGTACATTATTGATCAGGAATAATGTCCTTATATCTGCATATAACTACATTATACTGTGTTGATTATTTGTGATATGTTTTATAATTGCTAAAAAGAAGGCTTAAAGTAAAATCGGGTGAATACTTTTTTTTTTTTTTTTTTTAAACCCAAAACAAAACAAAAAAAACAATTGGGCCCAGGTCTGTTGTACTCCTCCAGAGTAAAAACAAAAACAGATAGCGTTTTGTGTCCATGCAATCAGCTGCTTAATGCACACTATGAGTGTTGCTTTCATAGCTGATTCAGTAGATTGTTCAGCAGTAACCCTGATGCAGCAATGAGGGCATTGATCAACTGTTACGCTTTTTGATTTCAATTTGAATTAGTATTACATTTGTAAAAGGAAAAAAATTCCATCATGAGTTTGCAGATTCTAAAAGGTTACTTAAAATTAGTTAATTACCTTGATCAGCAATCAGATTTGTCTGAATTGTAAGGTCATTAAACAGAGAAAGGCAAACTTATGGTATTTTCATGTATTAAATGGCTACAGTGACTTAGTTGTTAGATTATTTTCTCTCAACTAATTTGTGATTTCGAATGCAGTAACTTGTACATCAGCCACCAGTTGATTATGTGAACTGATTGTGTCGTTTTCTTCCTGCTAAAGGAAAACTAACTCAACCAACAACCACAAAGACAAGAATCTGCGCCAGAGGAATACAAACTGAGCAGCCTGTCTGCTGAGTAAGTATTCAATTATTAAGAAGAAGCCTGACAATAAATATGTATTACAGCCCCGTGGCCACGAGCACAAGATGATCTATGGTATGAAATTGGCACTGAAAGCTCCTCTCCGGTAGAATAACCTACATGTTGTGAGCCTACTGTCAAACTGGGCTAATGAGCTGCATTTTCTCTTCATTCGCAGGTCTCATTACACATGTATTGACCATATGAAGGTAAACAAGAAGGGACTCCATACCAGTTGTTAATAGGATGTATCTGCCATTAAAAGTATGGTTGTGGAGGAATTAGATGAGGCATGCCTTATGATTTTGTTGTGTGAAGGGTGCGAGGTCAGGAGGTACTCAAACCATTATGGAATTGTTAACATTATAACCATTGTTGCTGCATGCAGTTGTTGACGTTTATGATTTTTTCCCTCTTATCCACTAATTTTACATTTTTACTACTTCTAAAGTAATGCATGCAAGATGTTGACCTTCTGTTTGACACAGAAATGGCTTGCTTTCTTTTTTCTTTTCGATTCTTTTCTCTGAGAGTGGCTTCATGTAGATAACCTGTACTGTGTGTTCTAGAGGAAAAACAAAACTCAGCAAATGTAAAAGAAAATATCACCATAATCTGGTATGACAGGTGTGTACAGTTTTATCATTCCGCTGCATACCATTTATTGATTTTATCAGACGATATATATGACATTTTAAGGGCTTTGCAATGTCCCTCTAAATTTGGTTAAGATTTACTTTACTGTATGTATGTACTGTATGTATTAAATCACAATAACTATGTATCAGATCACCATTAATATAAAGACTATTCATATTATATGATGCACTTAAATGTTGACAATAATGAAAAACTGTATAAACCTACTTTAGGAAATTGTACTAATCATTCTAACATATTATTTTATAATTCTGTGTATTGTACAGCATGGCTATTATCCTATGCAATTATTATCCATATCAATATATTGAAAAGTCATTGCAGCTTTTGATTTCTCTGTGACAAAGCTTTAAACTAGTAGGATCACCGTAGAGCGTTGATGGCATACCACACAGCTGCATGAATTCTCTACTGCTGACGTGGGAGGCGGTGAAAGAAAAAAAAAAAGCCCACGTCAGAGCTGACACATGTGAAGCAATTCCAAGATCCCGAGTCATTTTTAAGAATAAATATCTCAAAAAAGACAACGTGTCTGTCGAGTTGGCTTCTTTGCAAAAACACACACAGAGTTGGAGCGGTAACGATCCACAGCAGAGGGCCTGTAGGGATGCAGAGAAATAAGAGTTGTGGAGAACAGCACCACCTTGTGAGATTTTCAGTCGGTCGCACCAGACAGGAGAACAGGATGAAGTTCATCTTAGAAGAAGAAGCATCAGGAAACCTTTAATCAAAATGTGCACAACAGTGTTTTTAATCAATCATCAACATCAATTAAGACTTGATTATTGTAGGCAAAGAAACACAATGTTCAAAAAGCGCATACCTCCATTCATGAGCAGCACTCAGACATAACAAATATTTACTCTGCCCATGTTCTTCACATTTTTTTCTTCTTCCACCATGATGTTCAAGCTCCAGATAAGATATTAAGTGATGGGAAAAGGAAAAGGACTCCAGATAAAAGAGATGAAGCCAATTTTCTGGTCAGGATTATGTATAAGTGGGAGTATTGAAGAATACTGCAGAGGACACTGAGGCCACATCCTCATCTTCATTGTATTTGCAAGTTTTGAACAACTTGTGCTGGTTTTAATTATTTTTTTTAACCACAATTTGGATATCTTTTTTTAAGCCCAGTTCTTCAATTATACATTTTCCCCACACAAACCTACAGTTAAATACACTAATTTCATATTTCTCCAATAAAATTATGTTGAGGCTTCAACATAGCGTTGTACAAATGTGTTATGAAAACAAAATTTGCAGAATTTAAATGAGACCATTTAACTGCTGTACAGTAATTAATATGCAACCTGTTGAAAAAAGAAATTCCATGCTTACTTTTTAGTGGTGAGTCAAGAGTTTGATGATGAGTGAGGTTGCATTGGGAAACTTTCTACCATCTGGCCACCGCCACCGTGAAACAAAAATAAATCATGATCTCTTAGGTTGTAATTTATTATCCACGCGTTCCTTTTATGTACATGTATCCTTGCTCTATTCTCGTTAGTAGAGGAACATTCTGGTAACTCAGCAGAGTTGTTGAGGAAGTGCCTGTAGGGGTCAAAATTTATGGTCAGAGGTCAACTATAGATACGTTTACATCCCTGAAAGGTTGTTGCCTTTCCAAAGATGGACTCAGCTTTTCTTACATGGTATGTACACAATACCAGAAGGTTTAAGCATAAAATCTATTTACAACGAGCCAATAAGAAAAGAGTTTGTTCACTGTGGATGATATACTTGATCCTGGAGAGAAGAGTGAGGTCTCTCCTCTCATGCTGAGTAGCGTCTTCTCCATGGTAATGATGGACTTTCATTCTCCATATTGTTAGCAATAATAAATCTATGGGCAACCCAGCAGTGTGTTTGTTATCTTACTCAAGGGTAGAACCTGGGTGCGTAAAATATCCTCAACACACTGGAGTTACAGATAAATCAACGAAACAATTAGAGGCTTTTATATGCAACTGTCATACATGCATCGTTTGCACAAGATCAGCTTATTTATGGTGACTGATATACATTATTTCTGTTTACAACGTCTTATATTAATGAACAGATGAGGAGTTCCTAATCTCCTCAGCAAAGACAGGAAACTAAGTCATTGAGCCACTTCGTAGAAGAAGGAGAGGAGGAGGATTTCCTGTTCTGTACCAAACAGTCACCACACACATACACACACTATTGGAGGTAAATACTGCTTAGACCAATCAGCCACAACCTAGAAGTCCCTCTTTGGTCATTGATCAACCCCCTAAAAACTCATCTCTGTGTATCAAAGTTCTATAATTAGAATTTTTTCCGTTACAATAACACCTTCATTCCTTAAAGTGGCTTAATTGTAAATCTGCACCATTGCTTCCTCTAGAATGTGCAGATCTAAGAAGTCCTGGTCTCCTCCCCATTCGCTGCAGCTCTTGCTCACCAGCTCACCCACAACTCTTCTCACACACTGTCATACGTGTTCAAACCAGATTCTAAAGGGGGAAAAAAATATAGAAGGCTGATATGATCGGTAGTTTTATCACATACGAAACCTTTTAAGTCTGAATCTGTATTTTTGAGATTGTCATCACTGAGCTGCAGATTTATGGTTGAAAAAGGATCATGTGGTGTGCCTTTTTTTACGCGTATGTCTTCTTCGGTATCAGCATGTTGGCAGTAAATTCTTTGGGTGCTTTGAAATGCGAGGTGGGGCCACCGTTGATCTGGTTTGTGTTTAGGTGGATAGTCTCTGTCAAAGGAAAGACCCAAAGTTTCCCAGTAGAACGTTGAACATTGATGACATGATCGATGCTATTCTTTCCACCTGTCAATAGTTTTAACGTTGTGGCAGATCGGTGTATATTTCCCTCCTGTGGTATTCTCTAACGGTAGTGGGCAGCAAATTCAGCACGTCATGTGGGGAAGTTGCTGCATTACAGCAGAGGAGGGCGCTATTTTATTGTTCCTGGCAGCGCTACAGTGCAGGTCTCTGTGATGCTGACGGGCTCTGCAGCATTTTGTAACTACTACCAACTGGAGAATAATGAAATATTGTAGTACGTGTGTGTGTTTTATTTTTTTTTTTTTTTACCTTTCAAAGTGGTCTATTAATTGTTTGGACCTAATTCCGGTGATGTAATAATGCCGTGTCTGGGATTAATATGTCATCGGGATTCAACAGTAATAAAATCTGTCCACTTGTAGAGAAAAGAGACATCTGTGACTTTGTGAAGCCTAAAAAAAAAGGAAACTGCTGGAAGGAAAGAACACAACTCTTGACAAAATGATTTGTTGTTCTCTCTGTGCGGGTTAATCTCTCAGATGTCAGGTGAAATTTAAATCACTCTGATGGACTAGTTCAAAAGCAGGTCAGTGGGGTGTTTTAATAACAGATCTAAAGGTTTCCCAAAAGTTAATGGACAGATTTGTGTTGTATTTTTACTCAGTAGCTTATTTTGGACTTGTTTTACCATTTTACTTTAGCTGGAACAAAAACACGTGACACTGAAGATTAGTGCAATAAACACCATGCAAATGCAGTGTGGGTCTGTGATCTGTCAGATGTGAGGGATTTAATGGCATTTAGTAAACAATTTTATCTATCGTGTTCCAGTGAAAATTTTGCTGCTCAAAAGTTCTTTTCTTTACAAAAATTATCATCTTGTTTGGAAATGACTAAATGTGGACATGATTCTTCTGAACTTCCCCCTTAGGAGAAATAAACAGCAAAAGAATCAATCAGTCGAAAACAAATTATCCTCTCTGGTTTGAGAATAACACAAGAAAAGCAGGAGTTCTGTTGCTGTGCTGATAGGCTTCACTGAGTGCTCTCCTTGGCAACCTTATGGATCAATGAATAGATAAATAAGAGAAAATCCCAGCTGACATTGGGTGAGAGGCAGAGTACAACCTAGGACAGGACGCCAGTCCATCACATGGCTTTTACAAACAGACAGGTAGCCGTGCTCGCTCATTTAAAATCACCAGTGAAGCTACCGCTAATGCATGTGGCACTGGAGAACATGCAAACTCCACACAGAAAGACTCCAGGCGACCAGTAGGTTTGAAGTGAAAACCTTCTTTTTGTGAGCCAACAGTGCTGACCACTGCACCATGTATTTAGAAAGAATTTGAAATATATTTGAATAAAACTTCCATTCAAGCAGATGTGCACTGAAAGGGAAATGGAATAGAATAGAATATACTTTATTTATTCCAGACCTGGGGAAATTTACAACAGCAAATACAAGTATGTACTGAACATAGCAGCAGTGTTTCTTACACTTTTGATGCACCATCACCACCACAGCTACATAGAAACCCACCAAGTTAAATAGATGTATCACTGATCTGTCATATAGTTACATCACTGGAAGATATGAAAGGATCCATCCATTATCTATACACCGCTTCATCCTCACTAGGGGCTGGAGCCTATTCCAGCTAACTTAGGGTGAAGGCAGGGGACACCCTGGACAGGTCACCAGTCTATCACAGGGCTACACTTACACCAAGCACACTCACATTCACACCTACGGACAATTTAGAATCACCAATTAACCTCAACATGTTTTTGGACTTGTTGGAGGAAGCCGGAGAACCCGGAGAGAACCCACGCTGCACGGGGAGAACATGCAAACTTCACGCAGAAAGATCCCGGGATCTCTGGTGTCCACACCGGGACACGAACTGGTGACCTTCTAGCTGTGAGGCAACAGTACCACCAACTGTGCCACCTTGCAGCCCATATGAAAGGATAGAAAGGAAAAATAGAATATGTAATTAATGCAAACTACGTTTCAGTCGAAGAAACCAAACGTAAGCTGTAAAGGCTTTTTTGAAAAAGTCTTTAAGTTATGTAAATGCTTTCCTTTTTCACTGCTACTATTTGCCTCAAAGTGTGTATTCATATTGTTTGTGTTCCATTTTAGAGGGTCACGAGTTCGATAAATGAAATTACCCAAAAAATTTCCAAAACTAGTGCAGTGCCTACAGTGACAGAAATGTTAGCATCAACAAAGGTAGATGTCTCAGTCTGTATTTGAAGTCAAATCCAAAATCCAAACATCTTCTAGCTCAACACTGCATCTCCTCAGGTATCCAGCAACACACACTGCAAGTTTCAAGTAGATTGTATATACAGTTATCAAGATTTACAGAGAACAAACACACACACATACAGACTGAGTTTCCTTCATTTAATAGTGAGATTGGTGACAAATCAATGAGAAACTTAAAGTTCATATGGTATATAGATCTTAGAAGTGAGACAGCTCTGAGAACAAATAAAATACACAGAGTTGAGACTTCAAATTGATGAAAGACACATTTCTGATATTGTACAGGCTCATTTATAAGCCAATCATGTTTTCTTTTAGTTCTTACTGTTTCCTCAAGAGCTGGTTATTTCAGATAAAGAAAGATCAGTGCAGTGAAAGACATTTTTTTTTTTTTTTTAATTTTTTTTTTTTTGGGCTTTTGCCTTTATTTAGAGCAGTGGAGAGAGACAGGAAAGGGGGGAGAAGAGTGAGGGAGAGACCTGCAACAAAGGGTTGTGAGCGGGATTCGAACTCACAACCGCTGCGTCGGGGACTGTAGCCCCTGTTCATGGGTCGCCCACTCAACCAGGTGAGCTATACGGGCGCCCGAAAGACATTTTTTAAGGCATATAAAAAAGGACTCCACTTATATATCTGTCAGACGATATTATCAGCAGATTAGCTTATCACAGATTTAAGTATCTGTTTTTCACAAAACAATTATGCAGAGAAAGACACTTTAGATAATGTAGAAGTGGTTTGTCCAGCGGCATGGCTCTGATTCCCCTGGAGGAGTTTTGTTTACAACACTTGCAGCAATATCTGCAGCACATGTAGCAGAGAATGCATCATAGCTGAGCAGACAGTGGCGTGCGTTGCTGGAAAGTCAATGAACAATTACCCCATGATATAATAATTCCTTTTTAAAATATCATTCTAACACAGTACATGTATCTCAATATCAAAATCTTATTCTCTTAAGATCGGTGTTGGCATCAACCACAAAATTCAATACTAATCATGCTTTAATTTTGAATCCTAAATCAGGATCAGGCTGAGACCAGAGGAAGGTTGTGTCTCATGAGCTGAATTGAAGAAGTATGAGAACATTGTCAAAATCTTATATTGATATTAAGCTTAACTCAGGTTTGCCCAAGAGAAATAAGCCGGACAAAGAAAAGGTCTTATTTTGAATAATCCTTTCCTCTAGGGCCTGACTTGAGTTGCATGTTGACTTAAAAACCTAATCTTTTCAAAAATGAATGACAGAAAAAGGCTTGTCATGTGAGCACATACTTATGTTATCTGACTAGTTTTCTGATGAGGTGCTGAAAGCATTCAAATCTGACATTTAGTTGGTAACAGCATGAAAACTGCACATACAGTGCCCCATATGATAAACTTAAAAAGCGTGCACTACAGTTTCAGAAATCATATTTTACTATAGCAGGGCATACATTTACCATGACAACCAAGCATACAGTATGATATGAGAAAAAGACTTAAATCAGTAACATCCTGTTACAAACAGGAAACAATCATAAAAGCATCAACTTTAGAGTCTCACAGTTCGAGAAGTGCAGAGCATTCTTTTACGTGAATTTTTCTATTTTTCTTCTGTTGTGGCTTCCAACTGTAATCACATCTGACTTAGATATGAAGTTACATTTTTTTTTGTACATTTTTTTGCTGCTAAGTTACTTCTTCCATATGTTGGAATCTAACGTGGTATTGAAGTTTATTTAGTTCAAGGGGTCGGGGGTGTTGGTCAGTGTTGACCATAACTATGATACAAAAGCTGATAGAAACACATATTAAAGATCAGAAACAGTCACACAAAAAGTCAAGTTAAATTCAGTCCATTGTGTCAAAGTTGCAATAGATACGAAAAAACAAAAAAGAGTGATGGACAACACAAACAACAGTGTGCAACAAGTTAAACTCAGGATGACATAAGGGTAACAGGTAACCTACCTAAGTGTTTTGTTTTTGTTATTGTGTCGTGTTCACTTCATGCTATTTTACATCGCTATCTGACCACCGATGGGGAAAATTAAAAGGCACCATTTAAGCGAAGGAACAGTCATCTCTGTTGCGTAAGTAGCACACTGTCAGCGCTGAACTCTGATAAATGAACGTTGGGATTAGTTTGTCAGTGTCTCATGAGGAAACATTTTGGCAGAAACAAACTGTTCACTTCTCCTTGTCAGCTGGCTGTGAGCCATATGAAATTGCTGTATGGTTTAAATCAATTTAGTGACATTTGCATTGAATCACACAACCGCAATGCAATCAGCTGTCAGCAACCTTTCACCAAATTAATTTGCCACGCTGGTCCGTGCGAGGCAAGTGTTCCATCACTTTTCTATATGACCGAAAGTGTCTTCTTAAGTTCATTAAAATGAAACACTGCAGCAATACAGGGAGTAGGTGACCAAACGGGTTGAAGCTCAGTGTAATATATTAGTTGTAAACCCCTGCAGCAAGTACGTAACTTTCAATAAATCCAGCATTAGAAAGGAAATTATTGAGCATTATTCACATTCTCCTGTGGGAAGCCGCAGGTTTAGGGCTTGATTAGAAAGTGTAAAATTGGAAACAAACTTCAGTCTTGCAATTTAGATACGTCAGCTCTTGCTCCTCTCTATATGTGAGCTATGCAGCATATTGAGGATGGAGGGAGATGGATTACAGGCATTATTTCAAAGAGTTTCACCATTTTTGCATCTTTGTAAACTTAGAAAATTCATATCTAATACAGGATGGAGTCAAACATGCTGCAAATGCACATTCACATGTTGGTGCGTGATCTTTTTATCCATTTTGTGTGATAGAAAACATTATGGTTGGCATCTTCTGTGCAAATTTGATCCACCATTTCCAAGTCATTCTGAGACTTTGGCAGCTTGTTTTGTCATCTGGTTGTTGTTTTAGGATCAGAATCTATCATGCTGCAGGTATGTAAACTGTTGGTCATAGATGAGCCTTTAAGTTTCTAGTGTGCCATCATTTTTTTTGCCATGATATCAGTGTTGTTTCATCACTATGAGGCCTGATCCATAAAGACTCAGACAGCTCTGCCTGTCACATCCCTCCTCCGTCTCTCAACTAGAGTTAACTATCAACTCCAAGGCTGGATCGCATCCTTGAATCATCCTCTCCAGTTGTCCTGACTGGGCGGGGTGAGCGCATGTGCCATCCTGGCTCCTATGGCAACCCGATAGATTAGCCCCATCAATATTCACGTTATTAGAAAGCGGCAGGCTGATGGATCAGTGATGTGAGCGCTGTTTGGACGCCGGTGCCAGCTGCGTGCATGTGTGCGTGTGTTCACCTTGCACTGAGGGAGAGCTCAGACATTTCGGGGAGGTGGAGATCATGCTTTGTCATTGAGGAGCTCAGCATCAGCAGCAGCATTCTCCCACTCCGGCACGTCCGACGCTCAGCATGCTGCATCCTGATGCGCTCCCGTCTGCACTCACTGAGCTTACCTGGATTTACGTGTGTTTTCTCGTGCACCGCTTTCACATGACTGTCTGATGGAAGCGGCCGCGTTTCGTTGACGCATCTCAATGTTTGAACCGGAGGAGAGCGGCACGTCCCAAGTGTCAGATAAGATACGACCTGTCCTGCGGATGCGCCGTCACTGTTTTGCCTCCAGTGGCACCCCAAGTGTACGAGATTCATGATTCATCCCTGTGTTTTCACGGGCTGTCCTTAGAGCGCACCTCTCCGTCTCCTGCACAAAAAAAAAAAAAATGGAAAGATTCCAGTCTTCCATGCGCAAACGGCTGTACAGCTTGCCGCAAAACATTGGGCAAAAACCCTTTGTGACTGACGAAGGAGACAACGGCGACAAGGACACTAAGAGGAAAAGTATTCGGCTAAAACATTTGTCCTCTCCGTCTCCTGCGAGCAGTTGCAAGAGCATTGAGGAGGCCAGGAGCGAAGACTTGGAAAGGGACGTTACTGTGAGGACCAACTTGAACGGGGACTGTCGCTTTTTCAGGGGGAGCATCTCTTCCATCACCGGGCGGCATCCTCCCGAGTCGGATGTGGCGGAGCAGCGGCGCCTCATCCCCGAGGCTGACGCCGGAGTCAACGAGAGTTTCCCCGATGTGCACGGCCCCGGGGCCCAACAGCCGGCAACCGGTGGACTGATTTGCGCAGCCGGGCAGCCGTCACTGTTTGACCAGTCAAGTTTCATCAAGTTGGAGGGCACCGAGCAGATCATCCCCGAAGATGACCGGCTGTACCAAGCCGGCTTCATGCACCGGCAGTTTGGAGCGATGCTCCAGCCGGGAGTCAACAAGTTCTCCGTGCGGATGTTGGGGAGTGAGAGGGCCGTGGAGCATGAGAGGGAGCGAGTAAAGTCTGCAGGCTTCTGGATAATCCACCCCTACAGTGATTTTAGGTAATTGATGTGCACAAAACCTTTCTTTGCAGGCTGTGCTGCTGCTGCTGCAGTGATCCTGTCACACATTTGAGGCTCTTTGGGCCTGCACATGTAGAAAAAGATGCTTTTGAAATTGGAAACTTGATGAGACATAGAACGTGATAAGGCCACAGTGAACACACACAAACCAGGAGTGTTTTTCTGTAACTGCTGTGATGATATGATGGTAATAACATGACAATCATGAGTGGGGAATAGGTTGTTTCCTGACTGTGCCTCACACACCTCTAGAGATAAATGGCTTAACTTCTGAAAATAATCATTTTGTAAGTAATTCTTTCAGAGAAACATTTGATGCACAGGACTTGACTGGCATGGCAAAATCCTCTTATAATTTGGCTGTCATTGTGATTTATATTATACATATGCAGGGTATAAGCCCAGCTTTTGTTTGGCCCACTGACGTGCTCAGTTTCTTTCCCATAAAACCAGGCCATATAGTTGTCTAACCCATTTTCTGTGCAGTTTTCTATGAATTCATTTTGTGCATCAAACTAAGCCAACCTGTAATTCCCTAATTTGCTGGCCACGTTGTTGCAGCTCGCTGTATGCTGCATGCAAAGCAGGATCCTGTTTATCGCCACCATCGAGAGATTTTCATGACATTTAACCTTGAGGCTCACTGTCATCATATTTTCACCGGTCAGTTGTACGCCGATGTGTTTTACTGCAGTTTTTTTCCACTCATCTGAATTACACTTTTTTTTTTTCTATCATTTAACGAGGGCAGTGGATTACAGAGAGTGCAGCAGGGGCTTGGCAATGGGGTAATCAAAATAGGGTAACATGACCATTCAAGATATTAGAAGCACACATCAGTGGAGATTATTACAGTACAATTAGTCTAATGGAGCGGAGATGGTGTGGACGGGGAGGGGACACGCCACAAAACACAGAGACAGAGCGGCGAGAGAGAGACAGAAAGAGATATTGAAATGAAAATGATGTTGTGAGGAATCAGGACACCCAGCTGTTGACTCTGTTGGAGGTATGAGGTGTCATTACTCCGTGCTCGGTTTGGGCCACACTTGGGCTTTTACTGCTTGCTGCGGGCCTCTTAAGGTGAATGCTTTGTCCTGCAGATCCCATTTTAAGTTACAGATGGGAACCTTTGCAGCACTAAAGATCATTCCAGGATTCTGTGGCACTGTTAAATCCAGCATTACAGGTTTTCATCCTGCAAACAGACGACTCCACTCCCTGATATCTCCAGCAGTGTTTCCATGACCACTGTGCAGCAGCTCTTTCTAGTGTAACCCATCTCCTTGTGTCTTTTTAGCAATACAGTCTCTGATGTTCACGCCATAAGTAACTGCTGTCCTTTATTAAAGCTTTCTGTGGCTACAGCAGCAGACACACTGAACTGGCACGCTGCGTAAATATGGTTAATATGATTGCTGGTGGGCCTGAGCCACAGTACAGGTGTGTGTTAAGCCACTGAGCTGCATGCAGGCTGTTGTGCTTCAGCTGCGCTCTGGCAACAAGAGATAAGTATCTCTAGTACAAATGTGATCCCTTTTTCAGCTGTCCTGATTGATCTAAGCTCCTTTCACCATTTTAAGCCTTTTTGTGTTCACTTGGCTCGTAACTCCCCTCTCTTTGTGCTCTCATGCTCTTTAACGTATTTGCACTCTGACCCAAATAGTGCAAGATTCTTTTTTGCACCAGTCAAGGTCCATAGACCCCGCAACTGTCAGCTTTATTTTGATGGTAACACCAGATTACACCAGCAAGATGTTTGATGTTTGTGGGCAGAATGCTGCGTGCACAGTCAGCTGATGAGCCAACAGGATGGTCTGCAGGGGATGGCAGTAATGCACTGTCCCCTGCAGACCTTTTTTTTTTTTTTTTTTTTAATTTATTTATTTTTTTATCCAGCTGTTCCAGGATTCTGTAGCACTGTGACGTGTGCAGAGCAGTAATGCTAACTACTCAACATCTGGCTGATGGGAGCTGACTTCTGGAGATGACATGGATTCCCAGGAGATAACGGTGGATTTAGTCAGAGAGGGGAAGTGCAATTAGGACCAGTGTGTCACTGTAGAGACAACGGGCAGATGTAGAGAGAAATGCAAATGCTTTGTTTGGCAGAGAACAACAGAAAGCTGATTAGAACAAATGGCCACCCTGCTCTCACCGGTTCCTGCCTTTTGTGATGTTCTCCTGTGAGGGTTGGGTGTAAGTAAACTCAAAAAGGTACGAGTGGAGCATCGCCTGGTCACATGTGATCCCTTTTGCACTCACCAGCCAGAACATGGCGAGTCACATATTTGCTGACCAAATCATACATCGTTTAAAAGCACAAAAGGTCAGGCTGCGATTTTGAAGTTACTAATACCACAGCAACGATAGTTCCTAACTTTGTTATAAGAGTGCACACACACACTTATTGTCTGTCATGTGCCGGGTCACATACTTGTTGATTCACTCTGTGCTGCAAACTTTTCTCTGTAGAGTTCAGCCAAAAAAAATTCTTCCAAGCTTTTAGTATTTTTGTAGTAATAAAAGAGGTTGAAGGGTGAAGTGTTAACTCGACTCTTAGCGCTGTCTTCTATATGTGACTCATTCACGCCCAGAAAGTGTTATAATGTCAGTAACAGAGTGCAGCTCCCCGTGGCTCTGAGCGTTTCCTCTGTGGAACACTACTACACTTTCCAGCACCCACAAACTATCACCACAAGCAGATACTCCACCTTTTTCTCTCAGTCTAAAGTTTGGAATCATACCTGTTGAGAGATGGAGAATTTCTTCCCTATTTTTTCTCTCTTCTCTTGAATGTTGCAAGTGTTTACTTCATGCAACCTCTCATCCCCCAAAGTGTTGTCCAACCTCATAGATCTGCCCCCCCCCCTGCAGATTGTGCCGACCTTTTAGGTGGGTCAGGCTCCTGTTGACTTGATCAACTGATAATTAGGTCTCCGAAATGGATCAGTTCCATAATCAGCTTTCTCTTCCTGCGTTCACATGCACAGGTGATAAACAGACGCATCTTATCTGCTGTGTGGATGAGCTGGACGTTACTGTATGTCTCCTGTGATGCTATAAAGAATTCACTTCTGTTGTGCATCAGCTGTTCCAAAAAGATTCTTAGAACAGTACCTGCAAATCACGGGAGTAAAGTGTTCAATTAGCTACAACATCAAAGATTACTACAGTAAACACTGTAATGCAAACAGCTGGAGTTGGCATCAGATCATGTGACTATATTCCAACTTAAAATGCGGCTATAATTAGCCACATCTCTAATGAAGCTGTGAATGTGATTAAAAATAGTTGTGAATGCATTTAAATGTGTTGATTTGACTGTAAACAACTAATTGCAGCTCCTTTTATCGTGCGATTTATGGATGAAATCGACCACAGTGCTGCTGAAACTTGTAAAAAAAATCAATATTTCCTCATGAGCAATTCAGATGAATTCCAATAACCCATTTTCTTCTTTCTCACTATGGCCAGATGCCCGATATTGAACTGAATTAGAGAGCCGTTGTTATTTTCTGGAATCAACCCATTCCTTGCTTCGTTCATGTTTATGCTCAGGCCGTTTGTTTGCAGTGTTTCCTCTCATTTGAACATAAATCTTCTGGGTTTTGAGTTACAGTGTGAGACCGCAAGTTGCACAGAGATTAATTTCTATTTGAAGTTTCTACACGTCCAGATTTGCTTTGAATATGCAGCACACACTCAGTATGCACACAGACACAGTCGAGTCAGACTCTTGCCTTTAAAGTGTTGTGTGAACTGAAAAGCACCCTTTGATAAAATTGGTTTCTATTCATGATCTGTTCCTGTGTTTCTTTTTGTTGTTTTTAAAAAAAATCACTTTACTTAAAAGACAACAGACCGAACAGTTCAAAACCAGTCGTTTTAAAAAGGATGCAAGTATTTTCATTGTTCATTCATCTGCTCATTATTTTCTCAGTTGATATATAAGTCTCCACAAATGGCAATTTAAAAAAAAAAAATCCTGGAGTTGAACATAACATGTTCTTATTATGTCTTTCGCTGACTGGTCCAAAACCCAGACATATTTTTTTTACTATTTGACAAAGAAAAGCATTAATTTCACATATTTTAAAAGCAGGAGCTGGCATGTCTTTGGTCTTTTTGCTTCAAAATAAAAAGGTTAATTAATTATTCAACCAGCTGCTAACAGAGCTCCTGTGTGGTTTGATGTTTTGTTGTTCCCACCACGGTCCTGCAATGATGAATCAATCAGTTGTCAACTATTAAATTAACACACAACTATTTTGATATTTGTTTAACAGCACGAGTAATTTCTTTTAAATGTGAATATTTTCAGTTTTCTTTACTCCTCAAACTAAACATCTTTCGGTTTGTTGACAAAGACATTTAAGAACGTCATTTTGGCTTTAAGAAACACTAATCGACATTTTTCACCATTGTCTCATATTTTTTAGACCAAACAACTCATCAATAAATCAAGAGGTCAAACAGTTGAGTGGACAATGACAATAATAGTTAGCTGCAGCCCTGTCCTCAACCCCTAAAACATTTTCCCCAATTCCTCTCCCCTCTTTTTTGTAATCTCTGCACATTGAACCTCTAATGAAGGCATAAAAGTGACTAAACAACTTACTTAAAAAAAAAAAAAAGAAAAAGAAATCAGTGTAGCTGAAAGTACAGTAACACCTGCAGTCACCTGGATGTCACTAATGCAAACTGATAAAAAGCCTTCAGCTCAGTTTGTTTTGTCAAATGTGTGAGTGTCAAGTGTTGGTGATGTGCTGAGGTTCAGTACCAACATGAATATTTAAATCTTTTGATTCTGCTGTGCCATAAATGGGAACACATTACGTTTCATATTTTTTAAAAAAGTAACCACTTAAGTTTTCTAACAGTGAACTTTCCCCACTGTGGGATCAATAAAGTTGTCTTTATCTTTATCTTTAGAGGTAGAATGATAGAAGGTAGCTTATGGGAAGTTTGTTGGGTCATATTCTCAGCTATGTTGTATGTTTTTATACTGTGTGTAGCATAATGCTGCCTGGGCTCCTGCGTCAGTGCCGTCTGGAAATAAGCATCTGATTTATTGTGTTGTTGATATTTTAAAAAAGTATGTTGTTTTTTTTTTTAATTGTGTCAGATTAAATAAATATCTAGAGTCTATTTCTATACCTCGCTGACTTACTTATGTCCATCTCTGTGTGTTCCAGGTTCTACTGGGATCTGACCATGCTGCTGCTGATGGTGGGAAACCTCATCATCATCCCCGTGGGCATCACCTTCTTCAAGGACGAGCACACGCCGCCCTGGATCGTCTTCAACGTGGTGTCGGACACCTTCTTCCTCCTGGACCTGGTCCTCAACTTCCGCACAGGCATCGTCAAGGAGGACAACACGGAGATCATCCTGGACCCGCATCTGATCAAGGTCAAGTACCTGAAGAGCTGGTTCGTGGTGGACTTCGTCTCCTCCATACCCGTGGACTACATCTTTCTTATCGTAGAGACACGCATCGACTCGGACTTTTACAAGACGGCCCGAGCCCTGAGGATCGTCCGCTTCACAAAGATCCTCAGCCTGCTGCGGCTGCTGCGCCTCTCCAGACTCATCCGCTACATCCACCAGTGGGAAGAGGTAGACGAGGACGGGCACTTTAGAGCTTCATTTAAGATGTCATAGCAGCTAACTGTGAACAGCTGCTGGGATGATTAAAGCGTTTTACGAGAGTCTGAAGAAAGAACTGGAGCAATTAGTCGGCAGAAAATTAATCGCCAAAAATCTTCATGATTATTTCTTTTTTTTTAACCAGAAAAAGACCCGAATCCTCTGCTTTTACCTTTTTTAATGTGAACATTTTAAGTCTTTTACAATGGTTGCTGTGAGGATATGTGAATATTTGTGAACGTAGATGTTAGTTGCCGTCTCTAAAGCGACTCTGGCCGTGCACAGTGAGATTTCTCTTGTACTGGCAGATTTCTCCTAAATCATAACCCAGCCTGTGCAATTACACTTTAACTTTCCATACCAAGAAAAAAAAACATATAATCCTGTCGCTGAGTTAATTTGTTCACCCTCTTTCAACACGCACTCACTCAAACACAATCAACTTACTTAATAACAGATATTTGCCTGCATTATCTTATTTTTATAATTCCATCCCCACCGGCCATTAATGTTGCAGATGGTTACTCAACGCTGAAACAGCCTCTGGTGGTCTCTAGAAGATTAAGTGCGGTCTGGTATTGGATGTCCGTCAGCACACACACAGCACCAAACTGTACATTTCAAATCCTCTGATTGCATGAGAGCGAATTGAAAATTCTATAGATTTATTTACAAAGAGATGTGCGTTTGATTGTTTCATGTCCCTTAATGCCGACGCTCTGTGCCATAGATTTTCCACATGACGTATGACCTGGCCAGCGCCATGGTGCGAATCATGAACCTGATCGGTATGATGCTGCTGCTGTGTCACTGGGACGGCTGTCTGCAGTTCCTGGTTCCGATGCTGCAAGACTTCCCTGCTGACTGCTGGGTCACCAGAAACAAGATGGTGGTAAGTGGATTATTTATGAGTCAGACAGCATCTGAATGTTGTTCCTCTCAAAAGCACGTGACGATCATACAAACACATTTATATATAAGTTTCAGGAGTTATTAGCTTGACAATAACGACTGCAGCATCGTTATCTTGTAGTCACAGACATACAAATGCTTTCACAGAAACATTTTTCACAGATACAAGACTTTTTAGGTGTTCATTCTAACTACTTCTGTGAAGAATCCAGATCCTGATATATAAACAGTTAATGAATGACAAAATAATATGACATGTAATATTACAAAAAAAACCTGTAACGCCTAAAATATCCTCATAATTGCTCATACCTGCTTTCTAATGTGGTTTTAAACAGTTTATTGTTTAGTAATATGCTGCTTATGTGTGATAAACTAAATGCTTACGAAGGTAGAGCTGAAACTGAAATAGACTTCTCAAAAATTCAGCTGACACCATAAGAATTGGAGCAATGAGTAAACACGTTAGAGTCGCCGACTAACCTGGAGAACAAAGGTCGTCATCAGTTTTTTTTTTTTTTAACGTTCGTAAACTCTGCTCACACAGACGTGATGCAGCATTAATGCCGAGGAGGTTTCGTTAAACTCTCTCTGTCCTGCTCCACGTCCCTCACAGAACGACACTTGGGGTCAGCAGTACTCCTATGCCCTGTTCAAGGCCATGAGTCACATGCTGTGCATCGGCTACGGCCTGTACCCCCCCATCGGCATGGCTGACGTGTGGCTCACGATCCTCAGCATGATCGTGGGCGCTACCTGCTTCGCCATGTTTGTGGGGCATGCGACTGCACTCATTCAGTCTCTGGACTCCTCCAGGAGGCAGTACCAGGAAAAGGTGGGTGTTTGTTCCAGGCATGACTCATATTTGTCCTAGAAAATCAACGTTTATTTATTTATTTTTTTTAGATCCAAGGGAGAAATCAACTATGGAATGTAACGAAGGATAAAGCGTTCACATTAGTACTGTACAGGTTTGAGGGTACTTGTATTTACTTTTACTTGTACTTTATGTATATTTTCTACTACATTTTACTTTTAGTCCACTACATTTCAGAAAGGAATTCCTGCTTAACAGATTTGGTTATTATGTTTTAGGTTATGATTATATACCAAGCATCAGTTTATAAAATGTGATGTGATGCGATAGAAAATAACTTGTAAACTACCCAACTATAAGTAAACTTTAACAAACCTCAATTGCAAGATGTTACTCACATATTAATGGATCAGTATTAATAATCCAACATAAAAACTATTCGTATTGTTCTATGGTATAATAACAACATTCACAGTGGCAATTTATACATCAAAAGTACTTCTTCTTAAATACTTCATTAGCTGTCAGTACTTTGTACATTTACTTGAGTAAGATTTTGAATCCAAGACTTTTACTCATAATTTATGATTTTTCCATTGAGTTACTGCTTTTTTTATTTGAGTAATGCTTTTAACCACTGGCTTAAATGTTGAAAAGTGATAAAGTTTTATTCAGAAAGATGCAACAAGTAAATCCATCACCAAAACGTCTTTCACACCCTGACATAAATCTTAGCAGCACACACGGAGTGATCTGAGGCTGTTAGTAAATGGGAAGGACGGAAACCGAGAAAATCATTGTCAGATGTTTGAGCTACTGTTGTGGCTTTCTGACACATGAATGCAGAGTTAATAGAAGCGAAGCAGAGACGTTCAGCACAAAATGCCATACATGCATGTTCTGGGTCTGCTGACCACTGCTGATGCTTTGCTGTTAGAGTACACCGCTGAAGGACACAGTAGTTAATGTTATTAGCCGTAGCCTGCAGAGCGCAACTGTAATTGTCAGATGGGGCAGAGTCACAACATTGCACTGTGGGCAGGTTTCACAGATGGCCTGACAGTTGACTGTTAACATAATGAGACACATTATAGTCCACCTCTGAGCCAACACATCAATCACTTTAATATATTCATTTTGACATGACTTTGCAAGTCTTAGATGCAAATGCAGCTACATTACAGCTGCGGTTCTATGCGTTTCCTTGAAGGTTGTTGGTAGTGTTTCATTAATTAATTAGTTAGCGTCATTAATTTTTGTCATTTCATTAACTGGACTGTGGTTTGCCGTTGCAGTACAAACAAGTGGAGCAGTACATGTCCTTCCACAAGCTCCCCGCCGACATGCGCCAGAGGATCCACGACTACTACGAGCACCGTTATCAGGGCAAGATGTTTGACGAGGAGAGCATTTTGGAGGAGCTCAACGAACCGCTGCGAGAGGTCGGCTGCCGTCCGTGTTGATGCTCTGCTGCTCGTTATAATGCTTAATGATGCTGGCTTCACAGTTATCACAACTAAAAGAAAAATAGAGGACTCTTTACTTTAAGGATGCAAACATCATCAAAAATGGTTTAATGTGCACCATAATGTAGTAGTGAGCAGATATATGGTCTTAATAATGTAATAACAGATGAAACAGGCAATATAGGAAACACAGTTGTATGTTATGCATCAATTTTCATAGGGCAATTTATGTTTTTTGGACAAATACTCGCATTAGTAAACAAACATCTACCTACAGCTGTATTATACTGTGTTAGAAATCATTTATTCAGTAAGTTTGAAATACAGCAGCAAGATTTAAGGTAAAATGTCACTGAAAATGCTTTAGATATATTTTGTCAGGCTCTCATCGGTACATATGTAAATGAACCAAGCGAGCATCCTTGTTCTAAATGGAGTACAGTGTATTATTTATGTAATCTAATATGGCTCTGTTACTTTGCATGATAATGTTAATAGTCGTGTAATCTGATTAGTAATGGCTGGAGACTGTACGAGGACAGAGAACCTCATTAACGGAGCGCTAAGCTGTTAACCACCCTGCTTTTATAATGATTGAAACGTACACATGTAGTAACACAGCCCCTGTGTGCTGTGAAGGCCTCTCCTTAGCAGAAATTTCAACCACATTTCCCCCCCCTTGTCTTCTGCAGGAGATCATTAACTTTAACTGTCGCAAACTGGTGGCCTCCATGCCCCTGTTCGCCAATGCCGATCCCAACTTTGTCACGTCCATGCTGACCAAACTGCACTTTGAGGTCTTCCAGCCGGGCGACTACATCATCAGAGAAGGAACCATCGGCAAGAAGATGTATTTCATCCAGCACGGCGTCGTCAGTGTCCTGACTAAGAGCAGCAAAGACACCAAGCTGTCCGACGGCTCTTATTTTGGAGGTAAAGTCTTGCAGCCTGCCGCGCTGCATGCTAATATATCCTGCAGCATGTAGTGGGTCAGCTGAATGTGTGTAAAGGAGTGGTGATTGTATGATTTGTTTTGATTTATCTTGCTCAGGCACTCAGCAGATTAACTTCCCTGACTATTGCAGCTGGGAAAAAATGTCCACATCATCTTCTTAAAAGGGCTCCGGACTAAGAGGAGCAAAGCTTTGCGATCTTTGATTCCATCTGTGGGGTTTTCCCCTTTGTTAACACCATATTTAAAGCTAAAATCCAGAACTTTCCGTTTGTTGTCTCCTCTGTTATGTCACTTCAACCTGTCGTCGTTTGTATCCAGCTGTGCAGCAAAGTGAAATGTCATCAAATGTCAACTCGGAAGCATAAATATATAATTTAGCTTCACTTGCATTTTTAAGTGAAAGCCTTGTCATCAGCCGACCCGAGTAACTTTTTTTTGTGTAGAGATTATGTCCGACCACGTTTTAATGTTTATCCACATCGCAGGTAAAAGAATCATCGTGTTAATCATGAAACATATATTTTGGCTTAAGTTTATTTGGAGCAGCTAAATACACACAGATGTGAAAATGAGAAATGAGGACAGAAAACGTCCAAAACCATCACACAAGATAAATATGTCGGAAATCCCATGTTGTCATGTGTAATAAATGGATTAAATTGATAAACAGGACAGGAAAGAGGGAGAGAGCGAGCGTGTGAGTCTGTGTGTCTATATCCTCAATATGTCTGTCCTGAAAAATATGTCTACTTTTTTTTTTTTTTTTTTTTTTTTTTTTTTTTTTTAATGGCGCATTATTTTATTTTTCTGATCTGGCACGACAGACGAGGTCAGGACAAACTGTAAGCTGCAGAAATTGCATTAAGTGCTCCATCTGTGAGCTTCAGAGGCATCGGTCTTTTCATGCTTTATCGTCTCACATTAATAATACTATTTTTGACTTTTCTTTTGTGAATGGATCTAAAAAAGATATGGTTTCTGTTTTGGTGTGTCATGAAACTTGTGTAAGAAGTCGGGGGGGAAGTCTTTATGTAAGACTTAATAACTGTGACCCATTTTTTAATCTGTGGTGTTAATACCTGTCTTGGACTCTGCAGGAAGTCTTTTAAAGGAGTGGAACCAACAGCTAAACTTTCCTTTGCCTCTCTCCCTGCAGAGATCTGCCTGCTGACCCGGGGCAGGAGGACGGCCAGCGTGCGAGCTGATAACTACTGTCGACTTTACTCTCTGTCAGTGGACAACTTCAACGAGGTGCTGGAGGAGTATCCCATGATGAGGAGGGCGTTCGAGACTGTGGCCCTCGACCGCCTGGACCGCATCGGTGAGAAACAAAACACCTTTACAGCACCACTTTCATATTTCACAGTTAATATTTACTATTTATATTTTGACATTTACATTTTTTTCTTTTAAATCCTCACATATTACAATCAAATTTCAAAAACAAGTGCTACTGGTGATGGTGAAACTACAGTGATGGCGGCAGCGCTGACTGACTGAACACGTGACACGTTTTTAAGCACAGCATCCAACAAAGCCATTCCAACAATTTAATAATAGCAAAGAAGGATGAATGGATGTTTTTTTTGTGCAGTGAATGAAAAGTAAATATGACAAATCAGAGCACTCACATTAAATTATGTGAAGTAAATCAGATCATCATCATTATTTTCACATCATGAATGCATCTATAATCTTGGTACTTAGGATCCTTGACCGACTTTATCGCTCATAGGAATCCCACGTGAATGCAAGACAAGATGATTTGAGAACACTCAGATGAAACAATGAAATATTAACTAACTTCATTATAAATGTGAAAAGTGCATATTTTAACACAGCTGTTGTAATGTTTTCACTGCAACGGTTTGCAAGGAAAATGAGACTTAGCCAGGGGCATTTCTATGTTTGTTTGTTTTTTGTTTACTCATTCATTTAGCCTTTGTTTACATCAGGAATACACCGAGGTATAGAGTCCTCATTTACAATATATAATGTATAAAAGGTGTTGGCACACATATAAGAAACTTGGATAACAATGACACTGTAATATAAAACAATAACTACAACATTTCCTGTTTTAAAACAAATAAGTAATACTCAGCAACTGCAGCTGGAAGTAAAATAAGATGAAATTAAAAACCTGAACTGCCCAAAAGATAAAAATTAGCCCGGATTCAGGTCTGAATGTTGTACAGTGAAAAGACAGTAAAACTTGATTTTCCAAGCTCAGTAAACACAGTTGGTACTTGCGATCCAATTATTTGAGTGTGGGTCCACATTAAAAGAGAGCAATGTAATAGTGTAAGGGAGTAAACGTTGCTTATTGTCTATTCTGAAGTCAGGCTGCACAGTCTATCGTTTCATCACTGATTCTAACGCGTCATGTTCACTGTGTTTGCTGCTGGATAGAAAAAGAAAACTTACATAGATCTCATTTTCCATGACTAATGTACAAGAAAAGTTTAGTTTGATTTAAGGGTTCTTGGATAGCTGAGGGTGTTTTTTGTTTTTTTACTTTATATACAAGGTAGAGTTTTGTTTAGAAACATGTACACAGCAAAATAAATGAGGAACAAGTGAGAAACACTGAAAAGGAAGATTTGGTTTTGGTTGGAGTTGGATAGAAATATTTCAGCAACAGAAAAGATGATGTTGACCAAAACCAGGTTCTCTGTCTTGCAACTGCTGCCACCACACAAGGCAGCAGCACAACTGATTTGACCATTTCAATCAGCACCAGAAAGCTCCGTATGATAAGTGCCAAGTCAACTCTGGATGTCATCCAAAGCAGAAAACTATTTTCAGTGGTTTTGCCAGGGTTGCACCATATGAGGAAGCTTCCACACAGCGTTTTTAGAAATGATTTTTATTTTCTGTGCAGATGCACTCCCCTACAAAATCACCCCAGTCATTTTACAACAAATAATTCTTTCCAAATAGGCGTATTCATGTCATCTGGTGAAAGTTCCTGTCTTTTTTTATCGCAATATATGTATATCACAAAAGATTAAATGTCATAGTACATTTGTTTCCAGTATCGTGCAGCCCTAGTTTTGAATTGCAGTATAATCAGGGAATCAGGGTTTAGAGGTTCAAGGTTGGACTGTCATACATGTCATATTTTCACTACACTGTTAGAAGTCATGACACCAATGTTGCCATATCTATAAAAACTTATGCCATGAAATTCATCTTTAACTTTATTTATTGTGTGGTTAACTTTTTAACGAGTGTAGGGAGCTGTAGAGTCTGTCATCACAGCTGCAATGTATATTGTTCCTGTGTTGGAATGTCACCCAGATAGTTAGTGACACTGTATTATTTATCATATTATCATATGTGTAGTTAACATGACATCAGTTATTCATTTTTTAAATATTAGTCACAACACCTCTAGTTAAAAGTAAAAACCTGTGATTTATAAGTAATGTGCTGAAATCTGCTGTTTGTGGTACGTGTTGTGGACTTTTGGAGCATAATCTGTTTTTATTTAATGTATTTTTTGCAGTGAACAGTGAATTAATAGTTCATGAAGTCATCCGCTTTCATTGATAAGAAGAGCTATGTATGCAGAATAAGAAGCATCATTTTAAGGTTTTGAAACTGTCTTTAGTGTTTGTACTGTTGGTAATTGAACATCTATTGGTGGCAGATACATAGAGTGTTCTGTTATGTTATCATATGTAATTTTTCAGCTATGGAAGCAAGTTGCTCTATTAACACTAAGGAGGCGCTCAGTTGTGAAAAAATGGTAGTTTGGTGAAAATAGCAGGGCCTTATTTCTCTTTTCTTAACAGGGAAGAGGAACTCTGTCCTTCAGCATAAAGTCCAGCACCACCAAAGTTCTGGCACACTAAATCTTCATGAGAGTGAGATCATCCAAAGAATAGTGCAACATGACCGTGACATGGCCCAGTGCACGCAGTTGATCCAGACCAGCACTGCACCGAATATAAACCCTCCTGCTGCTCCTCCATCGCCCACCCCAGTCATCTGGGCCCCGCTGGTTCAGGCTCCGCTCCAGGCGGCTGCTGCCACCACCCCGCTGGCTCTGGCCTTGGCCCACCACTCTCAGCTGCCTCCCATCCTCTTCCACCACCCTCTGGCACCGCAAAGCTCTGGCTCTGGGAAGGACCCCGCCAGCCATCCAAAGAGAGTACATGTTGGAGCAACGGCCTCCAGTAGCTGTGGGTCAGGGCCCGTTTCTCCTGCCATCTCTGCCAAGCTCCTATCTGGGGTTGAGATTCCCACGCTGACATTCCCCAAGCATCTCTCCACTGGGCCCGTGTCCCCCACGCTGTCCTCCCAGCCCATCTTCACCAGCAGCCTGCAGCCCCTGGCCCCTCTGCCCACTCATCAGCCTCTGCCTCATCCTCCCCACTCCGGCATCGCCTCGATTTTCCCCATCAGCCAGGCCACCGTCTCCTACACCTGCTCCGCTCAGCTCCACTCTCAGCCCTTCCACGGTGCTATGACCACCCCACCACTCCCACTAGGTTTACTCCAACAGGGGGCGCCAGGGAGGCTAGCTGGGAGATTCCCAGCCCCCTCGGCCTCCGCCATAAGCCCTCTGATCTCCAGCTCAGTCAGCCCAATACTAAGCCAGCTGCAGCAGACCTCTCACGCCACCGTGCAGCAGATGGGGTCCGGTCATGAAAGAGTAGGCAGGACATCCAGCGGTCTGAGCCTGCCACATTTCCCCTTCATCAGCAACACTCAGTCCTCCACTGGGTTTATTCAGCCAGTGTCTGCAGTCGGAGCCGGGGCTGCAGCCTCTCTGGCCCAGCACAGCCTGGCTGGACTCCATTCTGTTTTCCTCCCCCAGGTTCTCCCCGAGCACTCAGCCCTCGCCTCCCTGGCCCAGTACGGGTCTGCAGAGGCCTCGCCTTGCTACACGCCTCCCGTCCACAGTCCCAGTATACAGAGCCCTGCAAGGGGAAGGACAGTTTACCACAGCGAGCTCCCCAGCACCAAGAGCTCTCACAGCCCTCTCACTCCTCAGACCTCATGCCCTGCCAGGGTGGCTTGTACCCTCAAAGAGAGGGCCGAGTCCTCGGTGGAGCTCTTTACCCAGGAAATAAAGACTATCTCAGGCTCTCACAGCTCTATACACCAGGAAAGGCCTTTGGCCATAAGCGGCTCCTGTGAGGGGGGAGCAGGGGCACCGAGCCCGTTCTCCTCCCCCATGGCTGTCAATAAACCCTACACCCCGATCCCCGGTCAAGCCACTCCTGTCACTCGGACACATTCAGGGCCTGAACCTCATAACCAGCCCGTTGGTGTTCACTCTCCTCTCACTAGATCCCCTAAAATGTTAGAGAACGAACACAAACAGTCCAAACTTCCCTCCAACTTGTGAGGTTCAGACACACCCTCCTTCAATGCCTGAACAAAAAGGGACGTCATCTCCTTCTTGGCATCCTTTTAACCACTACTTCGTCAAATTTTACAGTAGGAGGGTGTGTTATTTTAATCAGATTGGAGCTCAGTGGTTTCATTTTTAATCAGAGTGAATGGATAATGGATGATAATGGACAATGGCGGATCATTTTTTTCTACAGGATATTGCGTCTTTGAATATGGTAATAAAACGAAAACGTACTGATGGGTATATATAACACCTCATGAAAATATCAACTGTTCTGTGTATTATATTCTAACCACACTCTGTGATTTGTTCTAAGTATTTGTTTAAAACCCCCATTGTCCAAGCAATTTTGTGTAACCTTTTAGCTAGACCTGTTTAGTTGGAAAAATGTCCACAACTGTATTCAGTTATGATTGATACCAAAAATTGCTCTCCTCTGTTTATATCCTTTCCCACTGCTGAGAGTGTCGTGTGAATGCAGGGTTCCCCTTAAAGAGACGTGAAGAGAGACAGTCTGTGCACTTTGCTCATTTCAGAGATCACCTAACGTAAAGGTTTGATGATGGCATGTCTTCCAAGATAGCTTTTCAGCAATATTGCACACCCAAATGGGTCACACAAATCAGTTCACATAAAAAAAAACAAGTCATGAATGTAATGTTTGTCTGTCTGAGTGGGAAGAGTGGGACTCATTTTGAATGTGTTGAACATGAAGGCGATGGTGGTTTTCTGTAGAATAACCAGGCGAGCCACACAACAGATGCCAACTCACTTCAGTCTGGCAGTAACTTTGGTACAGAACATCCAGCTGAGCCAAGGTTTGTGTGCTATTAGCATAGTATGCAATAATCTGTGTTTTTTTATGGCTATACAAAGGTACTGTGAATCGAAGCACTTGTGTCAATGAATGAGTTTCTGATTTTAGTTATTAAAACAAGGGAACTGAATTTAAAAAAAACGAGAAAAAAAAAAACAATTGTGGATAATCAAACATCCTGAAACCAGCGATGCACTAAGATTGATGTGAATGTTTCTTGCACCAGTCAAAGGGCTAAAAGCAGTTACTTGGACACATGATTAACAAGAACCCTGATGGGTCATATTGCTGCATATTTACCTCTTTCATTGTACAATATTTGATTGTAAAATTTGACATCTGTTGTTGAACAATTGCTGCTTTGTGATGCTATGCTGAATCAATAAGACGTGTATCACTGAACTGCTTTTTAAAACCAGACTCTTGAATCCTTCTACTTGTTAATACGTTCATGTGTTTAGATGATACGTCTCTCTTTCTGGACCTGTAGCTGGCGACAAACCACGAGCAGCTAGCCGGTCAGCAGGTCAAACCATCGGAGGATCCTGTCCAGTGGCTTTAGCTGCCTGGTTAGTGAACCTGAGCTCAGCCGTGACTCTGAACGCCCCGAGAAAGAGAGATACTATCAGTCACTAGCCAGTCACTGCCAATGGGCTCGATCAATCCTTCATTACTATTCTGCTCCGACCACCTGCCAGCGGCATCTGCTCAGACTGAGTTTAAGGTTACTTTGAGTGCATTCAACTTGAAGGTGTGTGCAGGAGACAAGGTGTCAGTCATTTATCTATTTATATATTTATTTCTCATTTTGCTGCCTTTTAGCCACCAAATCTGATGATTTCATCACCTGTATGTTAGGCATATTTTATTTTAGCTACTGAATTCAATGCAATAAAATAACATATGGTCAACGAAGCTGGTCCGAGATGTCGCTTTCTTTTCAAGAGCACGCTGCCATGAAGGAGAATCTGATAAAAAATGATGGTCAAGTTTCAGACTTTAAGCCGGATTATAAATTGAGGACTGTGTGGTGTTGTTTGGTGCCAACATTCAAAATAGCCAGGATTATAATCTGCCAGATATTCGATACAAAGAAAATTATCTGCCGTGTTCACAGAGTGATAACTGCTGGATTAGTGAGCAAATATAGACATTTAATAAAGTGCTTGTGCAAAGTTTGATTAAGATAAGCTTCTTTTTTTCTTTGAGATGAAGCTGCCGGGTCGATCCAAAGCAGACAAAACTCTCCGGTCGTCCAGGACAAACAGTGGAGAGACCTGATGTTCTGTAATGTTCTGTATTCACGCCACTAGAAGAGCGAGGTTTTCTAAGGATAGCATCATTATATCATAGTCAACTTAGAAAATTAAGTTGTATGTGATATAATAATGACCTACATTTAGACCAAAGTCTAAATTTCTAAATATTTCTCTGCATATCAAGGACTTAAAATAATCAGGGATTTAAAATAGTGAAAAGACAACTCCCTGGAGTTTTCTAGATGTCAGATTTTCCTCTGGAGACCCACAGTGGTCAGTAGTAGTAATTTAATAAGAAATAAAGCCATTGTAATTGTATTCTATTCTAAGTTACTCTGTTGTACCGTATTTAATATTTATTTCCAGCAGCTTTTATTTCAAAATATCCTTTTTGCAAAATGTGCAGAGCAAAGCCAGTTATGTCATTGGCTCTCTGTTCATTCACAATCACCAATCACTCAAATGGCTCTGCAGTTTTGAAATTTTGAAGTGAAATGATCCCTAGGAAATTTTGTGAATTATGCATGGACTTTCTTAGATATAAAACAAAGATTTACTTTGTTGTTTTGTGGCTTTTTAGCCTTTATTTGACAGGGACAGTGAAGAGAGTTGGTCCAACTGGAATGGGGATCTACTGCACTGGATGTAGGTTTCCACATTTTGTATACTTTAACCACTCAGCTATCAGGCCGCCTTGCACTTCTTGAGATTTCAAACGACAACACATTACTTTAAAAGGGTGTTTAACGGCTGCCTCCCCCAACATTTTGGGTAATTAATTTTTCCTAAATCTAGCTAAATTAGTGAGTTTTGCATGTTTTTCATTGTCTCCTTTGTTTTCATTTTAGAAGACTCACCGACAGTAATGATGAGAGATTTTTCAATGGTTCTTTTTAATGGAAAGTCAGTCATGTAAGTTCACTTCACAATGCCACATGGTGCCAACTGTCAGCATGAAACATGGGAGAGGGCAATGACGGCAGATATTTATGTTTATCCTTGAACAGTTAAAGAACCAAAAACCAAGGAAGTGTCTCATTGCATAAATTTAGTTGACAGTATATGTCGAGGAACTCTGATCTCCACTTTGTTCACCATGCAGAGTCAGGCACTCACATAACAGAGGGGTTGCCACTAAAATGTTTTTGAATCAAGTTCAGTCTCTGGCAGCAGGGTTTAGACAATAAACTGGATATAATGGTGACTGGAATCATGGAATTGCTGTCTGTGGCCGACACCATCAAAAGTCCTTTGAGGGATCAGCCTGGTTGTGACTCTGTTATGACAACCGTCAGAGAGTCCAATATGGAGGGAAGGCATGTTACAGAAGAGGGGAGGGGGAGCGGTTACTAATGTCCTTTGAGGAAGTTCAAGGTACCAACACAACCCTCATGGTGTTGGTGTAACCGGTGCCTGGGCGCCAGCCAGTCACAACGATGGCAACGTCTCCAGACTTGAAGAATTTGCGGTGCTTGCCTACGAATAGCAAAGAGAAAAGCGTTAGTGGAAAAAAGGCATTAATAAAATTCAAGAATGAACCTTTTGACTTCTGGCAATGAGTAAAACTCTCCTACTCCCCTCAAACCTTCTTTTAACTGTTGGAAACTCTTCTTAATTAAAACTAATTTGACAATTAAACCACTCACCAACTTCCAGGGCAAAGTTGACGCGCAGGTCAACGTCTTCAGCCCAGACGTCGTTGGCAGGCTTGGTGTAGAGCACTGGGTAGACGCCGCGGTACAGGTGAGCCTGGCGGGCGGTCTGACCACAGCGGGTCACGGCGATGATGGGAGCACGGGGCCTGTACCTCGACAGCATGTGAGCAGACCTGCAGGTAACAGGTTATGAAAAAGATGAAGGACATTTCAACTTAATATAACAGTTGGATATTTATAAGCAATTTAAGCAGCAACAGAACAATACTGTCACTTATTTGGATTTGTGTTTGCATGAATCTAAGACGAACATTCATTCTCCTTCTAACTCCTTTAGTCTCCATCAACACCTAATGAAAATATTTGGCTCTTTGGCTGCTAGATGCTCCTATGTTTCCACCTGCTAGTTACTAACTGTGTCTGTCTGGTGTTGGCAGGTAGTGTACTGTGAAGATTGCTGCCTGCTGTGGCCAAAAACAACACCTATAAATCAATGAAAGTGAACATAAAAGTGACTAAATGAAAACAATGAGCTAAAAGAGGCTACAAAGCTCCATAGGGCTGAGATGAACTAGAGAGTCAGCCTCCTTTTACATACAGGTAGTCAAGTGAGCCATTGTTTTTATGGAAATATGACTTTTAGTCACTTTTTTTTAAGCTATTATCATTATGAAATTAGCACAGCTGACAGTGGCATGTGTTCTGTGTCATGTGTTGTGGGGATGAACTCGTAAATAGACGGGAACGAACAGGGAGTTAAAATTAACTTTTAAAATGTCAGGGTTCAGATTTGGAAAGGTCGCTAGTGGAACACAGATTGTGAGTACAGTGAAAGTTGGCACACTTCATCCAAGCCGGGGGCTTGTGTAAGTGAAGGAGCGGAGGCAGTCAGGTAGAGAGATATTATAATGCAGCAGTTTCTTTGCTCGCAGTGGGCACAGTAGAGGGTATTATGACTCAGAGCTTTACAGGGGAGATTTTCTGGAGTCTCACCTGCCAGACTTGGTGAGCACAATGATGGCGCTGGCGCAGCACTTGAAGGAAGCCTCAACGGCGCCAATAGCGACGGACTCTGTGGGGTCACGGGTCAGATGAGAGGTGCGACGCAGCTCCTCGAACATCTGCCTGTGGAACATGGCTGCCTCGGCTTCACGGGCAATCTGAGCGTGTGACAATGGAAAACAGATGACGGTGGTGTCAGGCTGCAGTCACACGGCCACTTTTAACTGCACGAGTTAGTTTGTATTCTAGTGGACAACAGAAATGAGCAGTCAACTTTAACACAAAGTTCTTCATACCTGAGCGCACACTGAGACATGAAGCTAAACAACAGCAGCGGCCACCATCTCCAGGGACTGATGCTGTGCACTGCAGATTTTCAAACACATGCTAATTGAACAATATCACCACACAGTTACAGCACGAAGCAGAGTATGAGGAGGCATGTTGTTTGGTAGCAGATGGATGGAGGGAGGACTGGTGCAACAAGGAGACACAAAGCAAGTTGAACAAATATGAAGCAAGCTGTTAATAAAAACCCAATCTGATACCGGTGATGTGCTCACAGTGAGGGAGCTACTTTTCTCTACACTCTACATGATCTTGAAAATGTAACTCACAAAACGAGGGAAATACTATCTTTAAGAAAAGCATTCATATTTATTGCTGCAAACAATTTGCCATATTTATCCACATATTCAGTATTTATATTGACATTTGTTTATTAATCATCACTAAGCTGATGATGCTTCATTATGGAACCTGTGATCAGATGATAATAGCAAAGGTTCCAAACCACAACTCTTGTACAAGATGTGTTATTAAATATTTTTCATGGTCAAAATATGGTAAAATAAATCAAGCTGTAACAGAAACAAGAGCAGAATTCCTATTGAGAAGTGTTTTGTTACTAGTTTAAGTGCAACAAGTTCTGATCACTTGAATTTGGTTTTGTTTTTTCAGCACTGACATGTTAAATACCCAAGTGTTGTGGGGATTTAACAGCGATACTTAAGGTTTCCTCACAGAGCACACTGACAGATTTGACTGACTGTAGCTGCTGCATGAGCAGTTCTCACATCAAACCCACTAAACATGCAAAAACACTTGTTAATACTGCTGTTAAAGATGTCTACATTGAATCTGGTATAACACTGAGGGAGCAGAAGCAGTCTCACCATGTGCTGTGTGCGCACAGCCTCCAGGGGGTAATCTCCCTTGGCAGTCTCACCGCTCAGCATGATGCAGTCATTGCCATCCAGCACAGCGTTGGCAACATCACTGGCCTCAGCGCGAGTAGGGCGAGGTTTCTTGGTCATACTCTCCAGCATCTGAATGTGAACAACAAGGCGCACTGTGTCAATTTCATGTCTAAAACTACACTTTTTCCTTATGAAAGAAGGCACTCTGTGGTGTCAAAGACCTGTGTGGCGCAGATGACGGGCTTGCCGATCCTGTTGCACCTGCCGGTCATCATCTTCTGGGCGATGAAGACCTTCTCTGTTGGGATTTCAATACCCAGGTCTCCACGGGCAACCATGATGCCATCGCTGGCCTCCAGGATCTCATCAAATCTAAAAGAGGAAAATGTATACATAAAGAGAGATACGTTAAACAATTATAAAGACTCATGTAGGTTTAAATGTGACTGCTGGAAGTCCACCCACCTGCGCACACCCTCGTGGTTCTCCAGCTTGCTGATGATCTTGATGTCCTTACCCTTCTCACCCAGCGCCTTCCTGACAGCCTGAACGTCAGCGGCCTTACGGATGAAAGATGCGAAGACCATGTCGACACCCTGCTCCACGCCGAACTGCAGGTCCTGGATGTCCTTCTCAGACAAGGCAGGCAGGTCGACAGCAGCTCCGGGCAGGTTGACGCCCTTCTTGCTGCCCAGCATACCACCGTTCTCAATCTCACACATCAGGTAGTCGTTGCCTTTGGAGATGCAAATGAGCAGAGAAAAGATCAGGCGCAAAGAATAACAGACAGCCAAGATGGAGCAAATGGACGGTTTGTTTTGCGTGCTTACCGATTTCCTTGACCTTGAGGGAAATCAGACCATCATCAATGAAGACGTGGCTTCCGGTCTGCACGACCTTAGTGATGTTCTTGTAGTCGAGCCACAGAATTTTCTCATCGCACTTCTCCATGTACTGGTCGTCGAAGGTGACCTTGATGGTCTCACCCTTCTTCAGCTCAACCTCGGCGGTGCCACTCTAAACAAGACAACAAGAGAGTTGCTACAGGAAGCTTTCATACAATTATTTGATTTCCCGAAAATGGAAAATGGCTTCATCCGAGCCTCGGTAATCTAACGAGAACTCACTCCCTTGATGAGTCCGGTCCTGATTTCTGGTCCCTTGGTGTCCAGAGCAATGGCCAGTGGTCTGTACTCAGCAGTTCCTTGTCCAAAGCTCTCAGCTGCCTCACGGACATTCTTGATGGTCTCAGCATGGTACTGTATAATAAACACATGTTACCATACTGAAAGCCTCTTTGTAAATCCAGCACCGCATAAGGAAAGAAGTGACGTTAGTGAATTACACTGTTAGTAACTACTTAGTCATAATGACTTGTTTTATTTATGTGAACAAAGGATTATCTCCAAATGTAAAATGGAGCAACAACAGGGGGACAAACTTTATCACACAGACAACACGCCACTAGTTATATAAATAAATATATATGCATGCATAGCTGCAACACATGTTTAACACATGACATTGTTAAGTTTCACTGTATATAAATAGTCAACCCAGATCATAACCTATTACATCACTACTTTCCCAATAGTTTGAGCTGCAGCCTGTACATCAGGATGTATAGATAAATGTAAAATAAAACTAAATTAATTTCCAACAGAATTTCACATGTATAAGTTAAGCTGACTGCCATCGATATGGATGGAGTACATGCATATCACATGTAACAAAGTAAACGGACAAAAACCCTAAATGTTAAAACTCCAGTATCAATAGTGACTACAGTCCTCGGTCAATAGTGATGCCTCACTGTAGCTTCTCTAAATGCCTTCTGCTCCTACTGTTGCTGTGAGAGGGATTCCTATTTATAGCTGCACTGACAACTGACACACCAATGGGACAGCGGTCAAATTTATTTTGCCCTTCTCATAACAAATCATGTGTTCACCTTGTTTTGATTTTTGTGAAGCTGTGAGCTAAAATTGCAACACGTCTTTAATTCATCGGTTCTGAGCGTCCACCAACTGCAACTTAACCTTTCAAGATCCAAATATTAACTCCAGTGATATCTGATGGCTCATCCACTCAGGCGACAGTGAAAAAGGGGAAGAGGCATGACTTTTAAAGGCGAGGGGTCAGTAGTATAAGGTCGGCCAAAGAGCTGGCTGTGATACAATTGGCTCTCAAGCTACAACACGGCCCCGGCACTGAAGGGGCAAGTACAAGCTCATAGCTCACATTACAGACAGTTACCAGGCCACAAGAGTAATGTCACACTGACTGCTGTAGCTGTAAAGGGTAAATCCTCACTGAATCGCTTGCAGAGGGCAAAGAAGCTGCTGCCGCTGCCCTGCTCTGTCTGGATTCAAGCTCTCAAGCGTGTTGCGTTATAGAAAATGTCCTAATCAGTGATGTTACAGCAGGTGTTTTGCCTTTAATATTTGCTGCTGAAGCACCTGCTTTGACATGATCATTTAGGATTAAAGGATCAGAACTTCAACAGGTTAGAAAGCTATCAAGAGAAGCTTAAGTGAATGCAAATAGGAACTCAAAGGCAGGCACAAAAAATACTTCTCATCTTTCACTCACTTCATGTGTGCCATGAGAGAAGTTCATTCTTGCAATGTTCATCCCAGCCTTGATCATTTCCTTGGCCATATCCACAGATCGGGAGGCAGGTCCTGCGTCGGGACAGTCAGCGAATACAGTTTCAAAGCCAGATACAAAAAAATAACTGTTGTAATATTCATGTAACCAGAATAATTCAACGTGTCTGACCGATTGTGCAGATGATGCCAGTGTTGCGAGACACGGCCGGTTCAGAGTCGATGTCCAGCAGGCACATGTGCTCGATGTAGGTATCGGCCATGGCAGCGTGCAGCTGCTGGGTGTGGATGATGCTAGAGCCCATATCCTTTGTCTTCGACATGATTGGATCTGTGTCTGCAGGAACAATCCTATAAAGACAGAGAAATAAAAAGAGAGATGGTCAATTAGTGCCTTTATTACTATATCTGTGGCATTTGTTATGTGTTACATAGGAAATATTCTTTCTGATCGTGGGCCATAAAGAGTCCAAGTAAAGGGTGACACAATGGCTTCTGCTCTTACAACCAAAGAGAAGGACGAAAAGCTGTATAGACGACAAAATATCACAAAAAGAGATTGGAAACCAAATGAGGAGAAAACAAAAATCTATGAATCGACTGAATAGAGAAGAGCACACACACAAAGAGGAGACCTCCCTGTGAATTACTTGTAAGTCTCTTGCAGTGCCGAGTGTCTGTGTAAGCTGTGCCGAAGGCCACAGCGACAGTATGTGTCTGAATGGGGAGTATGTCAGCTCCCCCACATTCAGTTTATGTGCAGCTGAGGAAGAGGAGCTGGTCACTACTGACAGAAGCTAAAGGTGATTCATGCACACAAAAGAAAAATAACTCCCAGGCTCCAGGAAGAAGCCAAAAAACAATATTTTCTATACTGCCTCAAGTGCAACGCTGGTTGAAAATCCAAAGAGGGCACAGCAGAAAGACAAAGCCGGGCTGTCAGAATTCAGTTTGCACTCGGTTACAATAGAGGAATTTAAGATGCATGACATGTATGTGTTGTCATGCTCTGAGTATTCACCTAACAGCTGAGATTATTTATAGAATGTGGGCACATATCGTCATCACATCTGGTATTTAAAACGGCTTGTTCGCCTCCTTATCTTAATAACACAATCTGCAAAAGCTCAGCACTGAAAATGCATAAATGGAGCTGCAACTTACTAAAAACTAGTTTCTACAATGCAATAAATAACTGAGATGGCAGATTACAGAGTGACTGGTTATACACTAAACTGTTCATATAATTCATTGTGAGAAAAGGCTTTCTTAAAACAGTACAAAATGAATTTACTCACTTTTATGTCCAACTAATTATCAGCTACTCAGGACACCTACTGGGTTTTGATGGTATTATCCATTCAAGGTGAAACTTTATTGATCCCAAGGAAATAACAATAATCAGATAAAATACATGCAAAAAAAAAAACCTCAAAGTTGACACCTGATCTTGTCCAGGGTGCATAAAGGAGCTACACGTGCACAGTTTCTTGATGTGGCACATAAAAGTGACACCAGAGCATATCTGTACATAGTCAATCTCCTCTGCTCTCTGTCGGACACACAGCCGGATCGACGTGCTGTTACTCACCTACTGGGTGAACTTTGCAGGGACCAAAGGCGCCACTGGTGCTGCTGGAGCCGCAGCTTTTATCCCCTTCACTGACCGGAACTACTTTCCTGTGAGATCAACACCCGCCATAGGGCGCGACAGTTAAGGCTAAATAAATAAATAAATAAATAAATAAATAATTGGCACAGTTTAGGAGAACCTGTTGAATGAATATTTTTTTTCACGTGGACGCTGTTTTCTGCTTATTTGAATCTAATTTAAATGTTGAAGTTAAAGCACAGAAGTTGGTCAGACTTTGAGTTAAATAGAGCTCCGGTGCAAACCAATCACAGAGCTCTCTGCTGGTATTTAAACACCAGTCTGACATCAGTTCTGACTGAAAGTATCAATCACTTATATTCATTATTGATTAGTTCACATATTATTATATATCTGGTTGACAATTTAAACTGTGCTGTATTCATCATGATTCACCCTCTAACTTATGTCATTGTCTCTCTATTTTTAGCATTATTCTGCTTTTTTTTCTCTCTCTTCTTTTATCCCTCCAGTATTAGATGTTTTATTCTGGTGTGTGTTTTTCCTCATACCAACTCTGTTGTTTTCTAACAATGGCACTGAGCTTCTTATGACTTGTGACCCTTGACTGCCAGAATTTACGCTACATGAGCTTAAACACTATTGTTACACAAACCTCTTGTCCTACTTTTTTTTCTTTTTTACTCTAACTCTAAGTAAAATCTCTAAATCTGTTTGAGCTTCTTGGACGAATACACTGGCAAATATTTAATCACTTCTGCATTTGGTCTGCACAGAAACCCAAGAGCACACATGCACACACATGCTTCAGTTGCAGATATTTCTCTTCTTATCTGGTCAGCATTAAGTAAGCGTTGTACGTGGGTTTGTGCACTGTACGTCAACACTTTTTTCTTTGTTTTTTTTTTTTTTTTTACATTACATACTGTGTGATTTTGCACATTCCTAGGCAAATAATTTGCACATTCCTGCACAATCTGTACAGCTGTCTTGCTGTTCATTGACTTGCAACACTTTTTCAATTTTTTCTACTTGTGGAGGTTTACTGTTATGCACCAAAACACCAAATCAAGTAGCTTATATGTGAAAACTTACAATAAAATGGATTCGGATTCTGAATATTTCCTACATATCTTTCCTCCACTTTTCCCCTGTTTCATTTATAGATGCACCATCATGTCATCTCATTATCTTTGAAGCTTACAAATCCTCCACTTTACTTACTTTTACATTCATTTATTAAAGTTTTTTTTATTATGTGTTACTATTATGTGTCAGCATTCCTGCAACACAATAATATATGATCGTCTCCCCACTGCTGCCACTTGACAGCGTCAAATGTACTGTAAGGCGGCACCAACATGTTAGGAAAGGTGATACCAAACTTATAATTACACACATGAACGTTATAACAGCTGAGGGAGTCAAAAGTGACAGCAGATGCCTGCAGATATGCAAACTTCATATCAAGCTATTTTATAGAAATGCACAAATGCATGCATTGCTCTCAGTCAGTAACACATGACGCCACTTTACCAGAAATAGAGTGCAGAGAAAAAACTTTAGGTGCAACCCCATCATTTATCTGGTTGTCACTCTGTCGGAGTAACTTATGTTGTGCACATACGTATATATATATATATAGTTGAGCCATGTTGGACTCCTTGTCGTACAAGTACATAGTGTTCCATACCATAAAATCAGAACCCATACCCATACCCAACATATATGTTCAATGTTATTTAATACAGTCCAAATGCGCTGTCTCAGCCCTGCTCAGTAATCATTTCTATTTTCTGATAGGGTGCTCCCCTTTAGACTGTGTGTGTGTGTGTGGTTGTGTATTTGTTGAAAGATATACATTATTTTTACATTCTTCAGTTTTTAACTGCCATCTCTATTCCAGTAACTGAAGAAAGGATATTTAAAATGTTTGTTACTATGTATGGATTGGATTCATAGCTTGGATTTGCTCATCTATTGTATTTTTTTGTTTGTTTGTTTTAATAAAATGTATATTCTGTAAAAGCTCTGAAGTAGCCACAAAGTGAGATACTTAATGTGTGGGCTAATTATTTTTAAGATATCATGTTTAAAAAATAACCTTAAACTGACCAGAAATCTGTATTAAGTCATGACAGCTAAGATGATATCACACATATCATCATGGAATAATGATGTCAGTTGTAAAACGTAAGAATGGTGCCTATAAACGTCTATGCTACGTATAACTCCGACTTATTCTCACGTGTGAAAGCTATAATCTTTTAACAGGGAGAAATCTGACTCCAAACTTTCACCGGCGTCCTGTCTATGTAAGGCTTGAAGCAAGTGGAGCCACCGGCTGCAAAGAAATGTCTGCAGTAATAATTTCCTGTTTAAAGACAAGCAAAAGGCTGAAATTTAAATAAATAAATAAATAAAAAATAGTAGCACTGTCATAATATCCAATGATATCATCACAGCTCCTAGTTCTCTTTTACTTCAGCAGCCTGCATGTGTATTTTTTTTTTTTTAGACTTTTTGCAACATTACATCAGTAACAAGTGCTGTAAGTAACTGTGGTGATTCAACATCAAATAAATTAATTGCCCGAGCATGATGTTGTAAAACAGTACAGCAGGTTTTGCTATAATCAAACAAGTCAACATGTTTTCCTTTTTTTGTTACATGATTTTAACATTATGCACCTTTATGTTCTTTCGTTACTTTTAGTTAATTTCTCTCTGTGTTAATTTAAATACCCGACCTGTGTCCTAAATCCACACTATACACAGGAGGACAGGATTTTGTGTGGTGTCTTCACACTGCAACAGTAAAACGAAGTTTCCTCAGAAAATATCTGTTTAATCTGTAGCGACAACTTCTACAGATTGGTATCAAGTTTCAGGTAGATTTTTTTCATACTGCACAGACTGTGCTGACATGCAGAGTAAAGTATGGTTTATGACACTTGGCCTGACTGTGGTTTTCAGTCTCTCTCAACAGCTCTGCAGCAGCTCTCTCTTGTGGACATTCGGTTGAATTATCTTGAGTCTTTTTTAAATCTTTTTTTTTTTTTTTTACAGGACTGCTGGATGGCGCATCAACCTGCAGAACAACTGAAATGTGCAGTTATTAGTTATTGTTACCTCTTGTCTCACAAAAACAGCAATTAGGATGTGAAACCAGTTGGATTTTTTTTTTTTAAATAGTCTACAGATGACATGAGTTACAAAAGAAATTGAAACTAGTTAAATTACAGTCAAATGTTTTAAGTTTACCTTTCTTGCCATTTTCTCTACAGGGCTGTTCAACTATACTGAACAAATATATGAATGCAACATGTGATATTCTAATAAATTCTATCCATTCTTCTTAACACTGTTTCAACCCACAGCATCTCTACAACAGAATGGATGTCATGAAACAGAGTATGTACTGTACTGGAAATGATGATGGGAGAAGGACCACGGGGGTCACAGACCAGAAATCACAAGTTAGTAACAAGTCACACATTTCAGACACACAGAGTTACGAGACTTAATGGCGCTGCTTGTGGAGTGTTGTTTCAGTGTGATTTTATGCTATGTATGTATAGAGGTGCTGCTCTCTGAAGCATTGAGGTGTTCACATCAACTCCAGTGTCCCTGGTTCAAGTCTAACTCGTGACCTTTTTCATGCGTCATGCATACATTTTCCTCCCACTGTCCTCTAGTTTCCCTTCTGCATCGCATCTGTTATCATAAACTCAGAAAGGTAATATCTAAAAAAAAAAAAAAAAAACAGACAGAATTAATACACCAACTTATTTATTTCAGTTTGTTTCTTGATGGGCTCTCCATGTTGAATGTTTGATCTCTTCTATAGATATATATTGAATGGAGGTGGTTGCTGTGAAAATCTGATCTTCACTGTGACCCTGTTGGTTATTTATCTTATGGGCCTGACAGATAAGACCTGGAAGCTATGATATAACAGGAGGTGTATAAAATAAGATGGGGGTGGATAACACAACACAAAAACGATACAATACCGTATAAATCAATGCTGTGCTTGTGAAGATCATAAAAGTTTGCCGACCCTCTCCGAGTCGTCTCTGATTGCTTTATAGTCTAAGTTGTGTGCTCACGGCCTTAAAATGGCAGCATATAGTATACAGGATTCCTGATATTGTGCCCTTCCCCTCTAAATATACAAACACCCACTCGTGTCTAAGTGGATTACCCTGAGAAAAGCACTTGTTGAGAGAAGACCTGCACAGATGTATGCAGTCCTACAAGTGTCTAATCTGGCTAGACTGTGGAGCAGCAGGCGACTGCTAACAAGGGTAACTGCCGATTAAGGTCAGGCTGCTCCACGGCAGACAGACACGAAGACTAATAAATGCCAAACATCACCTGTATAGTCATCCTTCAAATCAGCCACCAGGGAGCTTTGTTCTCATCACGAGCTTAAAGCTGATTCATGAGCCTGACTTGTTGAGAGTCTGGAGTATAGTGTGATACATGGGTTTGTCTTGTTGTTTTCCCCTGTTCTTCTACAAAAGACAAGATAATATTAGGTGAGTGTTGTTATGGATGGTATTTGGACAGAAATGTGCAAACAAACCATACAGTAGGAACCCCGGAGCCGCACAGGTCTCGTCCTCAACCTGGACCGGGTTCAGCTGATCAGACTGTCAGTATCTGCAGCCAGTCATGTGACCCAGAAGTCAAGCTGAACATGTGGGACTTCCTGCTGTTCAGAGCAGAGGGCGTGAGGACAACCAGCCCCAGACAGCTAGTCGAGCCATCAGACAGGAATATTCTTTGGTTTTGCTGGTGTCAGGGTCACACATGTGGAGGAAAATCTGATTGCTTTAATATTGTTCGCTTACTTAAAACATGTGGAAACTCAGTGTTTTTCTCCCTAAGGAAAGGTAAGAACCTCATTTTGTGACAAGTATTGTTTATCATTGTGAGACAAACATTGCTTTATTTACTTATCCATGATGACACCACGATAAATTGAGGTGCCTGATAAATATATGGTTTAAAATGTGAACAAAAATGTGACGAATATACTGACAGCAATCTGTTAATGTATATATGGCAGCTGAACTAATAGAGTTGTGTGTTTTTTCCAGCATAACGTGTGAATGTGTCAGTCACAGGGGAGTGAACACATTGTTGAATGTTGGTGAAGAAGAGCCAAAGAACTGAACTCATGGTGAGTCTGTGAGCTCCAGATTTCTCAGAGTATCCCACAGTTTGGATATCTGTAACAGAACTTATGTGCTTTTAGGGCAGTACGCTGTGTCACTTTATGCTCTTTGTAACTGTGATGGACAACTTTCCCACGAATATAAATAGCAGATTATAATTAAACAACCTTTTTTGTAGCCACCAACATGGCAATTATCTTATGTGTAGTAAATATAGGATTGTATCGTCCCGTAAATGGCCTACAAATGTGTCAGTCTGTGTCAGCATGTTGTCTCTGACTGACTTTGTTTGGGTGAGCAGAAGGATCACATTTACAACGTAAATAAGAGGATCTTTTGACTGACAGCTCCTCCCATTAACTTAACAGGAGACAGAGTGCCAGCAGTGGACGGAGAGCGGCAGTGATGAGGACAGTGACACCGATGAAATGCTGTGTGGAATCCAAGTAAACATCCGTTTCAGTGTCTTCTTATGAGACTTTGTGGTGTTTTAAATAACATTTAAGCGACATAGTAAAGAAAACTGTCTACAGAAACGATTGCGTATGTAATTACAATCTAAAAGCACAAGATATAAGTTAATGTTGAGAATTTACTTTAAAAATTATACCGTATTTCTATAAAATATGTAATTCCATATAATTACAACTATGTTGCGCCATTTAAGGATGCTTCACAGGAAGAGTTATGCAAATAAAGTTGATAAATACATTAATACACACCTAAAAACGTCATTATATCTGCTAACAACTGCAGCACAGTGTGTTAAAGTAAGTTATAAAGCATTTTAATTGTTTGCATACTGCTAAAAAAGTGCAATTAAAGTAAACATTACCTGCACTTCCTATTTTAAAACCTCCTTGTGGTCGTTATCTTGGGAATAACAGCCTTCTTCTCAGCTATTGTCGTAGAAATTTGGTGAGTGCTTTAATCCTCCAGCCCCCTGCGGCCGGTGCTGAGCTGTATGGAGCAGAAGGTAAGTATATTAGTGTTTGTCTCTGCAGGAGAGCTACGCCACTGACCTGTACCACCACCCCCAACTGGGAACAGACATCGAGGCAGTCAGAACTTTGTATTCAGACTCTGCAGTTTCTGTCAGGTGAACGTCTGAATGTCTTCTCTTATTCATGGCCCTATAAATGAAGTCTTTTCTTTCTGCTTTTCTGTATTGTTAAATTTTCCTTTTTTTTCTTCTGGCAGGGAGTATGGCTCCATAGATGATGTGGATGTTGACCTAAACATCAATGCCAACTTTTTGGATGTAAGTTAAATTTACATTACTGACAACTGAGTCAAGTTGCAGTCAGAAGTTTCTATGTATTCATAAGGGCCTTACTGTATATATTATGGCAGTATTGTGTATATAATTAGTTCTCTTTTATTTTATTTTTAACCATATAGCTAATTAAATTAACAAGATCTGATGAGTCAAAACTATAGCTCGAGCACAGCTCGTATTTAATTGGATGACCTTCACCCTTTTCACCTCAATCAGCCACATTAACAATCAGCTTTTGCCAAATTTCTGGTTGACTTTGACCACAATTCTTGGCAGAAGTATTACAGTTATTCATCAGCTCATCATTGCAGGGATGTCCACATATTTTCATTGCACTTGGACTTTGGGAAGGCCGTTATAAAAGCCTAATTTTAGCTTGAATTTTCCACATCTGGTCTATGTTTAGCGTTGCTGTCCTGCTGTACATGTAGTTACATCCAAGCTTTAACTCTTAAGCTGGTAGTTTGATGTTGACCTGAAGATAACCGGGGTAATCTTCCTTCGTCAATGTGATACCAGCAGCACAGTGCTTGATAGTCTGCTCTGTGGTGTTGGAGTTTGAAAACTTCATCTGAACATATGTCTTGTCATTGTGGGCAAATCAGTCCAACACATGCTGTTTATCAGGTTCTGAGAAGCTACCACGTGTAATAAATTATAAGTGACAAAAAGTTAAGACATTTTCTATATCTATGTTCCCAATATGTATAATACACAAACTTTTTAAAATAATAATGAAAAATGTGTTGTATGTTTCATAAATTAGTTTCAATCAAATTTATAGAAAAAACTAAACTTTTTTCTTGTGATCAGTTCAGACTTTCTGACAAGTGCATGTACATTTGTGACCACAACTTTAGAGATGTTTGTTGTCATCACTTCTGGACCTGTTAAGTATGATAACACTGTTTGGTGTCCACAGGCAGAAGTTGCCAAAGCCTGGAGGGTAAATCCATCAGAGCCAATTGTAATCCGTCTGCACTTCTCAGTGTCTCAGTATCTGGATGGACCTGGTTAGCAACCAACAAACAACTTCTGCAAACAGAACTCACTGTGAGTCAATATGGCCCCTGAATAATATGTGATGTTTCTCACCGCAGCACCTACAGTGGAAGTCTTTCAGCCATCAAACACTGATCAGTTCAGTGTCGGGAAACAACTGCAGAAGTGAGTGTTCATACTTTGACTTTCATGGCAGCGATGATTAGATTGCTCGCTGCATATTGTGATATCCACGCTGTTTGTATAGCCGATGGTGCATCTACTGATTGTCTAAACGTCAACTGTGCAATTGTCTCCCCCAGCATTCTCACAATCTTCATATCTCAAGAGTGGAAACACTTGACAAATGAGAGCATCGTAGTCCGACAGAAGCGCAGACACAGCTGGTTCAGGCCGAGTGGGACCATGAAGAAGTTTCGTGCGAGGCTCAGCATCTGGCTACCACAGTCAAAGTACGAGGCAGTTTGACAACGCTGTCTGTTTCACGGATGAATGAATCTGTTCTTGGATGTATCTATTCACTTCTTCTTTACTATGAGCAGGTCAAATGGGCTCCATGAACCAGCTGAGAGGAGTAAAATCCTTTTACCAGCAATAAAGCTGAATCGTTTCACAAATCGTCAAACTTCCTACGCCATCAAGAATCCAACTGGAGAGCTCTTCACGTACACACCCAGTGGAAAGGTAGGGGTTTTCAATTATCGCTAACATGTACTTCAAAATACATTTCTCTGTGTTATTTTTGTGTAAATTACTTATGGCTGCTGCTGTGTTTGCAATAACATTTCCAAGATTTTATATCTCCTGTTAAATTTGTAGCTCTAGAGGTGTTTACAACAGAGTTTGTATCCCTTCTTCCACAGAGGGTGGTGGTCTCAGCGGTCAAATCATCAGCACAGCTCAGCACCAAACAGCTGGTGGAGCTGCTCTTCACCTCCAACGCCATTGGTCACTGTAAGACCACACCAAGCCTGCAGCACGGCTTCTTGATACAGGTAAAGCATTGTACTGATATGATAGTGAGTGAACCAATATATGTTTAATGTAAAAACACTTGAAGCACCTGTGCAATATGTATTTGTTTGTTGTTATTCCTTGAAGAGTCATGAACTTCAAAGAATTTCATGTAGCTTTGATGGACATGTTTAAATGAACAAATAAGAAGAAGAATCCAGTCCCAAAATCAAACCCTACATTGTTAATTAATTAGTCAAAAGCTGTATCTATAGTTAAAAAAAAATAAAATAAAACTAGCTGAAGTCTACTTGAGGTCTGCTAACAGATGAGATCCATGGACAAAAGGAAGTAACAATGAGGATGTCTAAAGTTTAGAAGCTCTGTTCTGAACCAAAACGTGTGAGAATCTGCAGCAGGAAAAAGCTATCACAACATACAAAAACAATATCATTCAACCAGACTGAATCAGGGTGATCTAGTCCCTAAAAGTGGCCAGTGAGTGTCATTTTCATAGTGCCTGATTATTATCTACGTGTGGCATGACAATAAGTTACACAAAAAACATTTCTATGATTCCAACATTGTCTCAACAGAACCTTTAGAAATATTAAAGTAAAGGAGAAAATAATTTTAAATTATACTGTACAAAGATATAAACAAAGCACATCATATTTTATCAAATTCTGTCCATAAGTATTTGTTGTTCGAACTCATAGCAGCTCTACAATAGAGTGGACTTCATGAAACACAAAAATATGCACCATGTTGGAAGTCATAGACCAGAAAACACAAGTCAGTAATTTGTCAAACATCTGTGATGCGTAGAGTTACTGAGTTTGTAGATGCTGCTCGGGGGAACAACTTTTCCTGAAGGGTTTGGTGAAGTTGGTGGACATATTGGGGGACCATCGCGTGGCAGGTTGTCTGTCATACAAAGCTGTCGGGAACTACTTCTCAGATAACAAATGCTGTAGTTGTGACATTCAAATGCCTGGCTTCCTCCCTGACTGACAGTCCTTTCTCATCGCTCTCTTGTCATCTGTGGCATCTTGTCATTTGAATAAAGCTACATTTTAAGGTGGCCTTTTATAGTCCCTGGTCGAAGGAATGTCTGTGTACTCTTCATATCTGATCACTGTCCTTCTGAAATAAATTGTGAAGAATTTGTCACCAGTTCAAACATTTTTTGTGCACTATGACTAAATTCAACCCTTTTCTTGCTCTACATAACAATAGGAATGAGATTTTTAGCTTTCTCTCTTAGTCAGAAGATCATCTGCATGCTGCATTTTTGTTTTTGTTCAGTGTATTTACGACATTTTAACACTAAAATGTTGTAAGATTTCTAAATAAATCCATCAGTTTCAAATGTACCATTCTAGTTTTGGCTCACATAAAGTAGTTTTTAAGACAGAATGTAAGCAATCCTTCTGATTCGTTTTTCATTGTGTACACAGATGATGAGGTACGCCGAGCAGAGAATCTCAACCCTGAACGAATACTGCGTTGTTTGTGACGAGCGGCATGTGTTTCAAAATGGCCCAATGCTTAAGGTAAAAGCTCTGACAAAGAAATCAACAAAGGTTTAGTGGCTGATCAGTGGAGTCAAAACTGAAATGGCAGATGATTGTTAACACAGTTCTGTTTTGTGTGTTTGTAGCCGGCAGTTTGCACCAGAGAGCTGTGTGTGTTCTCCTTTTATAAGCTGGGAGTCATGTCTGGAGCGACGGAAGAGGTTGCCACCGGTGCAGAGGTCGGTAACACCTTTACATGCTGTATGTTGTGAGTGGTGTCAGTATCAGAGTTCAATTTTCCAGTAATCTCTGCTCTTGCAGGTGATTGACCTGTTGGTAGCCATGTGCAAAGCTGCTCTTCAGTCTTCACGCAAGAGCATCATATTTGAGCCGTACCCTTCTGTTGTTGATCCATACAACCCCAAAACTCTGGCCTTTAGCCCAAAGGTATCAGCTGAAATATAATTATTACTGACCTAGTTTGTAATCCAGTATGTCATTTGATGAAGTTAAAGCAATCCTGTATTCTTTTGTTGCGACAGAGGAAGAGCTACGACAGGCTGCAGAAAGCTCTGGACAGCGTCTTGTTGATCAGAAGGATGGCACAGGTCTCAATAGACATTCTTGATCCCATTTTAAGATTCTTTTGTGTGAGAATAACATAAAAGCCGGTGAATATTTTTCTGACAGATGCAACAAGTAGATTAGATGATGAAATTGTGTTTTGTCACAACCAGGGTCCTTATTCTGAGATAAAGAAGCAGATGGACAAGATAGACCCTCTCGCTCATCCTTTACTACAGTGGTGAGAGACACAGTCTAAACGAGCGTCACACTTACATCTTTGTTCTATATTATAACATGTCATCAAATCTAAGCCCATGTAGATTCATATCCAGCTGTGTGTTTGTGTGTTTGACAGGATTTTAGCGAGCAACAGATCTCACATTGTCAAGCTTCCACTGAACAGGGTACACCAGAATAGTTTACTTTTCTTAACCACGTAGCTGCAAGATTTAATGCAGTTGTGATTAATAATTAGCAACTCTTGGATCGTATGTTGTGCTTTAAAGCTTTTATTCTGTTGTTGCTTTCCTATTTATCTTTATCATGTGGTGCACGATAGCAACTGAAATTCATGCACACGCCCCATCAGTTCCTGCTCATCAGCAGCCCTCCGTCCAAAGAGGCTCGTTTTCAAACCGCGAGGAAACTTTATGGCAGCACCTTTGCTTTCCAGTGAGTAAAATCCAAGCTGAATTTTTTCTGAAAGTTTTATATCATCATTTGCATACAAATCACAATTGTTGCCTAATATGTATCGACCCTTTTTTCCCTCCTTTCAGTGGTTCCCACATCGAAAACTGGCACTCTATTTTGAGAAACGGCCTGGTTAATGCCTCTTACACAAAATTACAGGTAGAATATGAGAATACCAAAGCCTCTGTACATTTTTAAACATGTTTTTGATCTCTTTCATATAAGCCAAAAAAAATGAAAGTGTATTTTAAAGCACAACAGTATTATGTGTACATTTAAAGCACTAAAACCTCCTTTGAGACATTCTCTGTACTCGTCTTTTTAAGCTTCATGGAGCTGCTTATGGAAAAGGCATCTATTTGAGTCCTATTTCAAGCATATCTTTTGGATATTCTGGTAACAATGCATGCTGACATTTTGTTTCTGATCACATGTATTTAAAAAAACAACAACATAATAACTCTGCAGGTTACCTGTTATATTTGTACCTACTTATTCTGTTTTTGAACATATCCTTCTTTTTTCAGAGATGGGTAAAGGTCAACACAAAATGCCAACCAAAGAAGAGCTCATGGAGAAATACAACCGAATAAATAAAATCAAAGAGGTCAGGTTCGCATTCATCTAAGCTCTTTATAGATTCACTCTGTACAGGAACATCCTGTCTTGTTTTTAGTAGCTCATCTGTGTTCTCTGTGTGTTTTAGGAGCCACTGGGAGAAGGCAGGTTTCTGCAGAGCAGTAACCTAAACTGCATTGCACTCTGTGAAGGTAAAGATGAGAAAAACTAAACACTATTTCATAAAGAAAGATGTGATTTCTGTGACATTGTTTTATAAGATTTTGTCTGCATGTCTTCACAGTGATAACTTCAAAAGACCTTCACAAACATGGGAACATTTGGGTGTGTCCAACACCCGACCATGTGTGCACACGTTTCCTCTTTGTGTAAGTAAAGCAGCAGAGAAGCAACTGTGGAAACATCTTTCTACTTCTCAATGCAATCAGAAGTTTACAGACTATATTTAAGTTTTCATTCACAGTCTGCTTTTACCTTTCACAGGTATGAAAATGGTCAGGTGGGAGAGGTCCACATCAACACTCAGGAAGCCAAAATCCAGAGAGAAATTCTACAAGTAATTGCTTCAAAGCCATGCTGAGAAAACCAATGCAGACATAGAGTTGATCTACACATTTCTTTTGCTATTTAACATAAAAAAACCAACATATTTTTTACTGGTTTTACAAGTGAACATGAACCAATGAGCTGCTTGATATTAAATTCAGCAGCTTTTGTTTGAGCTTGAACTTTTCCAAAAGGAAGGAAAAGATCACCAATAAACTGAAAAAGGCTTCTTTCTACTATCAGCAGCAGAATTATGAAAGTTGTTTTCTGCATTGTGTAAAAGCTTTGTGCCTTATGTCCTATTTTACAGTCTCTTGTAATCTTAACTCGTGTCTATCCAGGGTGATACGTCTGCACTGTAAGCACATATTTTATAAATGTTTTATAACCACACATTTTTAAATAAATTTGTACAAAATGTACTAATTGTGTTTCTTGTGCCTGTTAACGCAGATTTCCTTCAAATCAAAGGCCTGGTGTTTGCTTAATATTTGTGTAATATGTGTGTTCTACCACAAGATGGGGGTGTAACCAATAACTACTCTGAGGGCTTTTCAGTATTAACACAAAGCCAATAAAACTCCATGAGTGTTATGTTAGGACAATCACAAATCAAATGTCTGTACTGGAGACTGTTAAATGTTAAGATTTGATAATATTATCAGGACATTTGCAATGTGTGACACTAAGCTGAGTCACAGCCTCCTTTCAGAAACACTCATTATACCAGATGTGTCACAGGAGAAACAGCAAAAATAATCATGTGACTACACCATAGACTGTATACGTCTGTGGGCCACACATTGAAGAAAAAGCTCACAAAAAGAGAGTTTGTGTTACTCATGTTGTGGTTCCACTGAACTATTATCCAAATATTTAGCTAATATTTTCAGTACGGGAATATACAGTATTCACAGATGGGTAGTTAATTGCCAGTCATGCACTGTAGATAATCCTCATGGCAACTAACCGTAATCTGTTTGTGCTCATTGTCAGTGAATAATATGGGATGCATACCATCCTGCGAGGCAGACATGCACCATTATAACAGCATACTGGTTCCATATGAGCCCGGCAGCTGCCTCCTGACCTCCTCCCTCGGATCTCTAACGAGGGCAACTATGAAAGACCCCTCTGTTGTCATATGGATAAAACATTTTTTTCACAATTTCTGGTTTTATGCTTTCATGCAGTTTTGACAAAAAGTAGCTGCTCCAAGGTATGATAGTACTTGTACATGTCATTTTGTTCAACAGGGGCACAACTTGTGCAGCAAGCATTTTCTGGGTCAACCCAGCAGGCGATAGACTGAAGGGAGGAGAACGGTGAAGTTGCTGTAATAGCCCAAAGGAAGGCATTTCTCTATGACCATATGGCTCTCTGATGATAGCACAGAGAGAAAATTGGTTTGAAAACCATAATTTACTGCATGCTGAAATAACTATTGCTAATATTGCTTCATATCTTTATCTCAGTGAGATTGTAGTTTGATGCAATATCTGCAAAACTGCACATTAAGAATGGCACAATCAAGTGCAATTCAGTAAAAACAAAAAGAATTGTTTCAACTACATGCCTTGTTAAATCTCATTAACTCATGTGTATTCATCCATATAATTAAAGCAACCACACAGACAAATAAAATCTCTGAGCCCGTAAGGCTTTAACAAAACCTCCAACAAGCTAGAATGTGACAAACATTATTAAATGAGGCAAAAATGTAGCATGTGCCTTTAAGAGCACTATGTCCCACTCTACATGTCTCTCTCTGAGCCTCATATGTGTTTGTTGGCATCAGCTGTCCTCAGAGCTGAATAGAGCAAGGACATCTTTTCCTTCACGTCAATGGGATTAGAGGAAGAAATGCCCTCTTCATTCTGCTGGCTGTCATCTCAGTGCTCACAAGACAAAATGGAAATGCAGCATGGACAGAGGACTGAGAGAAGATCAATTTAAGTGACAAGTTTGGATTACAAAGCTGATCAGTTTCTAGTTTCTTAAATGAACAAGAAACGTGCTTCAGATCTCAAGGGAGATATGGAAATAATCCGAGGCTGCAGGAATAGAAACAATGTCCTGCATTGTTGTTTTGTAGCTTTCTCAGCAATGGCTTAACCCAGGGGTCATACGAAGAGTTCAAATGCTGCACACAGAAATGGAGCATCAGCCAACTTCATTCAGTCCTTCTGTCCCTCTATCATCTTCATCTCCAAAACCTGGCCAGAGCAACTTCAGGAGGATCAGCCGCACAGAGGACAGCAGCCCCTTCCCGATTCCCGGCCTCGCAGCAGACATCCTGCACATGCGGGTAAAAGAAGGAAGCAAAATCCGAAATTTACTGCGTTTTGCAACAGCCCGCATGCAAGGGGAGGGAAGAGACAGCAAGGGGGCATCACTGAGACAAGTGGTCTTCAGTGGCTCCGGCAGGGGAGTCACCAAGACTATCACCTGTGTGGAGATCCTGAAACGTAAAATGGGAGGGCTCCATCAGGTGTCCAAGCTCTACTACAAGACAGTCAACGAGGTTTGGGAGAGTCCTCAACAGGGAGCACCAGGTATAACCATGGAGAGGACAGTCCCTGCCATCTGCATCCTGCTCTCTAAAGACCCTCTGGATCCCCAGGAGCCTGGATACCAACCCCCACAAACCCTCAGTCCGTCCGCAGAGGACACAGAGAGACGTAGAGGTCTGCTCAGGACGGCTCAAAGTCCCTCCTCACAGCAGACGGCCAAGAGACTCTGTCTGGATGACTACAGTGTATGTCCTCCCTAATCTAAAAACATTATGTAAAGTATCTGGAAATTTACATTTGCAGGCAGCTGACAAGAATTTATTTTATCTCTCTTTTTTTTTTTTATAAAGAAAGTAATTTCTCTGGATTTCTTTCTTTTTTTTTTCTTTTTAAACTATAATGTTTATTTAACACATATTACTACAAAAGTGAACAACTCTCTCTGCTTCCAGTGGCTGGAAGGAAAAACACTCTCTCAGTTCACAATTGACTATGTTGTATCAGTATACAGCTAGACTGGAAATAGGAAGATGATGATGATAATTCATAGCAAAATTATTGCATGTTAAGATTTTCTCTTTTGCAACACTTTGCAAATTTGTTATGCAAAGAAACACATGTATGTCAGCAGCAATATAAATGGTCACATTAGTAGTTATATATTAGTTCTACTGGAGCTTGCTCTGGTGCAAAAGTACACAAAGTTGGTCACAGTCCTTATAATTATAAACAGGGTCTGTGTCAACGATCTTTATTCTGTTTTCAACTTTTGGAAATAATTTAGATACATGATAGTGGATCATTAAAAAAAAGTTGTGGCTCTTGGTTGACTTTCATCAAGATGCTGTCCCTGTTTTTACTGAATATAACATTGCAGAAATAAATAATCTTGGAAATGCATTTCAACTTTATTGTTTAAAGCTGTAGTTAAAGTTTGCGTGCCTCTTTTAATTGAATAAAAGCAGAAATAGTCCAATAGAGGAGAAGCAGTTTAAACTTCTAATCCTGTGATACATATGAACCTATATTTTCCTGTAGGTCATATGACCAGCTGTATCAAACAAACAGAATCACAACTATATTCATTTTAATCAAAGCTGGTTTGTTTTCGTGGGAGTTTGTCCTCGGGTAGTACAGTAAATAATAATTTTTAAAAAAGGTTGGAACTATTTAACTCTTGTCCTGACAGAACATGGTATAGATGCATCCCTTTGAAACTTTCTGTCATTGCTCAGGAACAAACAAAGGAAAGGTTCTATTTATGCAGCACATTTGACAATAATGTCGTATTGACACTAACTACGGTTTTATTGCACTTTGGCTTTTACGGCATCCCATTAAAACGTATCATGTGACCAGAGGCCTTGGATCTTAACACATCGAGGCCTGAGCCCAGCAAAGAAATATTTAGATTTTAATGCTGTAACTGGCCACCTTCAAGTTATTTCAGAGTGAAATGAATACAAAATGTGAGATAGAATATCTGATGACTAAATCTGACCAATCGCTCTCCATGGTACTGAAGTTTTGGGTTCACTCAGTCATCAAGACGACACTAGAAGAGACAAACATAGAAATTCTACATGCAGAATATTAAACATCCAAAGAAAAACACCAGCCAATGCATGCAGGGCAGAATTAGGCCATTTGTCATTGATTATCAACTCAAATTGAGCCCTCAAGACACACTGAGATTTCAGAAAGCCCAGAAACAGAACCCAACAAAAAATCCCATTTGTTAGCTGGTCCTGAGACACACTGATCAGATAAAACTTCATACTGATCAACCTCAGACCAGCACTGCTCTCCAACTACTATTCAGAGTCAATCAAATCATTACACCAGCAAAAAATGCTTATCTGGAATACTGAAGTGATCAAACCAAACCTTAAAGCCAAGTTCAATATTATCTGGCTCTAAACCATGAATATAAACTGACAGAAAATCTATTTATTGTCAAAGATGCATAGCAGAGACAGATCCTGACAAAACACAGACTCAGTGATTACAGTGTACCCACAGAGAAAGGACGACACAAGGCAGAGAAAGAAAGTCTGTGAGGCTGAGACAGAGATGCATGATGTTAAAATGAGAGTAAAATAATACAAAATAGGAAGACTTTCAAAAGTTTGACTTGTCAGTTCTAAACTTTACAGAACTCTATGACAATACAAAACAACATATTGTATTTGAGGAGAGCACAGACCCAGCATTACAAGATGTGACTGCATGTTTATTGATTTTCTTTTTTGCCATTAAAAAAAAAATCTGTTTATCATTTTATTAAATGTCTTTATTCCATTTCCTTCTAACCAAATGCATTTTTTCTTTATTTGAATTACACCGCCCTAGATTCTTTGGCAATACTATTAACATGAAATTCACTACAATAAAGCATAATGAATTCAGGTCAAGGATATTAGGGAAAAAAAATCAATGCGCTGCAGTTTACGCATGCGCAGCAAGAGCTGGCGTATGTGCCGGGCTAACCAAGTTAGCAGTAGCTTCCTCCTGCCCAACCTGACCGGTCCGTGTAGCTGGCTGTCCCGCATCATGTTCAGAGCCGCCGTCCGTCTCTCGGTCTCCGGTGTACGGAGTTTAACCCGTACGCAACCACAATGCCAAGGTAACTGTTCATCTTCTACCACCTCTGATTATTACTATTTTAAATACGCTCGCTTGTGAAACTGTCAGGGTGAAGTTTAGCGGAAACCAAGTGTGACAGTCGGCACATTGCGGTGCCCGCGAAGCTAAGCTAAGCTAGCTAGCTGCAGTAAAATAAGCCAGTGTAACCATCACTCATTAAGGCACAGTTAAACGTGCCAGTGTTTCATTTGGGTTATTCGGGCTTTCGTTCAATACAGCCATTCCCCTTATTACCCTAAGGCTTGCTGCTCTGGAAATGTCTCGGTGCTCAGCTCGATGGTGTGGGTGTCCTTGTCGTGACCCGGTTTTAAGGCTCGGTGTGCGGCCCTGTGATTGTGCTGCTGATGCTAGTTGCTAACATGCTAACTAGGTTAGTCGACTAAAGCCGCGCTCAGCGAGTCGCGACTGCTTACCATCATTGACACTGACAATAACAAGTAAGGAAACCAAGCTACTCAGTCAGGACGTTGGAGCTAAAACACTGCTGCAATACCTTAGTCTATCTTTAGCTGTTGGCAAAGTTAAATACAGTAAACATAGATTTACTGACTTGTATACAGTATTATTTAAAGGAATACTGTCTAATTCTCACGTCCACTTAAATATCGCATATGCATCATATAACAGAAGTTTCCATTATGTTGTGCCAGTGTGTAATAGCTACGTACGTGCCACAGCCTGCAGGATGTGGCATGTGCAGTAGGTGGGTAATATCAGGACATTGGCAGTAACCCAGCTGCATAACATTGCTAGACAGCATTTCTTTTTTTTTCTACTTCACTCAGTGTACATGTCCTTGACTGAGACTGGTCCTCTACCTGACTTGACAGGACATGCCACTTCAGGTGCTTTATTGCATTGGTGACAGGCTGCAGAAATAAGTTGTGTTTTCATTGTGCAGGTGTTTTGGCCTCAAGGTGTTACTCACATGGGAAGCAGGAGACAGATGAGGAGTTTGATTCTCGCTGGGTCATGTATTTCAACAAGCCAGACATTGACGCATGGGAGCTGAGAAAAGGTAAGTTTGTCAATGATGGTGATGCTGAATCACTAAAAGTTATGGGTACTTTTAGATTATAAATTGAGTTTTAATGCATAACAGTATGCCCAGGGCTTAGCATACAACAGTTGTTTATTACTATTATTATTATTGTTTATAAATCCGTGATGAAAACAAGGACAGTTTTGGGTTTACAGGGCCAGTGCAATACTGTGATGAAATGGTTTGATTTGTCATTTATTCTCCAGAATTGATTAAAAATACACAGAATTCTCTATAAAGATCACTAAGATGTAAACAAAACAAATATTTTAACAAATATACAGAGCGGCACACCTGGTTCTCTGGAAACTATACATGTTTCCAAGCAGATTTTTGTTTTTATCATTTTGACGTACACAGCCTGTGTCCATATTGTATAATGACAGAGCCAGGTTTTCAATGCTAGTGCTAATTTGTCACCTGAGACTACCAGATGACTACCAGATAGCAATTTCTAGAGCAGATAGCAAAACAATACTTTTTGGGGTCTTATTTTAAGGAACATTTTACAACACACCTGCTGTTTATATTACATTTTTTGGTTGGTTATCTATCTTTTCCATTCTTGAGAACACAAAATCTCAGGAGAGCTTTGCAGGAATTTCATTGAGTTGGACTCAAGGATGAATTAATCAGAGTTTGATGTTTCCAAGCTCACTTTGACCTCTCATCAAACATGTTTTCTGCCGTTACACTAAAATTCATACACTAATTATGACAATACGTTACAAAAATGTCTAATAGGACAAAGCGATTAAGTGATGACATTTTATATCCAGAAAGTCAAACTTCAACTTGACAGTGCCATTATTCAGTGCCATGATACAAAAACAGAAGACATTATTCACTGGAATCAAAGAATAAGAATGCAACCCTAACCCTTGCCAGTCGCCATTTAATGCCAGCTCTTAGTACTTGACACTTTCTTGGCCGTACCAAAACTAATAAGATCCTAAGCCAGAGTTAATGCAACTTTCTCTGTTGATGGGTTTGCTGCTTAAAGAGGGACTCAGACAGAAAACAGCCGTTTAAAAAAAATGCTGCCACTTCAGTCATTTGATAGGGATCACTTGGTTGATGCAGTGAGGATTACAACGCAAGGTTGTCTGCCTGGAAAAAAGTTTATCCGACCTCAGCCTTGCTACAGGGCAGCGCATTGTCAACATAAACATAGTACAATGGCCAATTAAATATGTATAAGAGCATATTTCTGGTAATTAGTTTGTGACCTAAACACTATTTCTACAGTTTACCAGGCTATTATTGATATATAAGATACAATGATCACCAACTATGTTGACTTTCTAGAATAAAAGAATTCTGTCCCAGGCTATTATGCATGTTTTGGGTTTCTTGTTTTATCAGGTCATTAATAACTAAAACATCGTATGTGTGGCCTGACATACATTTCTCCAGAAACTTAGCTACATGACACAGTGACACAGAGCTTATCAACTGTGATCGGTGCACTTGGTCTATGTAAATATGGAATATTGATTTGTGCAAAGATAATGTTTCTGGGACACTAAAAGGTAATATACAACAGGCTGTAACTGTATTTGGCTTGCTCATAATACAAAAGCAAGAACCAGTATTGTGCAAATGGCACCATAGCTCTCATTCTGTCAGTGTGTGCATAGACTGAATCAGATCAGTGGTTTTACACGTCGTTTCCTCTGATGTGTTCTCTCTTTACTCTGTTGCAGTAATTGCCAGTATAAATAACTGTTATTCAACTTTTATTAGCTCCGTCTCCAGCATGATCAGCTCAGTTTCAGTCTCCTTTGTTTGGAGAACACAAGGAAACTCAACACAGTGGCACAGAAACTGCTAATGAGCGCTGTGGTTGTGTATTTGCAGCGCAGCACAGACACACCAGTGTACACATATACATACATATATATGACAACAGTGTAGACTACTTGTTGTAAGCTAAGGCGGCTCACAGTTTATTTATACTTCTGCATAAATTCTATGCAGAAGTTTAAATAGATTCTATGCAGAAGTATAAATAGATTCTATGCAGAAGTATAAATCAGGCGTAACAGGAGGTGTTTTGAGTGGTGAGAAAGAGAGGGAAACAGGGAAAGGCTCTTTCTCAGGTGAGAAGTGATAAGACCAGAACTTGAGGAAGTGACTCAGTCCTTGTGGTTGAATCTTGCTCTTGTGTTGCAAATATGGTTGGTTTGCAGTTTTAACAAAAATGTTTGTCAACTCATGTTGTATAGTGAGACAGTTGGATCATTGCATTTAAAACAAAAAAATCAATAAATCCCCTGGAAAGACCAAATGATCACTTTGTTGATCCATCTCTCATTATTGTGCAACTTCCCTGTAAATGTCTCTCAGCTCCACTGGGTTCTAGTATCGATATAAATCTATCAATCAAGTGAATAATGCCGTTAATGGGGACTGTTTTCAGCTGTGGATTGATACACATTTGATGCACTGATGCAGCGACTATTTTTGGCTGCAGGATGGTATCCGTGGCACTAACTCAAAATAGACTGCTGCTGTCACGTTAACTGTAACAAAGGGAAACGTCTCCTGGTAACTCTGCCTCCCTTATGGAGCTCTATGACATTGAGAGATAAGACACAATAGTAGACTTTAACTACAAAGAAAATACATTTTAGTGGCATCAGCTCATTTTTGGTTCTCTTATTTGTCTGGAATTTGTTTACACAAGTTATAACATATGGTTGATTATAAAAAAAAAAAAAAAGTGTTAATTTCTGTCTCTGTTCTCCCATTAACAAGCATTGATTCCATGTTTCAGGGATGAACACATTGATTGGGTACGATCTGGTACCCGAGCCAAAGATTCTTGAGGCCGCGCTGAGAGCCTGTCGGAGACTAAACGACTTGGCCAGCGCTATCCGAATTTTGGAAGCTGTGAAGGTGAGAGAGGAAAAACATCAGGGAACGCTGCCAGCCAGCATCTTTGTAGGTGTTTGTTGTAAGTTAATGATTAATGAGTTTCACCGTTTATTTCCTCAGGACAAAGCCGGCCCTCATAAAGATATCTACCCCTACCTGATCCAGGAGCTGCGGCCAACATTAAATGAGCTCGGCATCTCTACACCTGAAGAGCTCGGCATTGACAAGCTGTAGCTGAGCAGGTACTAAAATTCTCTCATCAGTGGTGTTTTTATTTCCCCTCCCAGGTGTGTAAAAGATGGCAATCTAACACATACTTTGTTTGTGTGTTTCAGATCCTATGACAGTGGAAGATACCCAAGACACAGACCCTTGTACTTTAATGTTTGCCTCATTTACTGCGTGTGATATTTAATTTGGCCTTTATTAAGTTCTTTTGCTTGTAAAATATTCATGAACATAATAAAGGAGAATTTATCTTTGAGTGTCAAAAGTATATGGGAATATTTTTCGTAGTCTGAGTACTTATTGAAGCAATACTTCACGACAGGTTGCTTTGACTGGGAGCATCACAAACTGGTACATGTCCAAGTGTGTGCAGACTTTCTTGTAAGAGTCACGTTTTGCCACCAGGGAGCAGCGTTTTCACTTGAATGTAAGAATCATCCTACTGTATTCAGTCGGCATTGCATCTGTTTTCATTTCAGGGAGAAGTTACGTGTTGGTAAAATAAAGTTGTTCAAATGGCAAATGGTGTAAAGTTATTATGAGCAGATACTTGGAATGTTGATTTATATCAGATATTGTTACCGATGGGAGCGATATGACTTGACAGATTATGAGTTATTTTTAAGGACGGGCACACGAGACCATTGAAGTCCATGGTCATTTTAAGTAAATCGAAGTATATCATAGTCCAATACCTACACATAATCTCATACTCTCAGTGGACACTAGTATTATGAGTAATGTGAGGAGAAAACGTGTTGGTAAAGATGAGTTGAACTACCTTTATACATGGTTATGTCATGTTGAAATGGATTTTAAACTGCTGCCCTTAAACACAAAAGTTGTACTTAGCAGTTAACTAGGGTGGCCTAAATTTGCACCACAGTTATTGTTAGATATTTATGTTGCACTGTAGTTACATGGGTGTCAACAAGTCAAATGCATTTCAGAGTCTTTAACCTTTAAAGGTGTTTATGGTGTGCAAAGACATTGTTCATGGAATGATGGTATGAAAAGATGTTTTTAGAATTACTTTTAAAAACTGGGTGCAGCTAATTGTAATGTTTCCTATGTGTGTGAGATGGCTTCAAATATATGGAAGAACAGAGGTGGGAAGTAACGAAGTACAAATACTTCGTTGCTGTACTTAAGTAGAATTTGCAGGTATCTGCACATTATTTGAGTATCAATATTTCTGACGACTTTTTACTTTTACTCCCTACATTTGAACGCAAATATCTGTACTTTCTACTCCTTACATTCTGAAAACTGTCTCGTGACTTGTTTCAACCTCCGCAGATGAAGACATGACGTAAAAGACGTAACAATAAACATCTTTATCTTTACCAACAGTGTTCAATTTGTCACTGAAGCTCAACACATCCCTGCCTGCTTCAGCTGCCTGCGAGAGGCTTGTTAGCACTGCAGGACTGATTTTCTGACCCAAAAGGGCCCGTCTTCATTCAAAGAACTTTGACAACCAGCTTCTACTGAGGCTCAGTAAAAGATGTTGGTAGTCTTGAAAAGATGAGTGTTTCCATGTTGATTATAATGTTTAATGTTTATCATGTTGCTGAAATGGAAAACTGTCCAGTGATGCTTTTTGGCTCTGTAGCAGCACTGTGCAGGTTCTTAAAGATGAAAACAATGCTATTTTGCGTGCTTTAAACTTTTTCATTTTGCAAAGTTATCAAAAGAGGCATCGCACAACATCGAAGCTAAAAATTCATTTTTACTTTTGTACTTCAGTAAATTTCTGAACCTGTACTTTTTTTTTTACTCTTGAGAAAAATAGTTGAATCAGCACTTCTACTTTTACCAGAGTCCATTTGTACACAAGTATCTCTACTTCTACTTAAGCAAAGAATGTGAGTACTTTTGCTATTTCTGTGGAAGATACAAGTAAATCCTGGAGTGACTGCTGATACCTGACAGGGTTTGAACTGAGTAGAATGGATTTTAGACAACCTAACATAGTTCATATATCACAGTATTAGAAGTTTGCTTGAAGACTGCTGTCATATTTCTAAGGACATGAAATGAGTTACTTAGTGCTACAGTGAGCCTGTTAATATTACAGCCTGCAATCCAAACACCAACAAGAACCTGCTGCGAAGCATTTCACCTTTGTTCTCTGGTTCTGGATTTAAAATGAAACACGGTTCACGTTCTGTGTGCTCAGAGGTGCCTTCACATCCATGAATGCTCCTTTTGACTGCTGGATTGTGAGAGATAATTCAAGTGTGGTTTTGCCCTTAAGATCTATGAGAAGAAAATCTGAGCGTAATGAGAGCAAATCAAATTCATGACAGCTTTTTCCTTGTATCCTGTAATCAATCAGCTCGTGTCAGCAGCATCTGTCTCAGGCTTTTTATAGATTGGTGGGAGGAACTATAACCGCTGATTCCCAAGCAATCAGAGCTACCACATGTAGGATGCTGCTGCTCAGAATAGAACACATCAGATGTTCACGAGGTGCCGAAGTTGGACTTAATGTTGGCTCACTGGTGGAAAAGTTGTCAGAATAAATCAGCTTCTCCAGCTCAGACTGAGGGTTTCTTTAATTCATAGTATTCATTGGAAACCAGCTCATGCTGTGCAAAGCAAAATGCCAGGTCTGTAAGAGTGTGCATACAGTATACAACAGTATGCTTAAATGTCAAATGATTCAAAATTGTAGGACTTTAAAGTGATTGCATTGCTTCTACATTGAACTGTAGGCATTTGCTCTTTTGTAAAATTAAAAAACTATTGCTTTAGATTTATTGTATTAAAAATACAGGACCTACAGTAGAAACTCAATGCAACAACAGTCAGTTTGCCTTTCATAACTGAGTATCTCATTGAATGTTTTCAGTGCTTCCATCTTGATTTCTGAGAACTAACTTACTGGAGGGATTGTGTTTCTCTAATTTTCTGTTTAAAATACCTCAAATGTGTTCTATTGGACACAAGTCAGGGGATTTTCCTTTCCAGGTCATAGTTGTCACCTTTTTTTCCTTCAGAAACTCTTTCGCCTTGTATCGTTAATGTACTAGAATGTTCCTGTTCTGCTTCTAAAGCCTGGGAGTTATCTTTTCAGCCTGTGTTGTTGTATTTCCACAGGCATACATGGTGCATCCATAGATCATCATCTCCACAACGCTGATATCATCATACTGCCACTTCTGTGCTCTATTGTCAGGACTATGCATTCAGTGTGGACATCCTGGCCAGGCTCATACTAATCATGCCACACCAAATCCGCATTGAACTAATTTATCTTGGTCTCACCTCACCAAACATTGCATTCCCAATATTGACCAGGTGTCTATTTATTAAGGCCCGACCGATTTATCGGCTGGCCGATTAAATCGGCCGACTATCGTCTTTTTCAAAATACTCATAATCTGTCTGAGTTTTGCTGATTAAACGCCGGCATATTCTTAATTTCTCCTAAAACAGTAAATGCTGTTAAGTGTCACAGTCGCTTCCGTACATTCATTTTGTACAATTTGATTTTGTAAGAAGACAAATATTCTCCAAGGCAAAAGTGTGTGAAAAACACTTCAGCAACACCTCGAAAAGCTCCGTTTTTGCTGCTGCTTGTTGTAAACAAGTCAAACTTGGCTCACTGAGAGAATGAAGAGTTAACATGACTGACAACCGTACAGCAGTAGATCCCTCACTGCCGCAAAGTCTGAAACCAAAACAGCGCATAGAGCCTCACTGTGATGGTTCTTCAGAGAACTACAGAAAACAACTTTTTAAACTTTTCATCCAACTTTTTAACTAGCTTATGTAACTTATATTTTTATTAACTTATTCTCATCAAATTTAAAGACAGCACAGTCGTTGAGAGTACAGAACATCAGAGGGCTACAGAAATAATGTTTTGCCAGTAACTTCCCTCATTATGTTGCTTGTATACAGCAGACACCTGTGGCCTAAACCTAAAGATAAATTCATCAGTACAACTGGTAGCTACATTCATGCTCCATAGAAAGAAACCTGCACAGTGCAAATTTAAAATAAAATACCCCACATTACAGACATATTGGTTTGGAGAACTGTTTTTTTTTTACTGATGCACATTATGTTTAATGCTTAGTTGCATGTTTTTGTACTTGAAAATTCTCCTCTGTTGTAAAGTTAAACAAATACTAGAGGACAAAGTATTGTTAAACAGTAAAATGTTCTGCCTGTGGTTCATATCTTTGTTCTTGTAAGCATTAAAGGGACCAAAAAAGAAGCTAGTTTATTAATTATATATTTTTTAAATTAATCGGCCGATTTATCTGAATTTATTTTCTTTTTTTCCCCAAATATTGGAATTGGCATCGGCCTCAAAAAATCCATATCGGTCGGGCCTGTTNCAAATGTGTTCTATTGGACACAAGTCAGGGGATTTTCCTTTCCAGGTCATAGTTGTCACCTTTTTTTCCTTCACAAACTCTTTCGCCTTGTATCGTTAATGTGCTAGAATGTTCCTGTTCTGCTTCTAAAGCCTGGGAGTTATCTTTTCACCCTGTGTTGTTGTATTTCCACAGGCATACATGGTGCATCCATAGATCATCATACTGCCACTTCCGTGCTTTATTGTCAGGACTATGCATTCAGCGTGGACGTCCTGGCCGGGCTCATACTAATAATGCGACACCAAATCTGAGTTGAACTAATTTATCTTGGTCTCACCTCACCAAAGACTGCATTCCCAACATTGACCAGGTGTCTAGTTATTGGGCCCGACCGATTTATCGGCTGGCTGATTAAATCGGCCGATTATAGTCCTTTTCAAAATAATTATAATCGGCCGGAGTTTTGCTGAATAAACGCCGGTATGTTCTTAATTTCTCCTAAAACAGTAAATGCTGTTGAGTGTCACAGTCGCTTTCATTTTGTACAATTTTATTTCGTAAGAAGACAAATATTCTCCAAGGCAAAACTGTGTGAAAAACACTTCAGCAACACCTCGAAAAGCTCTGTTTTTGCTGCTGCTTGTTGTAAACAGGTCAAACTTGGCTCACTGAGAGAATGAAGAGTTAAGATAACTGATGAGCATACAGCAGTAGATCACTCCCTCTGCCGCAAAGTCTGAAACCAAAACAGCGCATAGAGCCTCACTGTGATGGTTCTTCAGAGAACTACAGAAAACAACTTTTTTAACTTTTCATCCAACTTTTTAACTAACTTATGTAGCTTACATTTTTATTAACTTATTCTCATCAAATTTAAAGACAGCACAGTCTTTGAGAGTACAGAACATCAGAGGGCAACATAAATAATGTTTTGCCAGTAACTTCACTCATTATGTTGCTTGTATACAGCATACACCGATGGCCTAAACCTAAAGATAAATTCATCAGTACAACTTGTAGCTACATTCATGATCCATAGAAAGAAACCTGCACAGTGCAAATTTAAAATAAAATACCCCAAATTACAGACATATTGGTTTGGAAAACTGTTTTTTTTAACTGATGCACATTATGTTTTTTGCTTAGTTACATGTTTTTGTACTTGAAAATTCCTCTCTGTTGTAAAGTTAAACAAATACTAAAGCTCAAAGTATTGTAAAACAGTAAAATGTTCTGCCTGTGATTCATATCTTTGTTCTTGTAAGCATTAAAGGGACCAAAAAAGAAGCAATTTTATTCAGTATATATGTTTTAAATTAATCAGCCGATTAATCGATTATCTGAATTTTTTATTTTTTTTTATTTTTGCCAAATATTGGAATTGGCATCAGCCTCAAAAAATCCATAACAGTCAAGCCTGTTTTTTTTTAATTATTTTTTTTTTATTTAAGGAAAGCTAAATTTAGTTTAGTGATAACCCCTGTGTCAAGTCTGAAGTCTATGTTTTGCTTTTTTTAGAAGCAGATAGCATCTGCTGGCCGTGGTGCCATTTTATTAGGACAGCCATTTAGTGGTGCTGTGGCTCATACACTTTAATTTTAAAACTCTGGTTCACTTTAAACACGCTCTTTCACAAATACCTTTAGTTGTATGCAGTAGTTAAACGTTCATTTTCCTTCTGCAACCCTTTGCCCATGTTTAAATGCACTTTAAAAAAGATTGTGTAAGTGCTTGGAGAGCAAAGTAAACAGTGGAGTCAAATTACTTGCATGTGTTCACTTACTTGGTCAAAAAAGCTGATCTTCCTGGATCTTTTTCCAGTTTTGTTAAGACTCACAATCCAGTGTTTTCCCTTCAGTTTTACAGACAGAACCATGACATGCAGATAGACATAGCTGGGGCGAAAACTGACAAATTAGTTTCTAACCATGTCTGTGCTATTAAACTAACTGGTACTCACTGTTGTTCTTTAGTTTGTTTCAGTGATCTCAGGTTTTCTAACTTATCAGAAATCATCGGTTTGTTGCACTAAGCTTCTACTCTGTAATTCCAATATAGTCTTCCTGGAATTTGTTGTTTGTTGTTTGTTTTTGATTCCTGGTAACAGGAAATAATCAGCTTGTCAGATTGGACTGAAAATTTAAAATCAAATGTACAAACCATTTACATTTTGTCTCCACACTCTTTTAAAAAACGATTCCTTCATTTAGGCCCAGAAAAAACACACAAAAAAAGAACAAACAAACAAAAAGATATCAAAGAGGGTTTTACATCCAGATTGAATTTCAGTGTATTTTTTAGCAGTGAAGGCAAACTGGTAGACTAAAGTGCCCATTTGTATTTTTCCTCTTCTTTATTTCTACATTTTACAGCAGAGGTCACGTTACCACAATAAACGCCGAGGACAAGAGAAGTGGGCCGTGCTTTGGGGTGGGATTTCCTCGTGGAGTGGGTGGGAAGTTCCACCGAGCTGCACTACACTTTACGATCTTTACGCACGGGGCGGGTCTTTCATTCATCGAACGTGGGGCCACTTAGACAATCAAAGATGTTTGAGTTTCCATGCGCAGTGACCAGGAAGGTAAAGCTCGGAGCGTAATTACCCCTCCTCCTCCTCCTCCTCTCCTCCTCCTCCTCCAGCCCCGATCACCACGACCTCCACGCTGCAGGGGTGTTTTTCTTTTTTTTTGTTTTGCTTTTTTCTAAATTAACAAAGAAGATTTTTTTTCTGCAAAAAAGAAGAAAAGAAAGGAAAAGAGAAAACTGGTCATGAGATGCGATTTATTCCTGCCGGTGGAAAGAAGGGAAAACTAGACACGACCTGTTGGCGATGATGAATTACTCCAAAGCGCAAATGGTGAGTGTCGACGACTGTTTGCTCGCTTTTCCACTCGTGTCCGTTACAGTAACAAAGCAAATGATGATTAATGGAGACTTTTCTAAACGCATTTCCGCGCTTGGAGAGGAGTTTTCGGTGTAGTTTCACGTGAAGGTGTGCATTGATGCAGATTTTGTGTTTGCATTTACCTGCTCTGTGAAGTTCTATCCTAAATGGAAGCGTGTATCAGGCTACTAATGACCTGCAAGTTGTTTGATTTTGTGTTTTAACAATCTCAAATTGTTTCACTATAATCCACCTTGAAACTCTCTGAATCTGCCTTTAAATTCACATTACCTGGAATGTTTGGACCCCATATCTAACTTTAGTCAAACATGTGTTTAAAAAAAACAGATTGGTAAAAGTTTAATTTGTCTCTTTCACCCAAACTGTTCTTGTTGAATGCAGTTTCCTTTTTATTATTTGCTGCTACACATTAAGACAAACACAAGTGGCATAACTATATTTCTATATAATGTTCTGCTTTTGGTGATTTCTGTATTTTTGGTCCATAGTCGAGCCTATCGGAGGAGGCGGCCGGGGGTCCACAGTCGAGTCCTGCCGGTGTGAAGCTGGGGGCGGTGATGGAGCACCTCCAGAGACAACAAGAAGCCAAAATGGAGATGAACCTGCAAGAGAAACATCTGCTTCAAGCTCAGCTGCTGTTTGCCAAACAGGCCGCTGCAGCCAGAGCCTCTGGATCCAGACAAGACTCTGCATTATTTGGAAAAGCCAACCCTCGGAGCAGAATGGATCCAGAGGAGGAGGATGACGATGGTGAAGAAACAGATGAGGAGGACCTGGACTTGTTGGCGCCTGAAGAAAACCATGAAGAGAAAGAAGAAGAAGAAGATGAGGAGGTGGAGGATAATGAAGAGCAGGCAAAAAGGCCTCAGCTGCAGCAGGCTTTAAGATTCCCCTTCAAGCCTTTTTCCTCGTCTCCAACGGCGGCTCGGGAGCAAATGTCTGAATTTCCACCTTCAGCAGTGAAGCAGGAGCATGAGGAGAAGAACCTGATGTCTCATGTGGGTCAACATGGCATCACATCACCCGGTGACTTCGCTGACTGGAGCTTCGACGAGCATTTGAAACAGGTACAGTGCTTTTGTTGTGTTTCTTTAGTGTCTTATAGAGTGAATTTTAGAATATTTTCAAATCCACTTTACATCTCTTGTGATTCTTTGAATAACTCAGACTTAGTTTTGAGGCTGTCAAAGCGTTACTTGATCCCCACAGAGAGAAATCCTACATCTGCAGTGGTCCTGTCATAGTTTGTGTGTGATCTCCCTGTTGTTATTAACCGTGGACGTCTTCCTGCTGAGAGTCACGCTCACTGCTGCTCTGCCTCCCTTTTTCTCACATTACTTGGCAAGATGCCATAACTTGATAGTGTTTAATTAGTGGCCAAGCCAGAGATCTTTCCTTCTGCCATATTTCAACTCATGTCTCACACTTTGGAAGAAAAAGAAAAAAAAGAAGTGCTTGCCGCTGGCCGCGCTAATTGGTGTTGGCTGTGGTCCAAATCTGACTGTTCAGAGGACAGTTCAGGCCTGAGAAGATGGAGCTGAAATGAGAGCAGGGGATTAATGAAATAGCCTCAAGTGTGTATTTATGGACTAGGTTGGCTGCGAGGGGTAAGTACTGTAAGTCTGTACCACCCAGGTTTCCTTAAACCTGAAAAATGAAATGGGAGATCCGAAGCTAGTGTTTATGAGTATGTTTTCCAGCTGACTGCTCTTAAGGAACAAGGATCTTCTTATGGATTTCCTTCCTTCTTTATGGAGGCCGATCTGATTGGTTCTTCTGTGTGTATGTTTCCTTTGAAAAGGCCCCATGTCAATATAATACATTATGATTAATGAGGCCTGTGGGTGGAGGGACAGCTGGGTTAGTGCTTCACAGCATGCGAACGGCTACCAATAAAGTTTGCTGATTGTAGTTCCATTGTAGCGGGATGGGCTTTTGTATGGTTATCAGGGGTTTTACACACCTCTTTTTTAATTATATAGGTTTTTTTTTCCTCTTTCTTGCACTTTTCTCTCTCCCTTTTGCCTTATTTTTGGTAAAGATCCAATGTGCATGTACCGGCTGTCTTTCTACATGAACAACCCCCAATCATTTACAAAGTGAAATGTGCATTCAAATCTGGAGAAGCCCCGGACGTCTCAGTGCTGACGTTACTGTAGCTCGGTGGATAGCTTTGCATAATTTAGCCGTCGCCTGGCAACACTAAATGGCAGCTTAATTCCGCTGCAAGTAATCAATACATTATATGGCCACTGCAGTGAGAATGTGTTTCCTTTTCACAGAGCAGCTCACTGAACCCGGAACAACCAAGCACAATTCAGTTTTAATTAAAGCACAATAATTAGTCAAGAAAGACTGTTGTGGAAACAACTTAATGACGCCTTTGTGAATCTGGTTGGTTGCTTTTTTTCCCCATTGCTTGAAACAGAAGTAATGTCTAAGAATCTTAATTTATAATTGAAAGAAATCTATGTGGGGCGTTTGCTGTGACCCATTTGTGTCAAGGTTTGTGAACGTCGTTGTGAACACATTAAGTGTTGCAAGGAGGTGTTGCTTGGGATATTTAATTTCATGCTGTTTATGTTGAGGTAAAGTTAAGCTTAAGAAAATACTTATAAATGTCTTGACAGATGCTTCCTGGTGTGTAGAGACTTTGGGAAACTATAGTAAAGTAGGAATGTAGCCATGCATACAGCAAAAAATGATTTCCACTTTGTCTGAAGCTACCTCACCTTTACATGCACACAAAAGGGTTTGAATCTCTGGGAAGGTATTTGGTGGCCAGTTGAAATGTTTGCTGTTTTCATCCTAAATTTGCTTCCCTGTCCTTAACTCCCTTTTGTTCTGTTCATTAATGAAACATCTTGACATGCTCTTCAGGCCTCACCATGCTGGACAGCTATTGTTCACTCCTTGTGTGCGGTCTCACTGTAAGCCCTTAAGTGTAGCATGAGCGGGGGATAAAGAGCCCCTGTTCATCCAAGCCCACAGCACAGCGAGGGGTCGGATAAATGATCTTGACTTGCTGAGCCCAATAATTTGATTTGGATTAAAAATTTGGTCCCCCCCTGCAGTTACCAGTGAAATTTGAAAAGGGTTAAGTTTTCACTTTTGCCCCGCTTGTGCAACTGAATCATTTTAATGAAGCTTATTATAAGAGGTATTTGGTTAGTGAGTTTTTTTTTTGCTGTTTTTTTTTTTATAGCATGAATAATCAAGGAGACACTTTTTTTTGGAAACAAACGCTTTGCAATTTAAATAGATAAAATCACATAAAAACCTTGTAAAAGTAGCCTTTTTAACAAAACAATAGAAACCTTTTCCTGACCTACATACTGAATACTATCAGGATTCCCAGGCCTGGATGTGTGAAAGCTCTGTGAGCAATTAACTGAAAGCTCTTTGTTAATAGATCCACAGTAGGTCTCACTTGCTCATCAATAAGGGGGGAAGGGTTTTATTTCGATTTGATGGTGAAAAGACTGGGACGTTTACCTACCTTCAATAGGCTTTCTGCCGGGGGAGTAGAGGTGCTTTATTAGAAACTCTAAGCTGAAGCTATTAGATGTGTCAACAGCTCTGCTGCCGTGGGGGACAATTTGGGGGCTGACAAAATAGTTAACCAGAGGATAAATTGACCTTTATGAGGCTGGATTACAGCAATTCCCAACCATCTCCAAGGTGTATCTCACTCATGCAGTTAGATGAAAGTGGCTAGATTGTTGAATAATAATAAAAAAAGAAAGGAAATTGCAATTAGATTTAGAAATATATATGCTCAGATGTAATCAGCTGCAATGCCTGTGCAGACTTTAAGAATGTGTAAAAGCACACCGATCATCGAAGAGCTGTTAAAACAAGCAGTGTTTTTGCTACAAGTAAATTACTGAAACAACATTAATGCATAAACTGTTAAAATATCAAGCTGAAAGTAAAGGTTTAAATAGATTAACTAATAGATGAGAGCAAAAATAGCTGACATGTGAAGCATAAGCAGCACAAACTGATGGATAAATGGTTAAAATGTTCAGTGTCAAGTGCTGGTAGAGCTCTTGCTCAGTTATAGAGAATACTATAGTATTAGCTGTATTCAAAAATATCCTGTTCGGTTGTGGCCTTTATCTGAAAACAAAGGGAGTTGCTGCCTTTCACTTTCATGCAGCTGCTGATTATGCAGTTTGAGTTGTGTTTTTACTGTAAACACAAGGAGAGTTACTGTTGGAACAGAAGCCAGCTGATTATCAGTTCCCAAAGGGTGAAATGTTATCATTATGAGCCCTAAGTCGGATCACGTTGCTGTGCCAAGCTAGTTAGTGATAAGACGTGTTTAAAGTGCAAAATGATACGAGGAAACGCAAATATTAAGTCAAGTTATTTTGAGAAAAGACAAAAAGTTAAAACTGCCCGTTATTTTGATAAACCACACGATAATTGAAGCAGTGGATCCTGTTAAATACAATAACATGCTGTGTTGTCTAAACTACGCATGCCTGTTTTAATCTAAAACATGTTCCTATATAACACGGGCATGAACTGACCTGCAATAGTCTAAAGAAAACAAACCTGTAATGGTATTTAGCCAGCAACAATCCTTTAAATGAATGATTTATGTTGTCTGTCAGCAGGGATAATGAGGGGGGAGAAGCATATTCAAATGAATGTAAATGTAAAGAGACAATTCTCAAGGCTGTTCCCTACCAATAAACTTTCATTTTCATACTTGCATCATCGTGCAGCTCTCAGTGTGCGTTAGTAGGACAATAAGCTCACAGCGGGCTCTTCCACACTGTTGCACAAACACGGCCCTCCGCTCACATTTTTAACCTTAAACTGTCATGTCAAGGGGGTGGCGGGGGGGATAATGAAGGAGTAACATGCCGCATTAACTTATCTCCAACTCCTTTAAAAAAAAAAAAGCGTAACTTTTAAATATATGCTGCTGCGTTGCATTAATTCGTAATGAAAAATATGTGTTAAAGCCAGATGTTGACAGTTAGCAGCTGTTTAAAGCAGAACATGCTGATGATGTACTGGTGGGGGGAAGCAGGGTTAGAAATTGAAGGTGGAAATCCAGAAACCTGTAAGAAAATGTGACAAAAAATACGATTTCAGTCAGAATGATGTCTTGGTTGACTTTATTATTCTGTTTAATAACAATTAGTTTGAATAAAAATCCATAGTTTAGTATCATATCATTTCAAGCGAGCTCCTGTTGTTGTTTCCTGTCGTCGTAGAGAGGAGGTGCTGTGTGGGCCGAGGAAGGTGACGGAGGAAAAGTCAGAGGAGAACCTTCCAGGGACTTCGCCAAGGTCACTACATGTGTTCAATGTAAACATGCAACATGTCTGAGCTCACTGCAGCGTCACAGCTGACTGGTTTGTTGCTGATGTTTTGGTTTTTTTTTCCAACTCGCAGCTTTATGAACTGGATAATGACCCGCAGCGGAAGGAATTCCTTGATGAACTCTTTGTCTTCATGCAGAAACGAGGTGAGATTCAAAGTCTTGTTACTTTACACATTAGTCTAGTGGTTTTCCAAATCTTTTGGTTTTTGTGGATAAATAAGGGACCCCTCGTTGACCCTCTGAACCCCAAGCTGTTTCGCGGCATTTCTTGCCACCGTCACATGTTTCCTCACTCTGGACCAATTATTTACTGCACTATAAAGTCCCGCACCTCTATGGAAACAGCACAACCCTGGCTAGAAGTAGAGAGAACTCAAAAATGTATTTTGTATGGTTAAAAAAAAGAGACGTTCTCAGGTTTATTTTTACAAAAATGCTAAAAAACTGACATGTTCAACAGTTTTCCAAGATCTTACCAACACTAAGAATTGTGGCTCTACATACTATAGATATTTTGCTACTTGGATTTTTGCTTTGCTTCCATGCTGCTCTCTGATCTACTCTGTGTAAACACGGCCTGAGGTTCAACCCAGTTCAGATAAAAAGTCTTTGAATTTTGTTGCGTGATAGCTGGTTGCAGATGAGTCACTAATGCCTTCATAGTGGGATCAAGGGACACAGAATGTTACGTGGTTTACAGAATTGGGTTTGATCTTTTGTATTTGGCAGCTTTTTAAATGACACATGTAGCATTGGTAGAAAGTACTTTTGATGAAATATCACATTTTTATGTTTAGATTTGTTCCTGACAGAATGCATGTCACAGATAAGTGGTTCAAGGACCATTAGAAAGTTGAACATCGGATGTTTAAAGACAACAACTTTAGCTTTAAAACTGTAATTATGAACTGCATTTCGAAGTTGAGGAGTTACTGATCTGTGGACAAATTACTGAAACTGATGAATCGGTGGCAGACTTTAAAGAAATAAAGGGTTAAAATGTTTGCTGACAAAGAATAAAAATGTTCTCAAATTAAAATGTATTTTTGCTGTTTCCATTAGATATTAATTTAAAACACAGAACACATGTTATTCATTTATTAAAACCATTAAAAGGTACTTTTTTCCTGTTGATACTTTGGTAGGAGGCTTTGTTCGGATTCCAGTGACAAAACCCATGGGAAGGTTATAGGGGCAAATTAAACTTGGATCACAAAGCCAATTAGTTGTCTAGTCGGTTTAAAAGTTTTGACTTGTAGTCCGGCAATCAGTATTCGACAACAAACTCACAAATCCTATTAGTGCTGTACATTAAAGACACTCATGCAGCGTAGTTTGGCCCGATAAGAACAAATCCCAGTCCAAGCGGAGGAGACGCAGCAGGGCGCCATCTCTGATCTCTACCTTTTGTGGGCGAGCGTTGTGGAAAATGTGCGTCTGTGGCATGTGCTCATCTTGAGCACAAACTAATCTCATTTCTACAACTGCTTTTTAGCCTCCTTCATTAATTGGCTTTTCTGCAAATCGGGATTGGAAGGGTTGGCTGTCAACATGTGATTGGCAGATGCTGCTGGCTCTAAAATCACCCCTCCCCCTCGATCAATGCAGAAACAAAGCTGCTGTCAAGGGACACAGAATAGTCCCCACCCCCAGCCATCTGAAATAAGCGTCAAGTCCATCCACACAGATTATACATGCTAAGACAATTATCCAACATTAACCTGCGGCCCTCAGGTGTGTCAGTCAGAATGTGTTCTCGTTCTCCCCTTCCTCCTTGTGCATCTCCTCCAACAGTGCATTAACAGGACCACTCAGCTTGTCAGTATTACAAATGAAAGGAATTAGCATTGTGTTGCGTTTATTCTTTCATTTATCCAGGGACTCCTGTGAACCGCATCCCCATCATGGCAAAACAGGTGTTGGACTTGTACCGACTTTTCAAGCTCGTGACGGAGAAGGGAGGCCTGGTGGAGGTTATTAACAAGAAGATCTGGAGGGAGATCACCAAAGGTCTCAATCTCCCCACATCCATCACCAGCGCAGCCTTCACCCTCCGCACCCAGTGAGTGGCTTCTAGAGTTCAAACTATGAAGCTCAACAAGATCGTAGAGTAGCTGATGATGGAACACCTGTTTAACAAACAATTTCAATTAAATTTAATTTTATGTGTACAGCGCAGTTTACAACATATGTCATCACATAGCACTTAACATAGTAAGGTATACACCTTACAAATTTAAACAGAGAACCCAACAATCCAAAGTTGCCTTTGGACTTCCTCTGTCGTCTGTTAAGATCTTCAGCAGGTTTCTGTAAATGGGTTAAAATACAGTTTAGCAGTGACACTAACCATCATTTGAGGACCCACTATAAACCAGTGAGTTCCTTCAACCCTGCCATAACTGAAACCGGAACATTCCAATAACACGTTGCCCAAATTGATCAGTTGTATTAAGAAGATATTCAGAAACATATGCTAAAAAAAAAAAAAACTTCAGCACTGAGGGGTCAATGAAGCTTTAATATGAGCATTCTTAGGGGTTTGAAATTTGTTCCATCAACTAAACTAGTTTGAGAATTAGTAGGTGTTGCCCGTTTGAAGACATGATGTTTAAAAAAAAAAAAAAAAAAGGCTTTTAAAAGGAGCATTTGATCTTTTACACTCAACTATTTTAAGACAAGCACTATGTCTCCTTTATCTGACAGCATCTGAACATGTCTCAATAAACATCCTGGTCACTCCTCCCCAAACGTCATACCAACAGCCTTGCTGGGTCAGACCAAGTGACATTTCCGCATCACTTTCAACCTGACTTAAGTCTGAACAGCACCTTATTTATTAATGGTTACATACTAACATGCGTACATAACTTACATATTGACACACAAGCAGCAGTACTTTGAGTTGTGTGCAGTGATTTGGGGAAGGATTGTTCGACAGTTCACCACTATTATTGGTTTTAAAAACATCACAGAGCAGAAGTTTGTATGATGTATGTATGTTTATATCTGTTATATGATGTGCCAAAATACCAACACACTTATTCACTTTGATTAATCATTTCTAATCTATGAGGCTAGAAAATAAACAGTCATAAATCTTTACAACGATTATAAAAACAGACACCAACAATTTAGATAGTTGATGTTCACTAATAAATGGAAGCATTTTTTTTCCGCAAGAGCTGAATTTACTCAAAGGATTTCCTTTGGATTTTTAAAAAAATACCTGCAGCATCAAACAGTAGCAGAATTTATATGAATGTCTGCCAAGCAAGACAGCTGAGCACATTTGTGCAATTTGAAACACAGTGCTGGAAACTTCAGTAAATTCTATGTTAAATAAATTCTTAGAAGATATAATTAAATTATATCCCTGCATGTAATGCACATCAGTCCAGACAGGATCCGACCGCAAATCACACTGTGTAGGCCTACTCATACTGGTTTTTACATCAGATATGTGAGAAGTCACACACAGAATTGAAGTTTAATTTGTTGTTACAGTTGTCTTTAAGTTCTAGTTTGAATTTTTTATTTATTTTTTTTTGAATATTGCAGCATCAGACAGCAGCAACATGCATACGAGTGTCTCCATGGCAAGAAAGTTGCACACATTTACACACGGAACAACCGTAACTTCATTAATTAGTTGTAAATTAGCCCTGACATGAAGACAGGAGTGATCAGGTCCTAATGTCAGTTCACACTGTGTGCTTCTCTTCACCTCAGACATGTAAACTGTCAGAGATAATAAGCTGCAGTTAAATGATTCGTTACATCAAGGCCGTCCTTCGGTTGAGCCCTGAGCTTTAAGTTCTACTGTTTTGTTTATCAAATATAAACTAGGATATTTTATGCGTCTGGATTCTCCTCTTGAATAGCATTTAAAAAAAAACAAAAAAAACACATTGCTGTGTTGTCCATAGATTTATTATTGTGTAACAATATGGAGAATGAAAGTCCCTCATTACAATGGAGAAGAGACTTAGTCAACATGAGAGAGAGAGAGACCTCACTCCTCTCTCCCCCAAGGAAGAAGTACAAATATAGCAGCATTTATAGTGAACAAACTCTTTTCCTATTGGCTCGTTGTAAATAGGTTGTAAGTTTAAACCTTATGGTATAGTTGTCCATACCATGTAAGAAACACTGAGTCCATCTTTTGAAAGACAAAAACCTTTCAGGGGTGTAAACATATCTTCTGTGGTTGACCTCAGACCAAAGCCTTTTTGACCCCTGAGGTAACTCTTCAATAATTAAGCTTAGCTGCAAAGATGCATGTACATAAAATGAATAAACAGATAATAAATGATAACCTAAGAGCTAATGGTTGGTTTTACTTTAATGCTGATCTTATGGGAATGACAAATATAGCCTAAGGAACATTAATGGAGAAGTGACCTCTGTCTGAATGACCGAATACCGTCACATGTTGCATATCCCATGTTTGAAAAGGGCTTTAGATCTTCTCTTCATTTTTATTTTTTTTTCAAGATGGGTTTTATGAATTTGCACGCTTTAGTGACTGACTCACACGAAACTCTCCTTGTAGGTACATGAAGTACCTGTACCCATTTGAGTGTGAGAAGAAAGGTCTGAGCTCTCCAGGTGAGCTGCAGGCAGCCGTCGACAGTAACCGCCGAGAAGGTCGGCGTCCCAGCTACACCAACAGCCTGTACCGCTACTCTTCCTCCCCAAGCTCCACTCCGCGTGCAATCCTGTCTTCACCCACCATGCAAACCACCCCGACCTCGCACAATGGCTTCAACACATCCGCTAGTCCGAATTTAAGGAGAAGCACAGGTATGCCACAGTGTTTAATGTGTAGGATTTATAAAGTATATGGTCAGATAGATGATTTAATAAAAATCAGTTTGATCCAGCTTGGGCTCCATATTGATTCCTACCAGTCCATTAGATGACTTCTACTCTTCCTGTCACAGTTTTTACCTATTTTATTATTTATAACAGCACAATGCAACTTTTTCTTAGCAACAGCGACCTATGTGGCCACACATAATAATTACAGGATTCTGGTGCTTTAAATTGTGCTGGACATTAGGGTTGACTGGTGTTGGGTACTTGATACAAACCAGCAATTTTACTTTCCACATCAACAGACCATTTAATGTTATGTGTGCTTCAGCTGGGTAAAACTTCTTACTTTACACATTAGTTAAATTTGTACCCTCTTAACTTTAAAATACTTAAACATGACTACAGCCATTTATGACTCAATCACATAAATAGTTTATAAATAAATAATAGCTTACTTATAAAATATTATAATTAAGTACTAGTCATTAACTTACTGATGATGCCCTGCAGTGCTGCAGGTCTTTTCTGGATACGTATAACATAAAGTGGTTTGAATATTTCCACACATTTAGCAGCTTGATAAGGACACTGATGTTCTTCTAGTGTAGTTACAGGTTACATAGGCAGGATTATTTTTCTGGCATAATGTAAACATCCACCATTTCATCTAAAGGGGACATTGAAATTTTGCTGAATTGTTTCTCTTTCTGTGGGTGTTTTTTTGATTTTTACAGTAATTAAAAACACATTTCCCTTTTTTCCTTTCAGAGGAGAGCCCCACCCCTGGAATCCCACGGCTGCCCATGGCGCTGGCCCTGGGGCAGCAGCAGCAGCAGCAGCAGCAACAGCAGCTGGCACAAGCAGCCACTTTGGAGCATCTGAGAGAAAGGCTGGAGCGTGGAGCAGCCGGAGCTTCAGCTGACGGCCCGGATAAGAAAATGATGCGGCTCGCGGAGGAGCAGCAGCGCCTCATGCAGCAGGCCCTCCAACAGAACCTCCTGGCCATGGCTTCTCAGTTTAACCCCATGAACCTCAAACTTAACAATGGGCACGGTGAGTTGCTTCTGCTGCTACGATACCTCGTCATCGCTCAACGTCATGGGGTGCTGATTATAGGAAAGTCTATTAATTGCATCTTTTGCTTGTCTGTCACAGAAAGCAAACAGGATTTGTCATTGAACATCTCTACTAATGGACCAGCTAGTATCAGCGTTTCTGTGGAGGTCAATGGCACCATGTACTCAGGTGAGATATGAAAGTCCAAAAGAAAAGCCTGCTTTTGGCTTCATTGTGCTTTGTTTGGCACGACATTCATTTGTAAGAAACGGTGTACATCTGGTGTACTTAATGAACCATAATATATAGTCATTCAGCTTCTTTAATCCTCTGAACTGCTGCCAGTGGGTTTGGAATGCATTATATCTGTAAAAAGAAAATCACCAACATCACACCATTTGTCAGAGTCCGAAAGAATTGTGAGATTTGGAACTTTCCAACAGTCCTGAAACTGCTTATCTGACACATTGTTCTGTCAGAAAACGTCATCAATTCCACGCTGAAAATCACATAATTTTATTAAAATCACTTAAATTACCTCAATGTGTCATTTAAAAATGGCAAAAAGTAAAAACATTTTGCACTAACCACATTCTGTTATAGAAATATTGCATCCATCAATACACCTTTTTACACCTTTCAGCTGAAACGGTAGTAAAATATTTATAGTGTGTAGAGTCACATTTTTTCTCCAGTATTACACCAGAAGACATAATGCAAATAAATAAACAAAAAAATTAACTTTTGTTTTATGACATTATAACTATCATACAGCATATTTCTGAGTTCTGTCTCTTCAGATGATGGTTGTACTATATTTGTTTGTTGTTGTTATTTTTGTAAAGCTGCAGGATTTTATATTGTGAAAAATAAGCCTGTAGTGAGGAAAAATGTTACAGGAGGCAAACTGTAGGGAGGTCAATGGTTTAAATAACAAATGCACATACTTGTATGTGATTATTGCACTTCATCAACATTTGCTGCGTATTTGTTAAGTGTGCCTAAAATCACGAATTAGGACAGGTGATCAAATATTTCATAATTAAAAGTGTTCTATATGTTTTGTTTTTAATATTGGGACAAGCAACTACATATGGTTCAGCAACTATTACTGGTTGACTTCTGCATTATCATTTTTTTTGTTAATGTACGCTCTAAGATGGGACTTTTCATTATGAGAGTAAGAGAGACATAGAGAGAGGGCGGCTTTTCATTTCAGTTTTATTTCATGCTGTCTTCTTGATTTCTCTGCTGCAGGAACTCTGTTTGCCCAGAAGTCAGCTGCCCCAGTGTCGTCACAAACCGTAACTCTGGCAGGAACCAGTGGATTCAGCGCCCTTTCCTCCTCACACAGTCCCTCGTCTTCATCTTCCACCTCCTCAAAGGGACCGAATTAAGGTTCACCCGCTTTTAAATCCGTTTAGAGCAAAAGAGTAACACACAATATACCTCTCTTGTCAGACAAGAAATTCCAGGGAAAATCTGCTGCAAAACTGGCAGCCACACCATTTCTTGAGCATTGTGTTTCCGTTAGTTTGACAGCGTAATGTGCTTGAAACGATTTTTGTGCTTGAAGTGATGTTTGACCTCAAAGCTTCCAGAATAACCACAACATAGATTCAGATCACAGTTTACCTTAGTGCCTGCTAGAAGACGTTTTAAATGTGGAGCTGTTCTTGTCACAAGGGCTTTACCGGGTTTGTTCAGAGGTGTTTAGAACAGAGAATTGCATGAAGAGAATCAGTGCTGCGCCTCTGTAGGCGTCAGCCACATTTATAGCTAATTATCAAACAGTTCTGTAGCTGCCTTTCGATAGTCATCAGTAGAACAACGTAATTGCTGAAGTGCAGCTAATGAAGACCAAAAAGCCTTAGCTCAGTGACGTAGCTCATGTCTGTAACCGTTTGCTGAAGCCATTTTGTACTGTTTTTGGTAAACATTTGGTTTAATTTGAGCAAAAAGTTGTATGTTATACTTTTCATAGCAGCTTTCAGGGAATGTGGACGCCATCAGTTTCCACAGAGATGTCCTAAAGAATCAATTGGAATTTAAAAGAAACTGTATGCATGTTTGTTGGATTCTTTAATGTTGTACTTTATTTTGCTTTTTTTTGTAATCATTTGGCTTGGCGTCAAAATTAAGGAACATTTATTTAATGTCAGCTGTGAATCAAAGGCAGAATTTGAGATGAAATGTTTCTGCTGGGAGCCATATGTAGAGTTGAAGTGATACAACATTTACCTCAATTGACTTCCCACGTCGGTAAGTTTCTCAGATTCCTTTCTTTTGGACTCAGGAATGTCCTCTGGACTTATTACTGTTATGCTATATCTCATAATATATTGCTGTGTTATATTTGTATAAATGCAGAGAATGTATCGGTGATGAACTCTCAAACAGTGCTACCTCACTCTTCTAGAAAAATATGCAATGCTTTCTCCAGCATGTGTTCAGTTGGTCATCTGCTAAAATAAAATGTATGTGGACAATCAAGTAGACATGTCACTGAAAACAAATGCCACTGTGAACTTGACAATTGTAAAGGTTGACGATTAGGGCGACGTTTGACTCTGTTCTGGTCTTTGATTAACGTATTGCTTGGATATGTAGCCATGAGGAATTAAACTATCTTGTGTGCTTGAAAGACTTTGGTCTTTTATTTTTACACAGAATCAGTGGCATGTTTGTGAACGCATTGCTGTTGCATTCACGGTGATAAGTCAGCTGAAGTTGAAGCCACTATTAGACTCATGTTGCATCCATATAGTATTATCTTTGAGCTCCAGCTCACTGTTAAGCTGACTCTCACTGCTCTCATATACTAGTAGTTGTACTTTGTCACAGCAGGCAGACCAAGAAAACCCACCTGTTCAGCACCAGACCACAGACAGTTTGTGACAAGTCGGTAAACACAGTCAAGCAATTAACACCTTCAGATGAATAATGGTTCTTCATACTTGCTGGATGTGTACATAAGGTGTTTGTTAACAAGATCATCATGTCAACTTGACATGAGTAATAGTACGTAACGTATATGGACTCCACTTGTTTTTCCTACCCAAATAATTAGTTCATTTTACAATACTGTTACATGGGCTGTTTATGGTTGTATTTTGGTGTGGAGAAAGCCCCAATAGCAAATGATACATATTATTAAGCATGTTGGACAAAATAAGTTTATTTAATTATTTTCATTATTTCCTGTGTTATTTTAATAGCCAAATAACTGCACAGGATTAAAAATAATAAGAATTTTTAAAAAAGTGACAGCACCACTGGTACAATTCAACTAAGTACTTGAATTTTTCAGTGAATTCTACTTTATACTTCTGCTGCACCACAGTGTAGAGAAATACACATTTTACTTCTCTTTATGACCTCTTTATTTGCTAGTTAGGATTTTACATAGAAAACCCACAAGTTTACAAAATGTGTTCTTATACATTAAACACACAAAAAAAATGAACATAGCTCAGTTACATCAATGCATTCATGATATTAATTACCCCCATATGGTGTACAACCATCAGCCACAACATCACAACTTGCCATTGTGGAGTGCAGAGTAGTTTTACAGGGTTTGAGGTGAGCTGGTGTGCTCGAGCTTCAGCGAGGTGAAAGGGTTGAGTGGACGGAGGCAGGAATTTCATATATCTGGGGATTCNATTGTTACGTCTCAACCACTGTATGGCAGGAAGGTATTATTTTCATGGAAAAAACTAAATAATTGACAGAAAGGGATTTTAAGTAGATTTTTGCTAATAATACTTCATAAGTAATAGAATAGAACTTTATTGATCCCTTGGTGCAAACCTCAAGGAAATTATTGAATATAGTTAATAATATTATATAATAATGATAATAAGAAGAATAAGAATAATAATAATCATAAATTATTGTTTTTAGTATTATTAATAATTAAGAATATTCTCAAGATTATTATTTGTATTTTAATTATTGTGTTATTGTCACCATTAAAGTCAGTGGCTACATGGGGGTAGCATTCTGTGGTGCCTCTAAAGTCCTGAAAGATGATAATTTTTTATCTTGTGTGAACCAGACAATACCTTGTTTTTACAAGATTGTTATCTGGTACGCTCAAGAAAGATAATATTCTCGTGGGAACAAGTTGTTATCTTGTGCACACGAGATAACGTGTTAAAAAAAATATCACATTTCACATTTCTACCCTGTACAACACACACACACACACACACACACCTTTTCAAAATCAGGACGATTCTGCAGGATTTCTAGCTGACCATTACTTTGATAGGGAGCCTGAACTGGGGAACAATTGAGAAATGCATTTTTAAACAATCTATTGTCAGTTAAGTTTCATTTGTTGCAACACAAACCAAATTTGTGCATTGTCTTTTTCAGATATGAATCACATCAGATTTAGTTTATCAAGCGAAAACCTGAACACTGTGCATATGGAGGGGAAAGTGCAGCAAGGGTCTGTCCTGAGCATTAACTCCTTAACCCTGCAGCAGACCTATAACAGTGCCAATACTAATGGAGATAAGAGCTCATAGGTCAGCGGATGAGGGCGGGGGATGGGCTGCAGGGTTTAGTGTTGGATAGTTATCCTATAGTGACAATGCTGGACTGGCATCTGGAGCAGTGAAGAAGAAAGATGCTACACGGGTATTATGAGCTGGATATCTCCGCCCACAGTCCCCACCCACTAGCGAATAGTAATACTGGTCAAGTCACTCTGCAGATGAGGGGATCACCGTCCCGGGGCTGGATTGTACTGTATGAAGACAGTTTGGAGAGAAGGATGATTTTACAGCGTTGAACAGAAAAACAGATCCACAGAGAACTGCTTAACAACAACCTCTGGAATAAAGTCCATCCGATATGAGAGAGATTTTATTTTATTTTTTTATTTCTTTTGTGCCTCACACCAAAATCGTGTAATCCTGAATAACCAAGATGTTTTGATGGAGGCCGCTGCAAATGTTTTCGCGGCTTATGAACTCCAAAACAATGGCTTTGGTTGATCCTCTGAAGCCAACATATGTGGGTAGATACCTCCTGGACTGAGAGCAAGAGTGCTTTTTCACGAATCTAGCAAGTGGTCGTCTTTACTGGGACCTGCGGATGATTTAAAATAGCCTCTGACCAACGTTCACCATACTGTTGGCACCATGCCTTACCATGATGAGGAGTACCCAGGCCAGCCTCTCTGGCAGTCTGTGCTGCTCTTCTGCTGCAAGGGAATGATTGAAGGCATCATGGTCATCCTCTTCTTCTGGCTCCTGGTGCAGGTCCTCTTCACCAAACAATTAGAAGGTATGGTTTTAAGTATTAATTCACATTCTTTCTTGTCCTAAACAGTGTATACCTTCCAAAATCTATATTACAGTACAGTACTATATTAGAGTTACAAGTTGTGGTAAACACTCATCATGTGATGCCGCCCTGACATGAGTCCCATGTAAGTCTTTGCTCTGTTAAAAATGCATGAGGCTTAACCATATGTGTCAACAGAGTGACGTCATTAAATCAATTTGGTATCTTCCCAAGTTTCTATGTTGTTAGTACAACATTCACTCTTTATGTTCCTATCACACCTCACAAGCTTAACAAAGACGTTCAGGGAAAGTCAGGGAATTAGTCTGAAAGATAATCGCTTGTTTTGATTAAGTCTGATCTCTGATGCCTCGCGTTATGATGCCTTTCTCCGCAGACCAAGAATTATACATTTTGTAACCCATTTCTTCTCTTGGAATCATATTTTATGGCCAATATCAACAGAAGAAATGATTTCAGCCACCAGTATTTTTCTCAGTGTATACATTTGCATGTCAGTGTTGTCTTAAGATGTGATCCAGTCATTTATTTTTATGTTAATATAAAACATAGGGGCCAAAAGGGTTCATGAATGAACTGCTATGTCATCTGATTGAACTTACCATTCTCTTTTATGTCTACAGTTCATCTCCAGATTCTTCTTTTGGTTGGATTGATTGTCTTTTGTCTGAGTTTGGTCCTGGGATGTATTATATGCTGCAGGAGCAGCAACATTTGTCCACTGACAGACAAAACTCCTGTGACATCAGGAGCTCCTGCTGAACCGGTGGATGTAGCTCAGAACCCACCTCCCTCAGCAGCAGCAGCAGCAGCAGCAGGATCCAGGCAACAATACGAGGAGCTGGACGGAGATGTGTTAGAGTATCCGTCCACATTCACCAGTCCTGCCCCTTCGGAGCGTGAATTTATCTCTCTGCCATTTTCTAATCAAGCTGCTTCTGAGCAAAGGGAGCAGCCAAAGTCTATTTTTTCCCTGCGCCGCCTCAGCACCCCACTGCTAACATCACCCCTTTATAAACCCATAGACCTCAGCCATGCTTCCCTGCCTTCATTTCCCAAACTGGGCTTGTTGGCC